CGGACGCCAAAAATACTCTTACTTGAATATACACTGGGTAAGGACGGATCCAAAAAAGTATGTGAGAGTGAACCACCTTTAATAACAAAAAAATTCACAGGTTTGTGCCTACCGGTAAGTAACTTCGAACTTACGCTCAGATATACTAAATATGGTTTGTTCCGACGCCAAAAATCCTCTTAATTGAATATATTGTGCACAATATTATGAACAGCTGACCGGTTGTAGTCCTTGGCTATTTATTATGGGACCCTTGGTTAGGTTGCAAAAGAGAGTACTGCTGCAAAAAAAAAAAAAAACAAAAAAAAAACTTCAATCTCTATCTCTTCATTCAATTTGAACAAGAGATTCATTAAATTCTTTTATGTCTATAGTCTGTCATCACTGTATGCAGAAAATAATTGTTTCTCCGCAATCATACCATACTAAAATATTACATATAAAAATATCTGAAGTGCGTGTCTTAATTTTAAGAAAAAAATATCTAAATTTGTTATACAATAATAAATAAATAGGGCTTAATAAAATAAAAGTGTCTCACTGCCTAAATGTGAAGCTCAACTCTCTTTCGAATTGTTTTCAATTATTTTCTCAGACAAAAAAAATTAATAATAAAAAACCTAAATGGCTTATTTCCTATATATATATATATATATATGTAATTTTTTAATAGAAGATTCTTTCAGGTTAAGATTGTCCTATTTCGACTACAATATGTTCAAGATTTAGAGAATTCATATCAACTCAGCTATCTTGCAATCGAGTCCTTAGTTTAAACCACTCATGTCAACTAAGTTATCTGATAATTAATGGTTTTAAAAAAGAGAATGTTACAAAAAAATAAAAATTATTATTTACCCTCACAGATGTACCACATTTAGACACATATGTACCACTTTTTATGCATGCAGGTACCACTTTTTGTCATTAGATATCACTTTTTGTGCTACATGAAAAAGTGATACCTGATGCACAAAAAATAGTACCTACATGCACAAAAAGTAAAACTTATGTGAATAAAAGTGGTACCCAATGCACAAATACTGGTACCTTCGGGCACAAAAAGTGGTACCTATGTGAGAGTAAACAATATTTTTTTATATCCACATCAGCATTCTGGTCAACTTCATTTTTTCAAAACTATGAGATTTTGACTCCATCAAACAATAAATATAGATCATTAGCACTATTTATATGTAATAATCCCTTCAAAGAAATACAATTTTGATGCATCGACATGGAGACTGCATTAAGCTCTGTGTATGTGCACCAAATTAACGTTGTTTTCGTGGACAGGATCTTCTCGGTCGCTATGTATTTATTATATGATTGAATTAGTGAAACATTTTAAGTTTTGAGGTCAAAATAAAATGTTTTGTATCTATGTGTGTGTGTGTGTGTGTGTGTATATATATATATGTATGTATGTATAAATTTAATAATGAATATTGTATATTTGATCCACCTCGTGCTTGTGGGTCAGTTTGTGCTGGGTGGAATGACTTAAAGTTAGAGATGATAGTGAGCGGGCAAGAGCCTGGTAAAGGACGGGCGATCACAATTCGTACATCTGTTCTTTTTTGCAATCCTTAGTGGGCCCACCTATGCTTTGGGTCAGGTGGGCTGATGTTTGCTCAAATCAATGCAAGCCCAAAGCCCAAAACAATACTAAGTGCTATTTTTATTTATTTTTCATTTTCAGTATTTGTTTATTTATTTATTCATTTTTGATCATGTGAAGCCATTTCTCTTTCCCAGAAAATAATAAAATAAATAAGTAAATAAATAATATATATATATATATTTGTTGTGCCTTTTCTGTAGAGGTCTCAAAAGATTCTGTGAAATCTTATGATATAAGAATGTGGGGTCTATTTGTTTGCAATCAGAGTCCATTTGGGAATTTGCCCATTTCCAAAACATAAAAGGCCAACCAGAAAAAGAAGATATATTAGTGGGCCAAGAGCTAGGCCCACCTTCATCAGCGTGGTATCAATCTGATGTGAAAGATGCTGGTTAGTTTTTGTATTCTTGTTATTACAAAACATAGCCCTATCACACACACTCATTTTTTTAAATTTTTTTACAAAATTAAGATGATAAGAATGATACATATAACGCAAATTCTGATTTTTGGGATTAATTAGTAAAGCTATGTAATGATCATCGTTCAATCTGTTGGCTTTCACTGCGGTCTCCATTTCTTTGAAAAAAAATATTAATGCTTCGGTAGCAATTGATTCAGGGTTTAGAGTTTAGGGTTTAGGATTAATGCTAAAATTGAATTATTAATACAACAAAAAAGGAAGAACACAATTATTAAACCGAGGCAAGACTATTGTTCAAGACAAAAGTTGGAGATTGAATGCCCATACTTGCTAATAATAAGTTAATATAGGCAACAACATTGTTAAACTATATATATATATATATGTTTGCATGTGTGTATGTATTCTTTTTGCTCTTCCCGAAACCCTGAATTACTTTGAAAGTTGAGACTCAAAGTTATTGGGATAAAGATAGACCAGTATAATAAAATATATATATATATATATAATTTTTTTTAATCTTGCGAAAATAATAAAATGAGCAAAGGATGTGACAAAGTGGGACCCACGTCCTGATAGGATGCATTCGGCTCAGCATTTCGGTTGCAACGTTGGACCTCCAACTCTACTTGCAAGTCAAAAAGACATCTAAATGTCTATAACAACAGTTCAACTCTACTTGCAAGGCATTTGCCCTAATGTGTGTGTGTTTGCTTTACTATCCAAAATAAAAAAATAAAAAAAATAACATTCTAACTCTACTTTTCAACTGATCCATAATAAAAGGAAAATTTTCTCTTTTATTTTATTAACAAGAAAATTAAAAATTAAGCATTGTCATTGAAATGAAGGTTGAGTGAAAATATAATTAGGGCTTTTGGTAATGCTTTTGATATATTCTTTGTCTTGCATTTTAGACACACAGAATATGGATCCATAGCACCATGTATGTGTAATAATTCATTTTTAACTTCATGGAATTGACCTAATTGAAAAAGACTGACCCCTAATATCTAATGAAGTATCATGTCTCATGATCGATTCTTGCCACGTATAAGCCATTCTTTGGAGGGTACGTGTGAGAAATAATTAATAAAATTCCTTAATTATATATTTTTGCAAGGGCAAAAAAATGTGCAATAACAATACCTATTTTCGTTACGTTACTCTGATACACACCCGATTTTGTTATGCCGTGACATACTGAGGAACATGTAGTTAAAGTAGAAATGAAGCAATGTTGCATTCAGTCTTTTCGCATTTTAGGTACCACACAGCCTGTCTAGTGACGAAAGAAGCCAAATTTTTATTAGGAAACTGATTATGACACAACAAAATGATAATGACCTTAAAAGATGATAATGACTCAATGCGGTGACAAGAAATTGAGAAAATTTTTGTTACTTTTTGTTGTCCACTGTAGAAATCCAATTCATATGCACTTTATGTGATAATAGGAAAACAGAAGAGATGAATAAGGTATTTGCATTTTTTTTTTGTTTTCTTAAAATTGTTACGTAATTTTGACAACCAAATAGATTTTAGAGTTTGTGTTTTCTGAAAATTGTTTTGTAGTTTTTTCAAACAAGTTTATTTTTACACTAAAAAAACTAAAAATTATTTAATTCTTTGAAAATTGTTCTCATAGTTACATTCAACAGAAGATGAAGTTTTTCTAACATCTGGATATCAAATTTCTACAACTAAAAAATTGAGATTCTCAAAAGTCAACAAAAATTGATTGATAAAATGGTTAGATTTCAAGAAGAATAGTGTTGTACAATCTTAGTTCTCAGTTCAATGGCAGAAAAATTAGAAATTTTAATTTTTTTGTAAGTAATTTGCTAAGATTTATTTTGAAACATAAGAATGAAGAAGTGGGTCTTTTCTTAATAATAAGTAAAGAGCATGTTGTATAAATTAGAGTAGAGTAGGCTTCAGCCTAGGCTGAAGAAACAGGCCATAGGCCCATGTGAACAAAAGAGAACAAAACATGGCCCAAAAACGAGGACACAAAACACCTACTGGCTAGTGTTTCAGAATCGGTTGTAAAAAGTAGTTCTCCAGAGTTTGTTTGGGCCACAAAATCTGGGCCACTATTTGCGTTTTGCGACCTTTGTTTTCTTTGTGCCTATGGGCCTAAAGTTGGGCTGTATTGCCCAATAAAATTATAAAAAAAAAAAAAACCCTAATTTACCCAAGCCAAAACCTGCACACCGCCTTCTATATGCATTATCTATAGATTTTTTTTGTCAAGGGGCCAATCTCCCAAAACCTGGACTTCGTTACCAAGTAATATCCCCTCTTCCTTTTTGGCAAGTAATATATATATATATATATATATATATATACACACGCGCATGACCGCCATATCTGCACACCGCCTTAATCTCTCGTGCCACAGTTAACGGGAGCCTCGGGTATACTACGGATCGTAGGTGAAACCAAGAGTGCCCGGTTGTGAGCAGCCGACCGAACCGAAGATCAGTACGCCGTGAGTAGCAGCGGGTTATCGGAGGCGTTCCGGTCAAGCGCTAAGCGACATCAAGCAATTCCTGGGTTTTAGTAAGTAAGAAATCCCATAGGTTCTCTCTCTTCTTTTTAGCAGCCAAAGTATTTTTCATGGACGCCTCTCTACAATTCTTTGAAGAACCGTATGAATGGACGTTGAAGAAACATATTCTTCTTCTTGGCCGTAAATCATTGTGCTCTGATTCGTTTGGCCTGTTTGCATTAGTTGCATACAACAATGGAATTCCCGATGTGTTTGAAAAAAAGTGCCCGATTTCGACAACGGTGTTGTCTTCCGATGAAACCGCACGCTCGTGTTTCTCTCAATTCCTCTCTATGGTTGGAATCACTGACGGTCTGTTTCGTGAAATTCTCCGTTCTTGTCGTGTCTTGACTATAGACACAAGTTCAACAACTAGCATACCCTTTCTTGACGATTTCTCATAGAAGTCCAGAAACTTGGGCATTAAGGAGGACCGTGACAGATTCCATGGAAGACGATGTGTCAAAGACTGCACCGGCAAGTGAGTCGTCCATTGAGCAGAAAGTGATGGTACTCGAGGGATCCATGGATGAATGTATGATATGTTTGGACAAGTTTCGGGTTGGTCGGAAGTGGTCAGCATGCCATGCTCTCATTATTATCATGGGAGTTGTTTTTGTCCAATTTGTAGCTTCAACAGAATAATTAATCACATTAGACAGATTGTTGTAAGGTTGAATGTATCAATTGTAATTACAATATTGTCTCCTATTTTCCAGTGAATGTACTGACAATTTGTTCTATCAATATATATAATATGCAAGCCTTTACACTTCTCCACAATTTCTTTACCAATCATCTCTAGGTCTGCATAATCTCCATTTACAGATGCATGCTTTACAAACAAATGACCAACAATCATCAACTGACAATTGCTCTAAGCGATGACTAGGAACAGTGACAGACACAACATTATGGATTCGTGTTGTTATGACAATCTTACTTGTATGTGCTCCAGCTCTAAAAGGTCTTCTTAGGAGGTCCCAATCCATTGTAATTTTCATTTCAAACAGCATCCAGAACTAGAAGAAATTTCTTTCCAGTTAGGCTTTCTTTCAACATGATCTGAAGTTGATTTAGGTCATTGATGTATTGACCGATGTGCTAAGAGCCTCAAAAAATTTCTCTGTTACAATAGAAATATCCAATTCATTAGAAACATAAACCCATGCTTTCATATCGAAATTTTGATTGACCCTATCATCATTGTAAACAATTTGATCCCAACAATGGGGATCAACATGATCTACCCTCAACTCTACACCTTCATTAGAAAAAGACATTGAAGTTGACATGATGCCTCGTACCTGAATTTTGCTGGACTCGGACTCTGCCTCCAACTTGCTTTACGAGGCCCTAGTAGCAATCACATCAGCAAGTCCTCAGCATGGTGGACAGTATGTTGGAGCTCATCGAGCCAACAGTTCACTGCTGTGTTGGTAAACTGCTTCACCTCTGCATCATCCATCACTGCTTTAAGAGCCAGCAATGCTATCTTCAGCTTCTTTAAGAGCCTGCCATCATGTTTTCGTCCAGTAAAGAAATTTCTGAACTACCGAGAAGTTACTCTATCAAATAGAGGTGAACAGAGTATGTTTGTCCTAAAGGCTGGATTTACCTGAGAGAAATTTCTTTGAGAGAGCCCAAAAGCATTTGTTAAGGGCTCATGAGAAGCAGCAGTTTTCACATCAAGCGGTTGATATATATAATCTTATCAAATTGATACAAAAATACACACACAAAGTGTTATATACAGTGGAAAATTTGATGAAATGCATATTCACTACTAAATTCAAACCAGAGGGGCAATTTTAGCATTTTATTGGATTGGTAAAGCAGATTAATTGAGGCCGATCTGCTGTAGAGATGGGTGCAAAGGAAGAAAGAGAATAAGCAGAGCGTTCAGAAAGTTTCTAGGTTGTCTTTGTTTTGATCTTTTTAGAACATGGTCTGAGTCACTTTTCAAATTTTTTTATTAAAAAATATCATTAAATACTCGTAGAGGAAAACCAGAGATAAGACTTAATATTTGATATAGTTTTGCACGAAGTGAATGCTCTCCTACTTGAAATCACATGTTCAAGGCTTGTTAGGCCAAGTTTCTACCACTGAATTAAACAATGACCCAAAAAGCAAACCAGACCAATCTAAGCTACTTGCCACATTGTAGTCGAGTGTGCACCAAAATTGATGCAAACAAGAGTCTGCATGCATTTTGAACCGATGCTACTTAATTTTGCCTACCTTGTCATAGTATTTAATAGGTCCAAGTGAGCTCCAAAGGCACATGAACCTAGTTTTGGTTCCTTTATAGCATGAATATATACTGCCAAAAAATAAAAAATTCAGGGATTATGGCTTCACAAGACCCTAAGGCAATAACAGGTATCTGTCCTGTAGATCGAAAAGTCTGTTTTTGACAACCACACATAGTTTACAAACATAAGGATAATTTACTAGAAAAAAAAAGTAGTAGTAATTTAGTAACTGATGCAAAGTAGAATTACAAGTCTACTTTGCCTAGGGATATAATATACAAATCAATAAATCACCCTGTGCTAAGGATATAATATGCAGACCAATTTGATAATAAGAAGAATTAAAATAAAGGTGGCAAAAAATTCATGCAGGTCTTGATGTTGAATAGAAACAAGTTGACATCATAGTCTCTCCAATGCCATGGCAAAAATTCATTACCAAAGGAAATTAAGAAATGCTAACTGAATTCAGCCATTCAACATGGGTCCAAACCAGCAATGCTTCCCATGGCTTAGGAGTTGCCATCACCAACAGTACATCTAATCAACCTTGATCCCATATCACAATAAGCAAATGAGGGGATTGGACAGCCAATCACATTCCAAAGAGGTTCCATGATTTTGTGCTTCAGCATCAGTCTTCAGGCACCAGTATCCACTTGCACTTGCATCCATATGTCCCCTGCAATGGGTTTTATGAGAAATTGAAAACAGTATTGCACAATAGTAGTCAAAACAAGTCTTGGTTACAATATTGCAGTGACATTGCCACATTGTAGTTAAATATTCACCAAAATTGGTTCTAGTACAAGTCTGCATCTCTTTTGAACATATCCCTAGTCAATTTGCCTACCTCATCGCAGTACAAAATCCGTCCAAATTCAGGACGGGCCAAGGTCCATGTGAGCTCCAAGGCACTCAAGTTGTATTAGTTCCAACCAGCATGCATATACACTACAATTAATAAAAGATTGACAGAAGTGCTGGCCTTGTCTCAAAGCAAAGTGGATCCTTATCCAGTATGTCAGAAACTCTAATATAGACAACCATATTGCTGGAAGAGGATACCAGATCTCCAAAGACACAAAAAGGTGTACCAAATAACCATAAGTCATGCAAGAAAATATGAAACATGGATAGGAGTGGTGCATGTAAGAGAGAGAGAGAGATGTCCTTTTTCCTTTCCCTAGTGATAAGGATGATTAATCTGAGCAGCAACAGCTTGAAAGAATTTTCAAAAAATTATCAAGTGCTAGTTGCCAAATTCCAAACTTCAAAACGGAAAATTTTGGTAACTATTTCATGGTTAAAATGCCTTTTTTTGCTCACCCATCTATAAAATTAATTTATTTTGACAAAGCTTTAGCAATAAAACTCCTTAGAACTGCATAATTATGTTCTTAGCTTGAAATGTTGCCTCATTGTATGTATTTGAAAGCCAATAGCCTCATTGTATGTATGAACTACATAATTAATGAAATAATGATTTTGTTCAACTAATCCTAGACTTCAATTTACTAGCAATCTCTATTCTGGATTGCCTACCACAAAGAAACCTTGACTTTGGGCCTGACTGACAAACTCTTTAAGAGTAGCCTCAAACTAACCGTATCTTTATATCTTTGCGCATTTTTCCAGCCACTATCTAAGGACATTGTTTTCTTTTCAAATTATCTTTATTATTTTCTTCAATCTCATTCATCTACAAGTGACTTTACCCTTCTTCCTTTATCTTAATTATTTTCAAGTTGGTTAATTCATGTTGAAAAACAAACAAGCCCCGTGTCAGTGCAGGCTACTGCTATAACAGAGTAACATAAGGTCACCCACTTAGAGAATTTTAAGCTAGCACCCTTCCTAACAGCATTGAGACCTCCCATTGAACACATTAAGGTACGTAAAATTTCTTTATTTTCAGCTAATAACATTTTATTTACTGAAATTTCTATTTGAGAAATCCAGGAAAACAAAATATAGCTACTTGAGAAACATACCAGCCACATTCTATTCTTGAGTTAATGATATGAACATCACCATAAAATTCGCCATGGCCTCAGCAAACATAATCATTCATCTTTTATAATGACCGAAACATTTGTGCCTTACTACTAAATGCAAATATTTAAAGGAAAACCATCTCTTCCGAAGACAATATTTTTAAATTTAACCAATGGGTAGTTGAGTAAAAAGTAGTTGTCTCCACTGACTATGATAAAATATACAAATCAATTTAACTATGAGAAGAAACAGACTTGTAAACCACAAGTAAAATTTACATAAATTCTCAAAATTTTGTGATAATATATCAGTTTTCCAACACTATTATCCACTCCTGTATTTCCAACACTATTATCCACTCATCGGTATCGACCTATGCTAAAAAGCTTTCATAGATGTATATCAATCATTTGAAAAATAAGACCTAAATATACTATTATAATGTTACCATGTATTGGGGAGATTATGGAGGACTATCAATAAGAATTGAACTCAAACTCCCGCACAATTCCCTACAATGCCTTAGTTCCATGTGAGCTCAAATTAAAGGTATATGAGCTCTCTCTTAGTTCCATAACATGCACACTGCCATTACTAAAAAATGGAGCGATATGCTGACGCAATAAACTCAAGGCGAATGGAACCTGCAATACATAGCTTAGGAAGTATATTATGTTATATGCAACCTATAGTTCTGGAAGAAGATATCTAGATTTAGAATCATATGGTGAATTGTCATCTAATTAATAAGTCTTGAAAACTAGAATTTAAACGTGCCTGAGCGGCTAGTGAAAGTGAAATTGAGGAAGACAGTCATAGATCTTGCTATCAAATTCACAAGGACAATGTATGTACTAAAAAATATCACTTACTAAGGATCAGTGCCTCTCTTATTCGACAAGGATCCCATCATCAGAATCCAGTCACACTCACATGTCTCTGCAAAAGCATCCAATATGTCAGAAATTGAGATTTTTAAAAACTATAGTAACTAAAAGTGCTGAGATAATTATTATATTTCCATTATCTTCTAGAGAGGCAGGGGATTATGAAAATTAATTGACCTAAAATCCCCCAACCCCACCCAAACAAATCACATGTTTACCATGTTACAATGGCTCTGACACATGATGGTTAAATAAAGAAGTCGCTCATTACTCAATTTTGTTTCAACCAATGCATAGTACATGCAAGCTGAGCTTTTAGCATTGAATCCAAACAAGGACTCCAAAAGAAATACTGAAACCAACCTAAGCTAGTTGGCCATATTGTAGTGAATAATAACCAAAATTGATGCAAATAGAAGTTTGCATTTCTTTTGAACAGATGCTGCACCCGACGTGAATTGTGCTTTAGTTCCCTTCTAGCATGCATGAATAGCGCAACTAGTGAAACATAGAGGATTTTCTTGCCTTGTAAAACCCAAAGCGAATTGATGCGTGTCCCATAGCTTAGGAAGTCTGTTATTGCCAGCCATGCAAAAATCAAGATTACAAATATGAGAAGAATTTAATCAAGCAACTAAAATTAACCAACAATTATGCAAACTAAATTGCAACATGTGTTTATGAGGTCATGTAAGAGAAATTGAGAGTTCATTGATAAAAAAAAAATAACAATAAAAAAATAAAATAAAAAATTTACCCAGTTTTGGTCCCACCAATGCAGGGTCCTTGGGAGGGAGGACTTAAGACAGACATAACCTTTTGTATTTTCTACAGTGACTGCTCTGAAGCTCGAACTTGCGTCAGAAAACCGATGCTCAAGCATTTTACTGCTGAACCAGGCGCCGCCCTCAGAGAAATTCATTGACCTTGTATTTAACGAGAACAATAAAATAGCACTCATGAATGTCAGAATTATCAAAATTACTCAAAAAAATGTTTGTGATCAACAACTGTGTTGCAAATAAGACTCACCAGAGATTAATGTTGCTGCTGTACCCACAACGGTGTTAAGGTGGAAGATACCATTCCTTTTCTTTTAATCCTGGTGAGAACTCGCCCAAAATGTTTGTGATCAACAGTGATTGGATACTGCTGGGCTTGCCTGTAAAGATATCATTCCTTTCCTTTCCTTTCCTTTTACATTTGCATTTCACTTCCCTATTGTTTCCGAGAATCAGAACAGAGGCAAAGGATACTTTGCTGCAACAGAAGAGGAGTCTAATGGTGTGTCAGAAGCATCATATAATTGGAGAAATAACATTAATTAAGATGGTATGTTCCCAATGTGGAGGCACATACCTGATGAAGAATGAGATTTCTGTGCAATATGAGGGTTGATAATTGAGAAAAGCGACAGATTGATCTGGGCATGCACTTCAACAATGATTCTGTCATCAATGCCAGTGGTCCAAAAAGCCCACACCGCTGGTGTTGAATGATTATGCAAGGAAAGCGAAGGAAAAAAAATGAATAGATAGAAGAAGTATATAAAATTTGGGTTATGTTGTATAGAAAGAATATCAAGTACCTGACTGGAATTCAGGGTTTTCCAGCCTGAATAAAAACCAGAAGGATCGAATGTGAGAATGAGTTTGAGTCAAAAGTTTAAAATGTCTTCAAAGTCGAGCTTGATGTGACGGATTCGAGCAATGGTGGACCAATCTTTCCCTTTCTGCTCCTGGTAACGTTCTTTCAGCAGTGGACAGTCGATTATTTTCAGGAAGGAGAGGGAGTTGGGCAGACCCTCTTCAGGCAAGGACAGTAGGTTAGTGCAATCACAGATGTATAGAGCTTGAAGAGAGGTGAGGTGTTGAAGGCCCTTGTGGTTCAGAGACTTCAAATTTGGAAGATGGCAGAAGTGAAGAGAGGTAAGAGTGGTGGGCAATAGCCACTCCTCCGGAAATGGCCCCGACACATGTTCTTCACATTCACCGGCGATGGTGAGTTCTTCAAGAGAGGGAAGTCTTTGCAAACCCCACTCCATGCGGCACTTCATCAGTTTCTTGCAATTAACAATCTCAAGTTTACAAATGTTGGCAGGCAATCCTCCGTCTGGAAAGGATTCAACTTCTGGACAGTTCCATATCTCCAATGATTGAAGAGATGGGAGGTGGGTGTGCATTCGCTGCGGCAGCAACTTCAGTTTCTCGCAGTTGTAGATCTCAATCTTTGTCAGATTTTGAAGCTCATCTGGAAGTGAAAGGGCTTCAAAATTTTTACACCTCCAGATATTGAGAGAACAAAGTTTGGGGAAGAAACTTAATGACAGAGATTTGAGAGAATCACAGCTATTGTATATATGCAAATGTTCAATGGATATGGAGCCCTCAGACATTATGGGAAACTCCAATTTCTCACAATAAATGATGGATATCTTTTTCAATGTGTCAGGTACACCACCAATGGGGAAAGACACCAGAGATGAACAATCAGAGATGGATAAATCCTCAAGGCAAGTGTTGAAGCGCATGATTCCCTCTGGTAGGGACTGTATAGCATCACACTTTTTGATCTTCAGAGTTTTAAGCATTGGCGGCAATGCAAAGTCTGGAAATGACACGAGTCTGGAGCATGAGTCTATCCGCAACTCTTCAAGATTTATTAGTCTCCACAACTCCCGCGGCAATTCCTTCAGGCATGGCATGTTGAAAATTAGCAATTTCTGCAGAGAATGCAATTGTTTCAACTCCGGTGACAACTGCGTCAAGTTTGACATATTTGAAATTTTCAATTTCTGCAGAGATGACAGGTTTTGCAGCTCTGACGCTAATTGCATGAAGTTTGACATTTTTGAAAATTTCAATTGTTGTAGAGAAGAGAGATGTTGTAGCGACAGCCCAACTTGATCAGACTCCAGTCGTTGGCATTCAGAAATTCTGATTTTCCTTAAACATGGAAAGTGGCTGGGTAATTTCCCGGTTAGATTGGGGCAACGAACTAGTGAAAGTTCAAGAAGAAGAGAAAACTCTCCAGCTCCAAATGCATGCCATTCCTTCCACTCTGCCATATTCTCGAAGCGTAATATCTCCAAAGATTGAAATGGTTTGATCAGAGAAGCATCCCCATAGAATTCCTCACCCACCTTCCTTACTTCTTTCATCCCACAAATGGAAAGGTGTTTTAGAGATGAAAGATGCCCAAGTGATGGCAAGGAATCACAGTATTCACAATTAGAAAGATGTAAACACACTATATTAGTAAATGACAGATCACCTAACCAATCTGGAAGTCTTCTGCCTCCAAAGCCTTTGATCGTAACATACTTCAAGTTTGTATGAGGCTTTAGATTGTCAAGTACATCACTTTCATTTTGTGAATCATGAGTATTGCCACTCCACTTCAATTTTAACTCTTCAAGGTGGTGCTTATCCTTAAAATTGGCCTCCAGTGCATCCCTACTATTGGTAACATTTTGCAGCTCCAAAATGGAGAGTTTCCCACGAAGACAATAAAGTGTCTTCAAGTCGCTGATCCCTGATCCACTGTCTTTGCCAACTACAAAATCTGTTAAGTGTCGGAGACGTATGAGCCTGCTCATCTGCATTGGCATTTCTCTTAACATAGTTCCCGTAGTATCAAGATAGTGCAAGTTAATTAGCTTCCCCAAATCTATAGGCAACTTTGTTAGTCCAGTATAAGCAACATTCAGACGGTGCAAGTTAATCAGCTTCCCAAAATTAGTCGGCAACTCGACGAAATCTCTACAACTTGATAAATTCAATGTTTCTAGATTGCACAAGGTTAAAATTGAATCAGGCAACAGTTTGAGTCTTGTGTTGGAGAGATCCAAATAGCGTAAATGTATCAAATAGCCAATTGTTTGAGGCAATTCAAAAATCTGATAACCACATAAAGATAACACCCTTAAGCATCTCAATCTTGGTAACATATCATGTAAGACCTTTTTGCTTAGGAAATATCTTCTGTGTTGCGGAAATGATATGAAAGTCCGTAAATACTTGGCCTTATTGTCAAAATTGAATTTCTCAAATGCATCATATTTGACCCGAACATATGAAAAATGACGGACTTTTCTAGAGAGATCACCTGGCTTGCCATGATCATTCTCTAACTTAAAACAGAACTCTCCAGATACAAATTCAGCTAAATCATGGACTAGGTCATGCATTACAAAGGAGGAATTGGTGCCACTTAATCGCTGAAAAAAGGACCTTGATATTAGTTCAGAGAAGTAATTGTTACCTTCATCTTCCATTGATTTATTGCCTTTAGGTGGTCGCTGCACAAAGCCTTCTGCCATCCATAATTGGACCAATTCTTCCTTTTCAAACTCGTGATCTTTAAGAAACATTGAACAATATGCAAAGCATCGCTTTAAATGTGAAGTGAGATAATGGTAACTCAATCTTAGAGCTGGAAGAATGTTGCTCTGCAGATGCCACATCTCACTTTCTAAAATACTTTTCCATTCCTCAATATCCCGTTCAGATCGTAAGAGACCTCCAAGTGATTTCACTGCTAAAGGCAAGACTCTACACTTGTTCACAATTTCTTTACCAATCATCTCCAAGTCTAGATATGCAGAAAAATCTTCATTTTGAAATGCATGCTTTGCAAATAATGACCAGCTATCCTCAAATGACAATTGCTCTATGTGATGACTAGGAACACTGCGCATGACTTTTGCAACATTTTCATGACGTGTCGTTACGATAATTCTACTTTTTGGTGCCCCAGATCTAAAAGGTCTTCTCAAGAGATCCCAGACATCATAATTTTCATTCCAAACATCGTCTAAAACAAGTAAAAATTTCTTCCCACTTAAACTATCTTTCAACTTGATTTGAAGTAAATTTAGGTCGTCTGTGTCATCACTCGATGCGGTAACAGCCTCAACAATTTTCTTTGTAATCATAGAAACATCAAATTCATCACAGACACAAACCCATGCTTTCATATCGAAATTCTGATCCACTTCAACATCGTTGTATACAAGTTGAGCAAGGGTGGTCTTGCCCACCCCACCCATTCCCACAATGGGGATTACAGGGATTTCATTGCTAATGAATTCATCAGACAATAGCAAATCAATTATTTTCTCTTTGTCCTTATCCCTACCATATACACCAGATTCATCCACCAGACAAGTCGTTGGAAGCCTTTTCAACTGTTTCCTTCCAACATCTTCCCTCAAACCATGGATATCTTTTTGTGTTACAAAATATTCCAAGTCAACGATGACCTCTTTTATCCTGGACTCTATGGCTTCATTAGATAGATAAATAGTAGTAGAGACGAAACAATTAATCCGTACTAGAAATTTCTTCATTAGATGGATAAATCGATTGAAACCAACCTGATTTGTGCTGCTCTGGGACTCGGCTTCCAACTCGGCTTTCAAGGCATTGGTAGCAATCTCGTCCAGTAAATCCTCAGCACGGTAGACAGCATGTTGGAGCTCGTCAAGCCAAGCTTTCACCTCTGGGTTGGTAATCTGTTTGTCCTCTGCATCATTCAGCACTGCTTTGAGGGCCAGTAAGGTTATCTTCATCTTGTCTACGAGTCTATCATCAAGATTTCTTTTTGAAAAGAAGTTTAGGAACTCGCGAGAAGCCATCCGATCAAACAACACTTGAAGGGATGCAGATAGAAATGCTCCACCCACCAAGGCTTCAGCCATGTTCTACTCTTCTGCAGTTGGAAGAGAGGGTGTGTAAGTGAGAGTAGTTGTGAAAGAATAGCCGCGAAGAGAGAAAAAAGATCAATCAAAGCTATTAATGGTACAGTAAATTGCACCAAAAATCTTATAATTGTTGCTGCAATAGAACCCCACACGGCTAGTATCATTTTCAACATTTAACACTTCTAATTGTTGGGTCTCCTACGTAGACTACATGAAGCATCCAAGAAGTATCATTTTGTACGTTTATGGACTTTGTAGTTAGACGTTGGTGTGGTGGAAACCAACATGAAAAGAAAGTTGTTGAGGTTGTTACCGCGTCAATGGAACCCACACCAGGCGGGCTTACCAGACAGAATTATCTTGGAAGGTGGTTAAAAAAAAAAAAAAAAAAAAAAAAAAAAAAAAAAAAAAACAGTATGCTTTATGTCTTAATTGATACCAAATTGGTATAATACAACCTTTCGAAAAAAAGAAAAAAGAAAGGTACATAACGGCAGTAAAGGGAAGAACCCAATAAAAATCATTGATACAGATAGCACAACAGAAGAATGCGCAAACACCTAAGAATTGAATTTCTCAAATCGAATACTCCAATTGTTGTTCTTAGCTAGAAATGCCCTTTGAGCATATGTTTTCTCACATGATCTTAAGACATTTATGTTTCTCTCATATCATTTGAACCAAGTGGCGAAAATTTATGGCTGTAAAGCAATTCGGCAGCAACTCTGTTTTTAAAGTTGGAAGTAACATCGTCTCGCTCTCCAGAACATTTCACAGAAGGGCTTTGCTTGGTTCAGTTTTTTGGAATGTTTTATTTTATGAAAAACAGAGTGTTACTTTTCATAGAACTGTCTTCCATGCGTTTTCATAGAGCTGTGGCTGAAAACAGTTTTCGGTCTTGGGTTTAAGGTACTACGAAAGGAAATTGCAGACAGTTTTTGGTCTTGGGTAGGGTACCACGAAAGGAAATTGCAGCTGCAACATAAGGATTGTTGGCATTCATTATGCCTAGATATGAGTTGTTTTCTTAGTAAGTTAATTTGACTATGTAAGAATTGTGTGGTTGATAAATTTGTACGTGTTGAATTGTAGGCATGATGAGTTGTCAAAAACGTAAATATATTGCCTAATTATTTATATAAATAAAATACATACGTTGCTACTTTAAAAGTATAAGTATATATATATTTGTGGAGGTATGACTGAATTGTCAATGTATAAATAAATATACTGGGCATGGTTGAGTTACCAATATATATATAAATATATTTAAATTAAATTGCTATGTGTTAGACAATTAAAATTTTATATATGATTATTGTATGGATAAGTTGGATTAGGATTACATATTCTTGATAATTAATACTTACAAATTAATCATTTATTACACGAAGCATCCAAGAAATATCATTCTGTACCTGGGGTAGGTTGCTTTCAACGTAAAAATGAAGTTGGAATAATTAATGGAACCCACATTCCAATAATGGAGGCTATGTTTGTATTAAAGGCTGGGAGAGAATAATCTTGGTGGAGTAGTGTATGTGTAAACTAAACTAATTGGGGAAAAACAAACTAATAAAATTCGTCAATACAGAAAATCCAACACAAGAATGCATAAATACCCAAGAATTGAATATCATCAAAAACACTAACTCTTATTTGCTAGAATTCTAGAAATGCCCTTGAACATATGTTTTTTCACAGAATCCTAGGGACATGTATTTTTCTTTCTGACAGTTTCTATAGCTGAAGTAACATCCTCTCCACTAATTCATCCATAAACTGAGTTATATATACTTCTAATTTTTTTCCCCAAGATCCTTGGTGCTTTTCATCCAAAAACCTCAGTTGTTAAATGACAAAAATGCCCATCAAACCTCCCTCATCTCCCGCCACTGTGATTCTCTCATTCCCTCACCCTCTCAGTCCATAAAACCTAATTTTCATTTTAAAAAAAAACTAATCTCTATCATAAACCCTGTGGATTGTCCTAAATCTCTCTTATTTCATCTCTATCATGTTTTTTTTTTTTTTTTCAATCTAGTTTTAAATCACAAATTATCGTTGAAGTATATTTTTAGGGTTTCGGAATGATTTCATATGAATTCGACAACTTTGTTTATGGACAATAAATCAGAAGATTTAAAAGAAACAGTGAGTTGAATGTGTACCCGGCTTTGTATTTGTAATGGCGGAGACCTGTCGCCGGAGAATGCTGAACGGGGAGAGATTCATATATTTTTTCGTTCTTAATCTAATAATACCCTCCAACCCCTTTTGGGCTCTCTCTTTCTTCAATCCCAAATCGCCCAATATTGATTTTTCAAACCGATTGTGTATAATTTGATTACTGGGCTTCAATTTCAAACCGATTGTGTATAATTTGATTACTGGGCTTCAATATATATGTTAATGAATGGATTAGGTACACATTGAGAACCAGAGTAAAGCAGAGGATTCGAGTTCGAATTGATTATTGGGCACTGAAGGAGCTAAACCGAATTATATTTTACTTGACTTGTTAAATTCATGAAAATTAATAGAAAACAAGTACGTACTAATTTGTTTTCCAATTTTCCATCATTAAAGTGACTTGCAGAGACTGTAACTGTCATCGTTATATAGTTAATTAGTATACAGTAAATTATTAAATGTAACATATATATTTCAAATAGTTTCATGTTAGTATTTACACAATAAATTTAAAAGAATCGAGTTAAACAGAAAATTCTAGAATAACCCAGCCATTGGATGATCCATATGAAGAAAACAAAGGAAATGATTTAACATTTACTGGGGGGATACAATCAACAACGGGCCTCTAAGCAACATATATTGGCTGAATCAACAAATATATGAACACTTTGAAGAACAATGCAAAGCACAAATAATTGAAACCCATAATTAACCTACATCAATGTGATTTGTGAGCTCGAACCAGTAGTGTTGCTTATAGGAGTGACCATCACTAGGCAATAGTACATCTATCAACCTTGATCATATCACAATAAGCAAATGAGAAAGTGTTGGACACCAAATCACATTCTTGATAGGTTCCATGATTTTGTGATTCAGCATCAGACATCAGTCTCCAGGCTCCGGTATCCACTTGCATCCATAATATGTACCCTGCAATATGTTTTGGTTTTATGAGAAATTGAAAACAGTATTCCCAGTAGTAGTCAAAACAAGTCTTGGTTACCATATTGCAGTGACATTGCCACATTGTTGTTAAATATTCACCAAAATTGGTTCTAGTACAAGTCCGCACCTCTTTTGAACATATCCCTAGTCGATTAGTTGCAACCAGCATGCATATACACTTAGAGAAAATGTTAAGCAAAGCACCCCTCCCAACAGCATCAAGAAAATTCTTTATTTTCAGCTAATAACATTTTATTCACTGAAAAATCTATTTGGGAAATCCAGGAAAACAAAATATATTTATTTGAGAAACATATCAGCCATATTCTATTCTTGAGTTAATGAAATGAACATCACTATAAAATTTGTCACAGCCTCAGCAAACATAATCATTCATCTTTTCAAATGACCGACACATTTGTGCTTTACTAATAGATGCAAATATTTAAAGGAAAGCTAGCTCTTCCGAAGACATTATTTTCAAATTTAAACAACAGGTAGTTCTGAAAACAGTAGTTGTCTCGATTGACTACGATGAAATGAACAAATCAATTTAATTATGAGAAGAAACAAACTTGTACACTACGAATCCGTTTGTTTGGATGTAAAATATTTTTCAGAAAATATTTTTTTATTTTTTGGTGTTTGGTTGTCATAAAATATTTACGAAGAAAAAAAAATATTAAAATTTAACAAAAATAACTTATCCATCAATTTTCGGCAAGTTATTTTACATTTTCTGATGAACTCAACCTCAACCTCGACGTAGACCATTGCCAAACACCGTCAAAGTAAAAATAAAAGAATATTTTACCTGAAAAAGAAAAATATTTTTCAAAAAGAATATTTTACATCGAAACAAACGGAGCCTACAAGTAAAATTTACATAAATTCTCAAATGAATAAAAGTAATTAATAAGTCTTGCAAACTAGAATTTAAACATGTGTGCCTGACAGGCTCATGTAAGTGAAATTGAGGAAGAACCAGGCAGCACCCTCAGAGAAATTCATTGATCTAGTATTAAACGAGAACAATAAAATAGCTCTCATGAATGTCAGAATTATCAAAATTACTTGAACAAAATGTTTGTGATAAACATATAATTGGAGAAATAACATTAATTAAGACGCACCAGAGATTAATGTTGCTGTTCTGCCCACAACATTTGTTGTACACTAGTACATGCCACCGTCTTCAACAAAGTCGAAGGTTTAGCAGTTCTATGGAGAATCCAATGGAACTTCAGAACCAAAAAGGAAAAGATGAAAAATGCTATGAATTCGAGCTCCATTTCTCTCTCGCTGTGCAGATCTTTGTCAAAAACACTTCCCATTCCATCTTCTTTGTTCCGTGGACAACATTGATTGGATACTGCTTGGCCTGCGTACAGAGAAAGTATACCGATTATCCCATAAAGCCATTGAATTGCCCTTGGTTGTCCTACCCATTTGTATCTTATTCCAACTTAAACAAGTTACTAGTGTTGTCATTTTTATTTTTTATTTTACTTGTTTGGTTGTAATGGAAAACTGTGGGGAAAATAAAATAAATGAAGGGAAAAAGAAGAGGATTTTCGCAACTAAAAAAAACACAATTTTTTATTCAGACTAACAAGAAAATGGCAGAAGACCTGTAATGATATGATTCCTTTCCTTTCATTTTACATTTGCATTTTCATTTCCCCATCGTTTCCAAGAACCGAAACAGAGGCAAAGGATACTATGCTGCAAGAGAAGATTATATTGGTTGGCAATAGTATTCTTTGAAACACAACCAGACTTATTAAACATGTTGTTAATGAATGATAAATTTGTCAGACGCATCATACCCTTGGAGAACTAACATTAAGTAAGATGGTATCTTCCCGATGTGGAGGCACATACCTGATGACTGAGGATTCATCTGGGGCAGTTGTAGATCAAAATCTGTGTCATATTTTGCAATGACAGAGATTTGAGAGAATCACTACTCTTGTTCAATGGAGGTGGAGCAGGGCTCCATTTCGTCAGACATTACGGGTAACTCCAATTTCTCGCAATTAGAGATGTGAAGCTTTTTCAATGTGGCCGGTACAATGCCAATGGGGAAAGACGCCAGAGATGGACAATCAGAGATGGATAAATCCTCAAGGCAAGTGTTGAAGCGCATCTTTCCTTCTGGTAGGGACTGTACAGCGTCACAATTTTTGATCTCCAGTGTCTTGAGCTTCGGCAGCAATGCAAAGTCCGGAAATGACACAAGGCTTGAGCATCCTTCTATCTGCAACCTTTCTAGATTTTTTAGTCTCCACAGATCCGGTGGCAATTCCTTCAGGTTTGGCATCTTTGAAATTATCAATTCCTTTAAAGAATGCAGCTGTTGCAACTCTGACGGCAATTGCATCAAGTTTGACGTGTCTGAAATCTCCAATTTTTGAAGAGAACACATGTTTTGTTGTAGCAATAGCCCAACTTGATTAGACTCCAGGCTTTGGCATTCAGAAATTCTGAATGTCCTTAAACATGGAAAGTGATTGGGTAATTCCCCGGTTAGATTGGGGCAACACAATAGAGAAAGCTCTAGAAGGCGAGAAAACTCTCCAGCCCCAAATGCATGCCATTCCTCCCACTCTGCCATATTCTCAAACCTTAAAGTCTCCAAAGATTGAAATGGTTTGATCAGAGAAGCATCCCCATAGAACTCCACACCCACCTTCCTTACTTCTTTCATCCCACAAATAGAAAGGTGTTTCAGACGCGACAGCTGCCCAAGTGATGGCAAGGAGTCACAATATATACAATTAGAAAGACATAAATCCACTATTTTAGAGAATGAAAGATCTCCTAACCAATCTGGAAATCTTCTGCCTCCATAGCCTTTGATCGTGACATTCTTCAAGTTTGTATGAGGCTTTAGATTGTCAAGTACATCGCTGTCATTTTTTGAACCGTGTGTATCACCACTCCATTCCAATTCTAACTCTTCGAGGTGCTCCTTATCCTTGAAATTTGCCTCAAGTGCATCCTTACAATCGATCACATTTTGCAGCTCTAAAATGGAGAGTTTCCCATGAAGATGATAAAGCGACCTCAACTCACTGATCCTTGACCCACTCTCCTTGCCAACTACAAAATGCGTCAAGTGTTGGAGACCTACCAACTTGCTGATCTGCATTGGCATTTCTGTTAACTTAGTTCCATTAATATCAAGATAACGCAAGTAAATAAGTTTACCCAAATCCACAGGCAACTTTGTTAGGCTAGTAAAAGCAACATTCAGATGGCGCAAGTTAATTAGCTTCCCAATATCCACAGGCAATTCTGTCAGCTTAGTATGACAAACTTCCAGATGGCGCAAGTTAATTAGCTTCCCGATATCCACAGGCAATTCTGTTAGCTTCGTATAACAAACTTCCAGATTACGCAAGTTAACTAGCATCCCAATATCCATAGGCAACTTGATAAGATTTTCACAACCTGACAAATTCAATGTTTGTAGATTGCACAAGGTTGAAATTGAATCAGGTAACAGTTTGAGTCTTGTGTTGGAGAGATCCACATGGCGTAAATGTATCAACTTATTAATTGTGTGAGGCAATTCAGAAATCTCGTAACCACATAAAGATAACACCCTTAAGCATTTCAGGTTTGGCAGGATATCATGTAAGACCTTTTTGCTTAGGAAATTACCATTCCTTTGCGTAAATGATATGAAAGTCCGTAAATACTTGGCCTTAGTGACAACATTTAATTTCTCAAATGCATCAAATCTGGCCTGAGCATATGAGCAATGACGGACTTTTTCAGAAAGACCACCAGGCTTGTCAAGATCCTCTCCTAACTTAAAACAAAACTCTCCAGATATGAATTCAGCTAAATCATGGACAAGGTCATGCATTACAAAGAAGGAATGGGTGTCATTCAATCGCTGAAAAAAGGACCTTGATAATAGTTCAGAGAAGTAGTTGCTACCTTCATCTTCCATTGATTTATTGCCTTTAGGTTGTAGCTGAACAAAGCCTTCTGCTATCCATAACTGAACTAACTTTTCCTTTTCAAATTTGTGATCTTTAAGAAATAATGAACAATATGCAAAGCATCGCTTTAAATGTGAAGGGAGATAGTGGTAACTCAATCTTAGAGCTGGAAGAATGTTAATTTGAGAATGCCACATCTCACTTTCTAATATATTTTTCCATTCCTCAATATCCAGCTTAGATCGCAAGAGACCTCCGAGCGATTTCACTGCTAAAGGCAAGCCTTTACACTTGTTCACAATTTCTTTACCAATCATCTCCAAATCTCGATGTGCAGTAAAATCCCCATTTTGAAATGCATGCTTTGCGAATAATGAACAACTATCCTCAAAAGATAATTGCTCCAAGTGACGACTAGGAGCACTGCCCATGATTCTTGCAACACTTTCGTTGCGTGTCGTTACTATTACCCTACTATTGGGTGCCCCAAATCTAAAAGGTCCTCTTAGGAGGTCCCAATCATTGTAATTATCATTCCAAACATCATCTAAAACAAGTAAAAATTTCTTCCCGGTTAAACTATCTTTCAACTTGATTTGAAGTGAATTTAGGTTGTTGGTGTCATTGCTTGATGCAGTAACAACCTCAACAATTTTCTTTGTTGTAACAGAAACATCAAATTCATCAGAAACACAAACCCATGCTTTCAAATCAAAATTCTTATCCACCCTAGCATCATTGTAAACAAGTTGAGCAAGGGTTGTCTTCCCCATCCCACCCATTCCCACAATAGGGATCATCTCAGGATTGCTAGTGGCATCATCAGACAACAACAAATTAATTATCTTCTCTTTGTCATCATCCCTACCGTACACACCAGTTTCATCTACTAGAGAAGTTGTTTGTTGTCTTTGTGATTGTTTCCTTCCACCGACATCGCCTTTCAAACCAAGGATATCCTTTTGTTTGACAAAATAATCCAAGGTTTCGAGGATCTCCTCTATTCTGGACTCTATTCCTTCATTAAATGGAGAAGTAAAAGTGGAGACGATGTCCCGTACCTGATTTCTGCTGCCCTGGGAATTCAGCTTGATTTGCAAGGCTCTGGTGGCGATCTCATCCAGTAAGTCATCAGCATGGTAGACTGCATCTTTAAGCTCATCAAGCCAATCCTCAACTGCTCGGCTACTGAACTGCTTGTCCTCCGCATCATTCACCACTGCCCCAAGGGCTCCCAAGGTTGCCTTCAGCTTCTTTAGGAGTCTATCACCATCTTTTCGTCCTGAAAACAAGTTAATGAAGTCGCGAGAGGCGATCCGATCAAATAGCACTTGAAGGGAAGCTGAGACCAAGGCTTCAGCCATTTTATTTCTGCTGCAAGTTGGAAGAGAGGGGTGAGAGAGAGAGAGAGAGAATAGATGAGTGAGTGCAACAGAGAATAGATGTGATTAGCTCTTCAATATACAAATTTTCTGGTTAATAAGGGATTAAGTAAAGCTACCAATGGTACAGTAAAAGCTATATAGGATTTTTTTTGTGGTTTATCAGTTACTCTGTATAAAATTGGCACTTCATTTTAACCGAACATAGATTCGCCCCTACAATTAGAATGGAAATAGTAGTTTGCATAAATGGTAAGAGACAACGGAGGGTGACCAAAACAAATGTTTTTTAACTTTTATTTTTTTATAAGTAAAACCTTGTATAAAAAATAAGGATGGCAATTCACCCGTGGATTTCGACGACCCCGCCCCTAATAGGGGCGAATTTGGTAGCCTATTAAATAATTTGGGGCGAGTATGATAAAATGATTGAAAATTTGACACGGACTTGGGGTGGGGACGAATTTGGTGGTAAACCTATCCCAACCCCGCACCAGTTATATATGTAACTTTAATTTTTTTATATATATATATATATATATATATATATATAAATAAATGTATATTTAATATTTTGAAGGCTCTTGTTACTTTGGTGGAAGTAATAGTCACTACTTATCCATTTGGTAAATTTTGCGCTTATAATGTTGACGTGCGAGGGTATATATTTTTTATCATTATAGTTAAATTCTTACAACCCTTTAGACACAACCTGAATTTTGAGTGAACCAAGTAAAATTTGTGCGTTCTTGTTGTGTATATAATCTTTTTTCTTTTTATTTTTTATTTTTTATTTTTTTATTTTTTATTTTCTGTTTAATTTCGCAACAAAGCACTCAAAAATTTAATTTCGATCTGAACCTAAGTCACATAATTCGCTCAAACCACTGGCGCTCCATCGTTCTGCCCGCGAATTGGCGTTTTGAGAGCGAAATCACCAAAAATTCACGCTCTCATGTTTTTGAATTCGTGAATTCATAATTTTGAATTCGCGAATTCAATTTAAGAATTCGCTGGTTTTTAAAGTTCAATTCGACGAATTGTGTAAAGTAAAATCGCGTATTTTGTTCAAGAATTCAACGACTTTTGACAATAAATTCATGAATTTAGTGTGAATCTTGATAAATTTCAATTTTACCCCAACTAAAATACACCAAATAAGGTTAATTATGTAAAAAAATAATCAATTTAATTTAATTAAGTAAACTCTGTCGTTTATAGGTAAAAATCAAATAATATAACAATATACTTAATATTTAATAATACTTATTTATTAGTAAAGAAATAAATGAATGAATAACTTTTCATATTCTGATTGTGATTTCTCAATTTTCTCTATGCTATTAACTGTTAGATTCGTGATTCTTAAACTTCTTTAACTAGTAATTGACTCTTGATTCACTCTTATAATCTTATTCTCGTTCCATCATTTCATATTCTCTATGTTATTTCATATACTTTTCATATGCTTTTGAACATTTCTATTTCAAAGACAATAATTGTCACCATGAGAGTTTAAAACAGGTTAAATGTATAAAAGACAATGTTTTTTGAACATTGCCTATTCTATTATACCCTATTCACTGTTATGTTTTTATTTTTATAAAATAATTTGTTTAATTGTCATATTTGTTAATTTATGCATTTTTATAAAACATTATATTAGTTATAATAGACTCATATTTGATTCATTATTTTATCTTTTTATTTGCATGAAATTTATTTAAAACATATATTTACTATTATAAATTAATATTTTATATATTTATAATGCGGCACTCTAGCGGCGTTCCCGCTCTAAGATTTTTTGAAATATGCCGCTCTCACGGTCCTGCTCCCGCTCTCGTTCCCGCTCTATGTAACTTAGATCTGAACTTTGAATTTTTTTTTTTTTAAAGCTAGAAATGCTCTTTGAATTTTTTTTTTAAAACTAAGGAATTAAAATAATAATAAAAATAATACTTGGATGATTTTAATTATTTGTGGAGGTTAGGACATAAATTAGTTCCAGCTAAAATAGCGTTGTATGAAGTGAAAGTGTTCATTTAATAATCTCATCTGCCTCCATTCATTGCCCCTCCATTTCAGCCTTTAAATCCCCTTCCCCTTCTCTCTCTCTCTAGGATTTTATTTCTCTCACTAAAAATGCCACAAATATTGGCGTGTGGAATATTCAATAAAGCTGCTTTTTGGCCAATTTTTCTTACAGAACCGCAGAAAGAAATATAAAACATTGACCCAACACTTGTGGAATACACCCCATGAAAAGAAAGCTAGAAAAATGGGCCAATTTAAAATTTATTTTTTGTGACTTTCCCAAAAAAAAAAAAAGGTAGAAAATGTTATTGAAACTGGAAACCAATAAAATAACTTGTTGAGTAAATTATACTTACCTCATCTAAAATTTATTAATATCTCACATAAATCTTTTTATTTTTTATAATTTTACTTACGTTGTAGACTTATAAAGTGTTTATTTTATTGTTTTATCCATAAAATATTTACTTTTATTGCAAACATTAAAAAGGGCAAAACTAACATTCTACCAATTTTGTAGTACTGGCGTCAACAGATTATATTTGACTCCATTAAACGTTTAACCCTAAATAAAAACTCTAAAGAAGGTAAGTAAAATTATGAATCATAAATGTGTCTACTTAAATATTAACAAACGTCAAAAAAGTTAATGTAGAATTTATCCAAACTTAATTAAGAAAAGACCTGTTTCAATAACTATTTTTTATAATTATCTTAATATATATATATATATATACATTTTTTTTTTTATTTGAAAATTATTTGGAAAAAATTGAAATTCGAATGACAAATTTTAGAATAAAAAGGATCTTTGTTAAAGTGAATTATAGAAAGTGTAAGATGTCCCCACACGGCTAAGCCGCCAAGGAGGGCCAAATATCCTTGGAGGGACTGTAGTGATTTAGACATTTGAGGAACTCTTGAATATTCCACACGGCTAAGGTAGGCCCAATAAGGCAATAAAGCTACTTTTTTCTTTTTCTTTTTTTACCAATATTTCTTATAAGAATCACCTAAAAGAAATATGAACATTGATCCAACACTGGTGGAATGCACTACGAAATGAAAGCTAGAAAATTTATTGAAATTAGAAACCAATACAAAAACTTGTTGACCAAATAACACTTACCTTCTCTAAAATTTATTAATATCTTACATAAATCTATTTACGTTTGGTGATTTCACTTACCTCATTTCTTTCTGTCAGGCTGTTGTAGTATGTCATTTTACTGTTTTATCCGTAAAATATTTATCTTCATTTCAAATATTAGAAAAACAAAACTAACCTTCTACCAATTTTATTGATACGATCCATTTACAACCTTAACAATGACCCATTGCATTATTAGAGGTGTGTGTTATCACACTACCTTGAGGGTGACATGGTCAGTAGTAACACCATTATAGAAGGAATGTCAATCATAAAACCTTAAAGAAAACAAAAAATTCTATGATAATTTTTTTTTCAAAAAAAAAAATTATTATTATCAAATTTGTCACCTCTTGTGTTGCGTAGGTGCTAATCTAGTTGGGATGTTTGTAGTTTGTCACCTCTTAATGGTACTATTTTAAATAATCCCATGGAGATAGTCTAGTGACAAATATTCTCAAATTTTATCTTGAAAGGGGAGAGGTTTTTTTTTTTCCGGTAATTAAAAAAAAAAAAAAAATACTATAAAGTCCTACAAATTACTACTACTAAATTTAAAATGTAAAAGTAACAACTACTGTTTTTTTTAAGGAAGAGCGGAAGTTGCCGAGGCCCTGCCAGCATGGGTTTACTTTTGCAGTTCGGCCCAACTCGAATCAAAACTTTGGATTGGACTGGCCCACTCTACACCCTAGTGCTAGTTATTTTAAAATAATAATAATAAAAAAATAAATACTACAGTAATAAATTAATAATTAAAAGATCAAATCTTTTATTCGACCCAAATCGGAATCTCTATTGCATTGACCCCTTTAACTGACCTAGTTAATAAAATAGGTTTTAATGATACTGTAAACTACAATGACCTGAGTTTGATTTAATTACAAATAAATTTGAAGTTTGACCCCATTTTGCAAACACCTCCCCTTTGTACAAAAATCAGTATTTTTTGTCAGAAAATTTATAAAATACCCTTCAACTAAGTGGAAAAGACCCTAATACCCTTATATTGTGATGAAATAACAAAAAAAAAAAAACATGTAATAGTATACCAAAATACCCTTTAAATAAATTTAGGATATATTAATATATTTTGATTTGTAATGTTGTTATAATATATTTGATCTAATAATATTCTTAAATATACAATATATTTCGATTTATAATATATTTAATCTAATAATATTTTCAAATATACACTATATTATATTAAATCAATATAAATTACAGAACCACATGCCCTTGGTGGTGATTATGGGATGCTATAAGAGGCCCAACACAACCATCGTCTCCAAAAAAAAAATAATTATTAATAATAATGAGAGAGCCAGAGAGATGGAAACAGAACCAAGAAAAGATTGATTAGTTGGATGAACCTGCATCTGAAAATGGATTTAGTCTCAGTTTCAAACACCAAATCCACAAAAGTATGCACAAATCCTGGGTGCCCAATCTAAGAAAATGTATATTTAATTAACAAAACACAAGATAATTATGTCACACGTACTTAATTGTCATTAGGCAAACAAGATAAATAGAAACCTGAATTTACTTTTCCTTCAACCAAAACAATGGTGTCAAGGCCTTTTCTACAAGGTAGGAAGAGAAGTTTCAAAAACCTTATTTTTTATACTAGTGCTAGTGATTTATATTTTTATTTATTCCTGAACAAGTACAAAAGAATAATAGTGTTGGGTGACTTTATATCCACAGTTGAATAGACTAAACAAGCTGCATCACAACAATCCAACAAGATGCTCCATCAATGTACAAACAAAGAACATGCAGTTGAGGAAATGAGTGCATTTGACATTTTACTATCCTACCAAGTAGAACAATTCACCATTTTCCTCCATTATGATGAAAACCCTTTTCCCCTTCTCTAAAAAAGTAGCACTTTCTCTCATAATTTTTTTTTTTTTTAAATAATAATTAGTGGGCCTAGGTTAAATTTTATCCAAAAAAAAAAGTCAATGCATCGGGGCTGCTTAAAAAGAGGACTTACTGATCGAAAGGTGAGGATCAACGGTCTGGAGTGCTCCACTAGTTGATGCCAATCCATTCAAGCTGTGCTCAGGTCAAACATTCATATATGATACACAAATACATGTGAGAAGTGAGATATCAGCATGTCAAGAGGAGAAGCACATGGAAATGAATATACATTAGCTGTAAAGCCTTGATATGAGGAAAGGAATATATAGTTTCATACTTACTGTTGGTAGCTAGAGACACCATCCCTCTCCAGTTTTGGGGGTGTGAGTTATCTGGGCCAGCTTCTCACTATCTTGATAATTGAACTCCAATTGTCTGTACTAAAGAGGGTGTCTACAACAATAAGTCTAGCTGAATACAGTTACTTGGTGTCTGTGTAAAAGTCCTTTTCTTGGATAAAACACACACTAGTATGCAAAGAATGCGCACCAGTGCCAGGATAATTTAACTGACACCAATCCAATATTCATCACAGAATGCACACAGAGCAATGAAGAAGTACTTAAAAACAGTAATATACAAAAATGATCCCATCATGTTAATGTTTTTAGTCAGAATGACTCCATCTGAAAGACAGCGGGTTTATTCCATTTCATGCACAAGATCATGACCTTTCAATGATTTCACAAGGATGACAATCATTCAAAAAAAAAAAAAAAAAAAAAGACGGACCATTGGATGAAGTAATTAGAAACAATTTAAATTTTTTAACATAATAGGAAAATAACTTGTAATAGAAAAAATAAAATAAAAATAAATCATGTGGCTAATCCTATTCATATGGAATAAAGTCAGTGATGATGATGACAGCAATAGTTCAAGAAACTGGAAGTTTGCAACAGAAACTACCCAAAGAGGCAAAAAAATAAATAAAAAATGGAAGCACCTCTTTTCGATATGAACTGCTCTACAAGAGGAGTTCAGAAGCTCCCCAGGCATAACAAATGGTCCCACTAGGATTTTCTGTCTACAAGAAGATTTCATAGTTCGAAACACCTCAAATGAAAGCACCTTAATGCAACTACAGCTACTTTTAATTGAACAAAAAAAAAAAGGCAACAGTCAGAGAGCAAATTATGACAATAATGAGGATAAATTTACTGATCAATTGCCACTACATGTAAAGAAATGACAATGACGAAATCCGAGTTTTTGCTGAACTCTCTCTTACACTCACAAGCTAGTAATGAGAAAGTATTTTGGCTAAATATGGAAACACCAACAACTATGACTATGACATATGACAATAATTCTTGAAAGATCTATACATATTATATACGAACTTAGTTTGGTGTATCATGACCTAACCAATAAATCAAATAAGAAAATTATGGAGTTCTAGTATGATTATTTCGGAAGAACCTGAGACAATACAACAGTCAAATGCTGTTAACCAACCTTGCTAATTAATGGCCCTCAGAATCCAAATGGCTTTAGTTAACAAAAGAAGTTTCTTGTGCTGTAGATTATTTAACAGTTTCGACTGCTGGCCTGTGAATTACAACAGATAATAATTGTAAATAATAATAAATAAATAAACCATTTAAATATTTAAAGATTAACACTTTTCAAGTTTTGTATTAGAAAAAATAATTGCTTTATGAATTTCTTCTTACCAACATTGCAACATGCTGTTTGATGAGTGATGATAGTAAAAGTTCCTTTGCATAAGGCAATCATCTTTGAGATGCAAAAAGCAGGCTTCTTATCAAAGGAAATCAATTTTAAGACAGTTACTCCAGTAAGATTAAACACCATTACAATAAAAAATCTCCAAAAACCCCAATAAGGAATGCATTCCAGAAAAATCTTCTTTCTTCCGGTGCAGACGAAATTTCGACATGGAAATTGCGATGAAATTTGAGCATTTTGTGGAATCACTAATTAGCAATGACAAATATTCTTTCTTGGACTTCATTTGATTTTAACCAAAAATTCAGTTACATTAAGTTTAAACACATTCTGAATGCAAGAACACATATTTTGACACAATGATCTTGCACCACAATTTTGTATGGGAACTCCAGCATTTTCACAAAGAATCCATTGCAGTTATCAAGAACAACATTTCTTTCCTAGTGTCACGGCAGCCCCACTTTCATTTACAGTGGGTGCACAGGGAGCGTAACAAGGTTGCCCATATCCCAAGTCAATTTGCTAAGTCTCAAAAGCAGTGGTCTGTTTAGAGAGTGAGTTTCCTGATGTTGCATCTCATATTGCTCTCCTCCAGTGTCTGATTCTATCAATGAATTATCTTACTTGCCTTGGTTTGAAATATAAAGAAGAAAAAAAGTTATAATAGCGAGGTATTGATAGGAGTTCTGATATTTGTAGCCCGGCATAATTTCTTTTGCCCCTTCAAAAACATACAAATAATCCCTCACTCTGAAAATTTTAGTGAATATTTACCAAGTCAACTTACATTCAATTCAAATTACAGTTCACTGGAGATAATACAATAGTACAAAGAATAAGATTAGCATTAATACAAAATTCCTATTATTCATTAGTTTTGCATAATGAAGAAAACAGATGAAGGGCTCTAAGCAACATATATGGCTGAATCAACATATACATTAACACTTTCAACAACAATGCAAAGACAAATAATTGAAACCAATAATTAGTCTACAACAATGTGATTTGAGAGCAAGAAAAGCTTACACTCTTTAGCTTCGCTTGGTTGTCAAATCGGCTAGAGACTGCAAATGCTCTCAACAGAATTTTGCATCAAACTAGCTAAAGTCAGCTGCTCGAGCACTAGAACTCGATCGAATGATCATGTCAACTCTTCTTGAGTATAATTCTGAACTTTCACCAACTGATTGGTTTCGCCTCATGCGAAAGCCACTGCCTTTCTCATTACCACGAACCACAGTCCGAGAGCTCCTGCCAACAAACCTTTCACTAGCAATTCTAAAACTAGAACCCCCATTTGCCGATTTTGATTTAAGCTCAGCTCCATCATCCTCCCCCCGAAATTCATCATTTCCAGCCATGAGATCCATCAAATTATTCCTGAAACCTAAATCAGAGTACACTCTCCGCGAATTCCTCAATGGCCGAGCACATACAGCATCCCCACCATCTTCAACACCCTTTGGCCTCGAATTCAATTGGGCATTCCCTGATTCCACCGGACGTCCCACTGTCTCAACCATCAAACAGGGATTGCTAAAACCATTCCATGAATGAAGAGGAACCAATTTACTCAAGGCACCAAGACTCTCAGCCACCTCCTTCATTGAGGGCCTCCGTTCCTTACAAGACCTCACACACTTAGCAGCAATCACTGCCAATTGCTTCCTCAACGAAGGATCCTTCGGAGGCGGAATCCTCGGATCATATATAGCTAAAAGCTTACCCCTTCTTATAAGTGGAATTGCCCAATCCACAATTGAAGGTGGTGAATGCCCAACATCAATAGCTTTCCTACCACTAATAATCTCTAACAACAATATACCAAAACTAAACACATCAGTTTTAGTACTCAAATTATCAGGAGTCACATACCCTGGATCAAGGTACCCAATTGTGCCAGCCGGTGGAGTTGATCGGAGCCGGAAATCATCGACATGGCACCGGAGCGCCAACCCGAAATCACCCAACCGGGCATTGAAATTCCGATCAATCAACACATTTGCTGACTTTATGTCACGGTGGATCACCGGAGGGACAGAGGAATGGAGGGTGTCGATGGCTTTTGCTGTTTGAAGAGCGAGCCGAATTCTTCGGCCCCAATTGGGTGGCCGAGGACTGGAATGAAGAACCTCGTACAGGGTTCCATTGCTCATGAACTCCACCACCAAGAGGCGATCACGAGAATCGCTTGTGAAACCCACCAAATTGACGAGTCTCGGACTGTGAAGTTTGGAGAGTATGTCGATTTCGTTCTCGACTTCGTTGGCGCTTTCGGGTGCCGAAGAGGTGGAAAAGCGAGGAGCTGAGAGGCTGCCTCTGGAGGGTTTCTTCACGGCGACCAGCCGGCCGCCGCGGAGGACGGCTTTGTAGACCAAGCCATGGCTGCCTCTGCCGAGAAGCTTCTGGTCGGAGAAGCCATTGGTGGCTGCTTCAAGGTCACTGTACTCGAATTGTTGGATTTTGATGGGCTTTTCGATTTCTTGCTGGGTTTTCTTGGAAGAGGTTGGCGTTTGAGAATCGGAGATTGAAATGGATGATTCAGCTTTACAAGATAGATAACCCATTGATGTTGGATTAGATGCAGAGATATGACAATATATGTATATAAACTAACATAAGCATAAAAAGTGAAGAAGCTTTTTCCAAAAGGTTTTGTTGTGTCTGGAGATCTTCTGGAGATTGAAAGATGTGCTCCTGCTGGGAAGCTCGTGGTCTATGGAGAGAGAGAGAGTGAGGAGAGAGATAGAAATGGGAACTTTCGGACTATTTGGTCTTAAATTTGGGTACCAACCTGGAATCCAAAGATTGCCGATGCCAGCCCATAGAATGTGGATTATGGTCCTTGGATACAATAATTTAACTTTTGGACTTTTGGTCCACAAAGTTAAAAATTGTCATAAAGTTTTATTTTTATTTTTCAGTAATTATACAAAAATAAATAAAATTTTGTGTCCACACATACATGTCTTGATTGGAATTTTTATTATTTTTCAATTGTACAATATCAGTAACAAAATACAGATAAGATGCATAACTCATCCACCGGGCATGGATTTACAGTGAGCTCGGTGGGGCATCCGTTCCCACTAAAAATTTTTGTTTTTGCATTTTACATCTTTAAATATGTACCTTTTTGTATTTATGCCTATAAACTTTTGAAATTGTCCCCACTGAAATTATAAAAAAACTCCTCTATATAAATTTGTCCTCCCTCGTATGAATTTCTAAATCCGTCATTGCTCAACTCAATGCATGTCTTTGTCTAAAATAAATTTGAATTGAATTTTTGAATTGAACTTATTCGAATCGTAAAATTCCTGTTTTTTTTCTTATAACTCTCCATGTAAAATAAATTTGAATTGAGCTTTATTTAATTTGAACTAGTGTCTGATGTTATGAAGAAGCTTTATATAATCCAGAATTATTAATTAAATTGCAGTCACCCCTCCTAAAGTACGATTACAGAATTACTAACTGTCTTGAAATGGATATTTATGACATACAAAATCAATAACCATTAAGATCTGGTAGGAATGTCTGTTTATACGCAAAGTACACATAAGAAAATTTTAGAATATAATAATTTATGAGTATTTTTGTTTGTCCCCAAGGATTTTTTTTTTTTTGAGGTGTTGGGTCTCTTTCTTAGAACACCCTATAAGTACAATGTCTGTCTCACATACACCAAATAAGAATATAAAAAATTTCTAAGAGTGGTCTCGAGTGAATTCAAACTCTCAACCTTCTCAATGAATTTGTGAATTCAACCCGTGATGAATTTTCTGAAATAGACCCTAAATGTTGAACTTGAGATCCACTGGAGATCCGGATCTAAATTTCCTTTTAAGGTCCCAAAAATAATTTGAAAAGTTGTCACTTTGCAGTTGTCTCAAATGCTAAGATGGTAATGGTTTTGAATTGTTTACTGAAACAGAAAGGGCAATAATAACCTTTGCTCTTTGGATGCTTTTACAGTGTTTCCAAATGAAGCAGTCTGATGCTTTAAAGCAACAGGCTGTGAACTGCAACAGCTCTTTTTCCAACATTCATTGGCGCCAATTTCACCACGCTTGATAAGCCAATAGTGATTTGCATGCCATAAAAAGGGTATTTTGGGCATGAATTGTACAGTTTCACAGTACAAGCCCATTGATGTGAGCTGTGAACTACTGTAGCTGCAAAGTTGAAGGTGCAGGGTAGTTTTCACACTGTTATACAACCCCATTGGTGCAATGCCACAACCTTCTAAGATTATGATTGATTTATAGATATTGCTAATAATTGTATGGTCTTAGGAGCACCGAATTGACGCGTTGGATTAAATTTCATTTATTAATTTCATTGTCAAGACGTCAATTCAATGTTCCCAAACATAGTTTCAATGTAAGTTTATCAACTTGCTAGTATCATTAGGGAAATAATGGAATTCAATAGTGGCAAAGATTTATTTTTATAGCTCAATGTGTTATTCGAAATTTTGTCATTCTTCGAAAGATGTTGAAGTTGGTATGGTGTCCTTTTTGACTGAAATGGTAGCACCAAATAAATCTTGTCATAAGCACATGTAAATCCAAATAATAGATACACTATATATATATATATATATAATACAAAGGGGAAAAGAAAGGAAAAAAGCAAACCAGCCAAAACCAAACCAAAGAAGATAGATCCTGTGATTTCCACCACAGGAGGGGATCCGGATCCCTGCCAACTATGCCTCCAAACGTCAATGTTTTATGGCACAGGATAGGCCACAAGAGGGGACCCATCAAACAAAATGAGTGCAAACACTAAATAAAAGATGCTAAAAACAATTCTTAAAACCAACAAACACTTTGGATGCAACCTATCAAAAATAAAACTTTGAATATAACTCAGTTGATAAAAAGGAAAGAAACTATTCTAATACAATATCATCATCATTATCATTGTTTGAGTCTTGAGGGTAGGTTTTCGTGGGGAGGAGGGGTGGTTGCATTGGGATATCAAATTGACCAAATTATAGGATCCCAATTCTTTTCTTCTTCCAAACTTGATTTGTTCTCTCTCCACTTATAGTTTTAACCATAATACTCACAAAAGATAGAGAAATTAGTCACTGGCAAACATGAGATTATTGCAACACCAATCTCAAAAAGGTCAATCAAGAAAGTAGATGCCAACAAGAAGGTGAAAAAAACAGGAAAAGGAAAAGAACAAGATATGAAAGAATGAATGGAAGCTTCATCCAAAGAGTAAAGGCATGCTATAATTGGCATTAGACTTTGAAAGTGCTAATCTAATGATGCTATGTTGAAATTATGTATGCAAATTTACCTTTCTTTATGTATACTGCAAGCTGCTGGGCCTCCTCATCTTTTGTTATCCCGTGTGTCGATTCTGTACAAAAGCTGAAGAAGTTTGGTGAACTATGTAGTCGTGACCCTTCGTGTCGAAAATGATATTCAGCCCTTCTTGTGATTGAGGAATAAATTAGAAATTCATTGCTAAAATAATACAAAACGAAGGTCAAGTGGACTGCAAAGCAAACAATCATGTCTACAGCTGGCCAAGACAGCATTTTAATGAGTTTCCAGAACCACCACCACCGGGGGACCTTCTAATATCATGTAACTTCGTAGATTTAATAATAACTCTTTAATAGGTCTACAAAACTGTATAAATGAAATGGGAGCATATTTATAGTTAAAGCAAGCGACTATATTATGAACTGGCATTTCGACTAGATTAGAAGACCTACCTAGGTTAAAACCATAGTCATGAGAGTGATAATTAAGAACAGGGAATGCGAGGGATACAAAAGTGAAAAATACATCAGGATCATTTTAGTTGTATGGTTAATCAATGATTACACTTTATGCTTAGCCAAAAAAGAATGATTAAACTTCTACAAATAAAATAAAATAAAAAAGAAGAAGAAGAAGAAGAAGAAGAAGAAGAAAGAAAAAAGAAGAAGAAAAGAAACTTCAAGGGCAACTAGAAAGATAAAAAGGGGTTTAATTCAGGTGTCTAGTTGAAAAGTTCAGTTGCATTCTTGAAGCCAATTAACATTCACTTTCAAGAGAAATACCAATGCAGAAAACCAAGTAACCCTCCTTTTAAAAAAATCAAAATAAATAAATAGAGCAAACAGGATTAATAATTTAATAATAAAAAATAGAATCTTTCCAAACCTAAGTAAAACACCATAAACGCATTCAGTTTCTATTCCATATCCAAAATCCCCATAAACACCTAGCTTTCTTCTTCTTCATTATTTACTTATTGTCGATTATCCCATATCAATAGACACACCACCCTTTCCACCATCCTAAAAAGAAAACAAGAAAAAAGGAAAGTATCTTCTGTCCCTCATCAGCGAAACAAAGACATCTAAGTGGCCCTTGATTGTTGCAGCACAAAACTAACAATTTTTTTTCACAAACAAACATACAAGCAAACACGTGTAAATGGTAAAAATGTTATTTTAACATATATAAATTAATCAACCAAAATCTATCAAAACTGGCATGCTGCACTTCCATTTTTAGTTTTAAATAAATTCAAAGAGGTTTTTCAGGTAGTCATTGTCCAGGAAGAATATCGATAATGTATCAAGGTTTTAGAAAAAAACAGAAGCATCAAGGATATTAAAGTCAAGTTAAAAAAGTAAAAGAATATATCACATTTGAATTATAGCTTATACTTACATAAGAGGCATATCACACATGTTCAATGACTTAACAATAAATCAAGGACCATGACTGCATGACATTTACAAATATTTAAGACAATCATCGAGATTTGAACTGGCGAGTAAAATGTATGATTAGAGGAGACATGTTTATTACATAACTGCAGCCATAAGCATCAACTACTAATTGTTGTTTGTACTGAGAATGTAATTTTTCTTTCTTTTCCTACCAAAGGAGGACGGTAACCAGCAACTGTTTGTTTTCCTTTCTGCAAGGATTCAACTGTTTTCTAACTTCATGGTATGGGAGTAGCAGTAGACAAGAATGCTTGCATTCTGTATTGAACACCACCTCTGTCAACAAAGTAGCAGTATGTATGCAAGACTTTAAATATATATCTTTTCTTCTTCACATTCATTACCCCCTATCTTGCAATTATCATTACTTTTCTCAAATTTTCTCCAAATGACAACTTGAAATAAATAGTAGACTTGAGAAGTATATTGGACCAAACTCTAGGCTATGACTAGAGTAGCACAACGTCGTGATCTAGACCTAGAGGGGGGTGAATGGGTCTTGAATTAAACCTTAACTAATTCTAACTGATTTTCAAATTAACTTAACAGATTTCCAAATGAATCAAACATGAAAATCATGAAACCCTAAATATTATATGCACAGACCCTAATTGGTGGACGTCACAATTCAAGTTGTAATTTTCCTTGTTATCCTTACCACACTGTGAAATTCTCAATCTGCCCAAGAACAAGGTTCCCTAAAATAAACAAAAATACAGACTCTTAAGGTTTCACCACAAATTTGACATTCTAAGTCCTATAACTAACAAGACTAAAAGAAGTCCTTTCTATATATATAATAGCATATAGAGATTATGCATTAGTTATATTTCTCATCTCTTTATCTCGTAAACTAATAGTCCATCTCTTTTTAGTTGTTCTTACCAAGCCTTTAAACAAAGAAAGAAGAAGTAGACCAAAAAGAGGGTCCCCATTATATAAAATAGAAATACTCAATTACATTGATAGTGCCTTATTCAAACACTAACCAGTAAACATGAAGGTGTTAGGAATTACATATGCCCATAATATATAACATTTTTATCAACTTCAATTTGCTTAAAAAACTGAAGTAGATTATACATTTGAAGAAAAAAAATGAAAATTGTCAAATCAAGAAGGATTCAATTGCCAGTCAATTTCTAAGTGATCACAATCAATTGAACCTTTAACTTTCTTTAGAGCTGCTTGCCTGTGTTGCAACAGCAGAAGTGAGCCATTATCTAACGGTTTCTCCATCTCATCACTTATCCTCTTACGAGGCAGTTTCCTCGAGTAACTTTTCCATTTTGTTTCAAACATGCAAGCTACAAATAGAAATGTTACAAGGAAGTTGTCAGCGGCCTCAACCACTAAGAAATGAAAAATCATTGAACTGTGACAGAAACACTAAAGGAACAGAAGAAGTCAGCAAGTTGGCATCAAGGAGCAGACAACAAAGAAGAATATCTTGTTAACTCAAATTTCATTATACAGGGACATTCAGCTAGCAGAAAAACTATTACCACTTAAATGACTGTGACTATGTTGATTTGTGAACCAAAGGTGACTTCACCTGAAGTATCTTGACCCATTATTTGACAAAGTATTCACAGGAAAAACAATCGTCATTGGTCCATGGTGATGAGATATTTCATACTGGTATCAATCTTCCTGTTATGAAGCTCGTGATCACTTTATAATAGGTCAATTTTGGAAAAGACAGATATCTTTGCAAGTTGAACTATTTTTCTACAGCAACTGTGTGTGTGACAAAGTTTTAAACAGTTTGAATATAATCAAGCACCACTATCAAACCACCGTTTGGCTAATATTGAAAAGATAAGCTGAGTCTAGTGTATCTCATATTAAGACACTAAACTAGATGGTTCAGAAATCACCACACTAGGAAAGAACAAAATTGTTAAAAAGGACAACAATACTGAGACTGCATAAGAAAATAATGCATGCTCAAAAGCAAAGATATATCTCTAAGGGATAACCTTCCATTGTTAGTGTGTGACAGATCATGTTAAAAAACACCATGAACCACACCAAAGTAATTGGTAGAATTTGACAACTGTGGGGAATTGGGAGAATAAACATGATAACCAGATAACTGATGCACGCCCTCAAGTACTGTGATGTGTTGCTGTGAGTGGTAATTGCATGACTACAAATGAGCTAAACAGCATAAACCCCATACACCATAATGCTCATGCACCAGTGTTGTAAGCTATATAATCGAACAGTTTATCAAGGGTAAGCATGACTTCCAACATAATATGCAGAATCTGTTGGAAAATGCCATAAACAAGAAAGAGGAAATGGACTAGTTCAAGAAATGTGTTCTAGGATTGTCAAGAATTTCGCAACAAAATTGACCGTCCGGTACAAGGTAGCCTTGAAGAACAAGAGTATGGCTTCTAAGACAACTCGAGAGCCGCTGAATCATATTTACAATAAATGAAATGGATGGGAAGGATGCAAAATGGATATCAAGATTTCCCCAAGGTAGCATGAACATGAAATGGGGTGCCATTAGAAACAGTGGATCGTTTCAAATCCTCCAACATCTGACAATGTTAGCTCACATGAATTTTTAGCATACAGAAGTTTTAAGACATTCCTACTTTCTGATAGTGCTGCAAAAATATTAGTAGTCCCTTGATATAAGGATAAACTAAACAGGCCGTTAATATGCTATGACATTAGATTAGACAAATACCTTCACTTTGATCCTTAAATCCTCGAATAAGGCATGCACAAACCCATGGCGTTCCAGCACGAGCGGCCTTTGCACCTCCTTTCAGTTGACCATTATGTTGTTTCAAACTATAAAGAAGTACCAATAATATAATTAGAATATTTTCATCAGGTAACTTAAATAGACTACCCATGTTTTATCATCTGAGAACAAAAGGCAAAGCTAAACAGTTCTACTTTCTTAAATTTCAATATAATTAGTTTCATGAAATGCTCAGGAATCAACATCTTTTTGGCTGTGGAAGCTAAATTTCTGATGCAGAGGTTGTAAACATGAAAAGGGGAAAATTGTAAATTTCTCATAAATCTCTCTGGCTCTCTCTCCCTCACACACACGCGCGCATGCACACGCACACACAAGCACAAACCTTTTCAGCTGTGGAAACTAAATTTTTTATGCAAATGCTTTTAACATGAAAAAGGAAAATTGGAAATTTCTCATAAAGCATGGAGGAGACCACGTGCAATTGAATCTTCTCTTAAATTTAGTCTTATTTTTGTCAGTTTTCACAAACTTAATAGCCAATAAATATCTATATAATCTTTTCATTTTAACCGAGTGATTTATGGGAATTTAAACTTTCAGTCCCCATATCAAGACAATAGGTAAGGTCATAGATTCTGTTTCACAGTTCTATTTCAGTCCCCATATCAACTCCATTACATTACCAAGCCAAGCCATAATCAGCCCTAACCTATCATCCTACACAAAACCTTACCTTACCAAGCACTAATCAAACCTAACCCATTTCGCTACTCATTGTCCTTTAGTTTAACACCACAAATCAAATAAACTCTTACTTACCTGAGTTTCAAGTTTATACAAAGTTTCTTTCAAGTTTAAAACTTTCTGCATGAAGCCAATTCCCCTTCATCTATAGATATTTTCTTAACTTACAAAAAACCTACATCTTTAAGCTTCCCTTGACCTAAGCACACCATAAAACCATTCATGGGCAGCACTAATTTGATTTTGATATATTTTTTTTTTTTATTAAAATTTTTTTTGATAAGTACACTAATTTGATTTTTGACTTTCTAAAACCGTGCCTATCTGTAATCGTCCTGCATCAATTTGTTAACTTGGTGGAACTATACCTGCAAAAGAATTTTTTTTTTTTTAATTAGTAAATTTAAATGCAAACTTCAACCTACTAAAGAATTGGATGCACACAGCATACTTTTGGGCCATGGAAGGTCAATTTATTACTTAGTGGAACTGTGGAACTGTACCTACTGAAGAATGATAGAACATAAAATTTCCTACAGAATATTATCCGTCTTTCTGAATAAAAAAAGGCTTGATAATTCTCTCCTAAAACAAACCCCTGATGTTTGTTTCAGTTCCCGAACAAATGCCACAGCTCTTATGATCATTATTTGGCACCACGACTCCTCATTCGGACACATTGTTCTCGTACATTGATTCTTAACCACTTATTGCTTCCCTCTTCCCAGTCATATTCCTGTTTCCATTCCCACTTTCTCCTCTCTGAATTCACTCTAGCAATTATAAGCTAGACATAGCATCAAAGACCATCTAGTACTAAACTTGGGATATTTAAACACAAGATGATAGCTTTATTTTCAGATTAGTAGCCAAAAAAGAACAAAAACCTCACAAATGAAAGGCAAACTCCAATCCTTGCTCAGCATCCATGTTTTAGACAAGCACACAATGTTTTGATTATCATCATTATGAAAATCAATCTGAGAAAGCATAGTCGGGTTACTAAATTAATGGATCAAATAATCAAAGTCAAAGATGTGTACTTTCAATATAAAAAATTTCAAATGAAGCATTGGACAAAGAATCACGAGATATAGCACATATAATAGAATGATCTTTAATTTAATTCAATACCCACAACCGAATATTGAAATTGATATTAAAATTTTCAGAAGGAAGCAACGGGTAATTAAAGAATTACAGATATAATAGCATGATATTTCATATAATTCAACACCCACAACCGAATTTTGCCATAGAATTTGGAAATCGATATAAAAATTTCCAAACAAAGCATTGGGTAAAGAATCACAGATATAATAGCATGAATTTTCATTCTCAATACCCGCAATCGAATTTTGCCAGAGAAATCGAGAAATTTCAGAAGAGATTGGTTAAGGGTATACCGGCGAGAGAAATTGGTAGAAACACCAACGTAAGTTTTGATTGGGTCGCCGGTGGAGAGGATGAGATATACGCACCATGATTGCTTCGACAATGTCAATCTTTTCAATGAGGTGGATGTTGATGGTGACGAATTCGATGATTGGGAATGTAGTGGTGATGATTTTGGTGGTGTAGGGTTAGGTAGACAACTATGAGGCTTCAGGGATCGGAATGTCTTTGACAGTAGCCTCACCATCATCTCAGGCTACGATGATTTTATGACTCGTGTTTAGTCTTTTTTGTATTTTGCTTTTAACAACGTAAACGTTACCTCTGGTCCTCTACATCTACAGGTAGAAATTTTCACGTCACATTTATTTTATAGGTAGAACAAATATGTTAATATGATTTAAGTAATTTAAAAATAAAAATAAATATGATTAAAATGTATTCCAACTTTCAATTTGAAAGTATAAAGCATTGATGAAATTTAGAACAAATGTTTTGGAGACATGATTTAAGAGTGAAAATTTTGAACACAATATGTATGAAAATTTATAATTTTCTCAGTTTCTCCTCTATTCATAATCTATTTAATTTTATATATATCAAAATGGACAATAGAGTTTTTTCACCTCTTTTTTAAGGGGATAATTAACTGCAAAAAAGGTCTTGTAAAATTTGTTTAATAGCTCGGGGATTTATTTGCCAAAAACATAATTAGGGAAGTTCTGTGTCACAAGTAGGGATGGAACCGCAACGAGAGGAGATCGCATTCCCCATCCCCATTTTCCGTGAATTTTTTCACCCCATCCCCATCCCCGCCCCTGCCCCACCCCCTAAACCGGCTAAAGGTTAAAGAAAAAATATATATCCTCTATTGGTGAAAGTAAAAAGTAAAAGAAAGATATAAAAAGGTGAAGGGAAAGAGACTCCTCAATTAATGAGAGACGGAATAAAAAAAAAAAATTTAAAGTTGTTCTTACATGTTATATATATATATATATATACACACACTTACCCTTAACATATATTTAAGGACATTTTTGTAAACTTACACCATAAACGGGCCTAGACAGGGCAGGTTTACCCTATCCCCAACCCAGCCGGGTTTTCAAAAATCATCCCCATCGTCATCCCTATTTACATAAAAGGATCCCCAATCCCGCCCTAAACAATGCGGGGCGGGTCCCTGCCAGATTGGAGATTATTTATCCATCTTCTTGTTCTTGTTTATTGAGTGGAGATCATCTATCTTCTTGATTATCTGAAATTGTGTGTTCTTTCCATGGAACTGTGGTCCTATACATTCCTCACCTAAAAATTACAAAAAAAATAAATCTGGTTCTTTACTGTGGGTTTACACAAAAAAAAAAAAATCAAAATTTGACGTTCTTTCAGCCTACCAAAAAGACAAACAACATAAAAGCTGAATGGCAAAACAAAGAATATTAAGATGCCAATCACAAAACTAAAATTCATCTTATTGATAATTGATGAAAGTACAAGTGTTGGCCTGCAAATACAAAACCAGGGGGAAGGAAAGTTTCAGATGCTAACTACTACTCAGAACTCAGAAGCAGCTTGCTGACTCAACTTCAAAAGAATATGCTAAATGAAAACAAATTCTATTTCTTAGAACTACAAATGTAAATGAAAAAAAAAAATCAGCAAAGTCCTTTGATATCCTTCGCGCTATCTACTCTAACCGCTTTCAAAAGAATGGAAATGGGAGCCAGATGAGAGATCATCCCTGGCAGAGAGTAAAAGAACACACAACCAAAAGCCTTCCATCCAATTTAGAGATGCCGAATCTTGTGTACATCGAAAAAGGGGGCATCCTGACATATCCCCACGCGTAAGAACTAAAAACCATGGTAGAGATGGTCGGTGAATACTAGCCTTCTAATTTATCTCATATTCTGCCTAGTCTTGATCATTCGTTTAAGAGTCGCTAACCAGAAGTTGCATTCATCCCAGTCACAAGTGGTAAGAAGAACCTGTACCAAGCAGAATCAACAAAGGGACAAAAATGTCAATCTATAAAGCATAATAATAATAATAATAAAGAGAGAGGGGGAGGAATGAAAAGAATTTGCACATCTCAATCAGAGTTGCCTCTCTAAATTATCAGGACCGTTACCTGGACCTGGAGGGCAGCATTGAAATCACCATTGTCCAAAGCCTGACAAAGGTTAGCAAGCCTCTCAGCAGCACTTTTTGATATGTCCCCACCATTAAGTTTACCAAACAATGCACCTATTTTCCGTGAATTGTCTTCTATTTCCCGCTTCTTAGATGGATTTGCACGAGAACCTCCCAGCGCTTCTGAAGTCTCGTTAAAAAGTCTTGTCAAAGTTGTAATAACAGGCCTTTGATGCGCTGGAGCACATAATGCACAAAGCTAAATAGGTTAGATACTGCAAAATGAGCAAAACCACTATAGGCTGCTTTCAGACAAATAACACAACATTAGAATAAAAAACAAAAATAGAAAAAATGCAAAAGAACAGCATTTTACAGAAGAAAAGAAAATACCAACAAAAATTCATTTCTCAGACCAGCGACTAGTAAAGAAATATTAGATGATTTAGTAAATTTACCAAAGAGAGAGGGAGAGATCCCAAGGGGACAACAAGGGTGGCTTCAAGACCACCCTTTAGGAGTCCGAGCCCCACCCTTGTCTCTTTACTTAACAACCAAAACATATTGTACTATGAAATTCATTGGTCAGAGCAGTATAGGTGTCGATGGCTTAGCTTATTTTAGTAGTCCTCAAACTACAACCCACATTCTTCCCAACAACCAAGTCTTTTAAAATTGCTTTTCAGGCAATAGTCCCAAAAAAATCCTCCGATCAGCTATCTTTGAACAAGAGGTTGATGCCATGAAGGGCATCAAAGCATCATTTTGGGTGTCCAGCATTCTACAATATATAAAAATATACTCTAATGTTAGCAATTACTTTGCCAGGATTACAATCAATAAGCACTACACCATTACGGGATCCAACGCCAGTCGCATAGCACTGTTGTCATACACCTAGACCTTAACACAGGCTTTTTTATCTTTCAGTCTTAGGTGTAACTTCATTAGTGGAAAGAGAACTTTGAATCCCTAAAATCGATTATATTATCAAACATAAATTTAAATAAACGGGTCCTTACTCATGGTCCCCGTTAATCGAGGGTGCTATGACGGTTGATTAGAAACAGACTTATTCTTTGGCATTAATTGCACAAAGTGGCTGCTCATCAAACATAGATTTGAATGCGTTGCTTTAATTTTTCAATGACTAAATTACACGTCACTGAAACAAATGTTTTCATCAAATCCCTAACCCACTAACTGGTCCATGTTTGTCATATTGGATATTTATGAATCGGATATTGCCAACCACACAAAATAAGGAGCTTCAGATCTTTTTCACCCAACTACAATTGCAACTCTCATAAATTAATTTTGAAAGGCAGAGAGAGAGAGAGATTACCAGGTACATTGGAAGTATCCGCTGTCTGTACTGTAAGCAAGGGAGCTGCAGAAGTTATGGCTCGTTGTACTGATGCTGGCTGAGTAGCACTTGGCGGTTGCATTGGACCCATTCCAGGATTTTTAATCCCTGAGTTAGTAATTGGCATAAATCCCCTAGTTGATGGGGTGGAAGCCACAACCTGAGGCATCTTATGCCCAGGAGGTGGACCTGGTTGAGAAGATAATGGGTCAAGTGAACCACCACCAGGATTCCCAGCTTGATAACTATGGTTAGCAGTCCCCTGAAACAAAGAAGGGAAGTTCTATTATATCATTCAGATTTTAAATATTTCACTTAAAAATGAAGTGCATATACATACAGGATATAACTGAGAACCCAACGTGGGCTGCTGATATTGCTCCACATTTCTCAACGCAGCAGGAGTTGCAGGAATGAATGGTTTTGCTGCAGGCTGAGCAGCAACGGGAGGTGGAGCAAAAGTTGGCTAGAAGGAAAAGGGGAAAGAATCTTAGTTCATTATGGGAAACAATCTTTGAAGGCGGTATTTTTCATATACTATCTTGTAATATAAAAATGTGAAGAAAAGGGGATGCGAGACAAGTTCACACAATTGCAATATCAGAAGGCAAGAAATTCCAGCTAGAGTATCAATTAAAGACATAATGTATACGTTAAACATGAAAAAGAACACTGCTTCTAGCTGAAAGATCAAAAACCAAAACTACTTCAGAAAGAGCAACTATAATTGAACTTCTACACAGCCGAAACACTAAAAAAATCTCTCTCAGGATGGCTGGGTAGTTAACTATGAAAAGGAACAATGCTTTTGATAACAGATTTATAACCAAGCAAATTCCAAGAGAGTGACTATAATTGATAAACATCACTTGTACGAAGCCGCAAGAATGGAAATAAAAACATATTTTCGCAAAGCCAGCTAGTTGAAGATGAAAAAGAGCAATGCTTCTGAATTATGTAAGACAGTCGCCACTAAAAACAAAGAGCAAAACATTATTATTATTACTGCTGATGTAACTAAGCAAGTATGACCTAGTTAATTAACTCCCAAGGCGAATAGACCAATGATGCAAATACCTGATGTACTTGAGGTGGCTGGGACGGAAGAAATATTTGAGGCTGCGGTGCAGACTGATATGGTGCAGGAGCACCAAATCCTCGCCCATAAGAACCAAAAGACTGTTGGTAATTTTCACTATAAGGACTGCTAGGAACATTTTGCTGCGGTAACAATGGTGCTGTTTCCTAAGCAGAAGACAGCATAAAAAATGAAAACAAAAAAAAAAAAAAACTTTAATACTAAAGCAGCAATTAAAAGAAACTGCAATACAAATATATCACATATTGAAGAGATGCAAAACAAAAGAACCTGATAATAATTTTGAGAAGCACCAAGACTGGATTGTTCAGCACCATATACAGATCCTGTTTGTGATTGAGAGTTTTCAAAAGCCACAGACCTGGGCTCTTCTTTTTCTGCGAGAGAGAAAGAATCATAAGCCGGCTAAAATTTCTGGGAACACAAAGCTCACCCACAATAGGTGGTACAGAAACTTATTATCAGTGGGGAAAAAATCATCATCATAGATACAATACTATTATATAAGGATTACCAGCATGCAACATATTACAAAAAAATGAACAGGCAACTTCTGGATCCTATAAGGACATATGATGGACACACTGAAAATAAGAAGTAATATTCTGCCCTTGTTGATCTTATCAAAAAACATTTAATTTTGATTTGGAGGTATTTATAATCCACAACTCAAGAGTTTACCTTAAATTTATATCATCTTTTGTTTCCTAATTGCAAACATAGAAACCAAAACTAAATTGATTGTATACATATTTAAAGTGGTAATAATATTACATTTAATTTTGATTTGGAGGTATTTATAATCCACAACTCAAGATTTAATCTTAAATTTATATCATCTTTTGTTTTCTAATTGCAAACATAGAAACCAAAACTAAATCGTGAAAACATAGAATGAATATTCTTCTTCTTCGATAATGTAATAATGCCGTCTAATAGGTAAGGCGCTTGTCATATTCACTACCTCTCTAAGATGCTTTCTAGCATTTATCAAAAACTTCCATTAATAATATCAACTTCCTATTACTCGCTCACCATATGCACCAACCATTTTGATCATATTAGCAGACATACGCTTTTAAGCAAACATTTGTTTTGATAAGTATGCTTTTAAGCAAACTTAATGGAAAATATTTAATAATATAAACATTACTAGTTTCTTACACACAATCATCACAATCTTCTTCAAAAAAGTTCACGCAATTACCATTAACTCCATTTCTTTCATTGATCTAAGAATTTTTTTTTTTCCCCATTAGAAACTTTCTAATGACTTTCAAAACTTATAAAAAGTAGGCAACATTTTCCTGAGTTTCAATCAGATATCATATAACTGCCAAAATAGACCTTATCACAATGACTAATTGACTATACTCCAAATTCATTCTAGTGCCAATACCTTTAAGATCACCAATTCAGGAACAATGATTCCATATGGTACGATTAATTCATGTCCATTTTCTCTTATTGGCCCTCTATTTAGAAGTTAAAAATCCAAACATAAATAGGAGACCTACCTCAAAGGTCGATGCACAAAAACTTTCAATTCTAAAATGAAAGATTCTCTAAGCACGTACAAACATGTGGAAGAAATGGTTTTCATTTGGAGTTCTGTAGATTCTCTCTCCCCTGAATAAGATTCCAAAGATACCCAATAATACAAAAAAGCAGGAAGACAAATGAAGAATATTTATGTCAACCTTGAAGCCCTTCAAAATATTTTGAAATCCCAACGTTAAAATATTCATCACTACCATGTAGATCCTGACTACACGATGAGTAATATCCACATAAATATCATTAAAAAATTTATTGTGGAAACCTGATTTTGAAATTCTAATACAGCGACCTTTTTAGTTAGTTGAACATGCCTAAGAGAAAATCACAGCCACAATATCTACATCCAATTAGGTGACACTCGTAAACCTGCTTCACTCACCACTTGACAGTGACTATAAAATGAAAATTTAGAACGTGGTCAGGGATTTGTGAGAGGAAGGATGTTCAAGTATCAGATTGTGCCATCACACGTACACATGCACATGCAAGTAACTACTCATGGTCATGCTTTAAGAAGGCATGCAAAACCATGTATCGGCTGTAAATGCAAGTAACTACTCATGGTCATGCTTTTAGAAGGCATGCAAAACCATGTATCAGAAACCATGTATCAGCTGTATTGTCTAGTATAAACAAAGGAGCATCAAAATAACAAAATATACTGCAGATCAATTTTAGATCGATTACAAATTGGACAAGGTCAATTCCAGAAAATGATATAATTCAACGGTCAAACTAATCAACTTCATTAACAATAGGCATGAATCGGGATCCTAATGCAAATGGATACATATGGTCCAATGGGGACTAGAATTTCCAAGAACATTTGGAACAACTAGTTTCTGATCTGAAGAGTTGTTTTCAATCCATTAGCATTAATGTATTTTCATATATATTGAAAGAAACAAGAGTGCCCAATGCGTAAATCCTGAAATAAACCAAAGAGTTTCTTCAAGGAATACGAGGAATATCTCCAAATCATCAGCAAACTAATTAGAAAAAGGCACATAAAAACTGCAAATAAGTTTTTACTAGAGAAACATACCCGGTTCTGCTGAACGAGCAATACGATCCTGTAAGATCATGAGTTCAGGAGACAATTCCTCAGTCCCCATAAGCTTTAAGTATTCCATAGCTGTAGTTAAAAGCCCTTGACTTACTAATATTTCAGCATAATTCTCAACAAGCTTGCACAAAGAAGTGCTAAATCGCTTCTGCCCGGTTGCCAACGCAAGGACTATAGTCTTTTCCATTAAATCCTAATGAGAAATTAATAAATCTTGTCACATCCTTGACTTGAAAAGTATATTTCCAATAAAATTCAAAGGTAGGACAATAACCTGGACAAGATCAACATAAGATTTTCCCTCATGCTCTGCCAGACTCCGTGACCAAATTTCCACTGTTCTATCGATATTTCCAGCACATATATAACATAAAGTTGCAGCTAGCGTATTGCCAGCACCCATGAGTCTAGAAGCAAGTGTGTCACAAAGCAAAGTCCAATCCTCTCTCTGTGCAAACTGTTTGTATGGCAATGATAAGAATAATGAGAAAAGAAACAATGTTATAAATGCCACAATCTCAAGTTCATTATCTTTCACTTCCATGTATAGAATAATGGTAACCAAAAATGATTTTAATACAAATAAATAAATACATACATATATATATATATATATATATACATACACATACATATATACACTTATCCAAGTAAAAAATTATTGGGCCTGCTTTTGGTCTGCATTAGTTCTGGCAAAGGCACCATGACCACAACAAATGAAGAGGGGCGCTGAGTCTTTCGTGACAAGAGGGATTTCTTGACTTCATAATTATAATCAAGGGTTGAGCGTTCTAGAAAATTTTGATTAAGAATTCACTCTGAAGAGCAAAAATTTCTACAGCATTTGCAGCAAGTGATTGCAGCAGATAGGGGTGGAACTAAAATGAGACAGTGACAGCCAAAGGACCCCCAAAACTTTGTAAACCCCTAAAAAACGAGTTCCCTATAAATGGTGAACATGAAAACAGAAAAAATGATTCAACATGTGAAACTCCGAGGCCCCACCCCAAAACTTATAAAGAACTTCAATTTTGGATATTTTTGCCTCACTTTTAGAAGCCCACATTTAGAGGGAATGGTCATAAGACCCAAATATAACACATATCCCCTGCTCATTTAAGCACTAAATGGATTATGAAATAGTTTCTATTTACAAATAATCTTATCTTAGATCTTATATTGTAAAAAAGAGAAATATATTACCCCCCAAAACACACAACAAAAAGGAAGGGGGGGAGGAAATGAGTGACATTTACTAAGTCTGCCCCTTTCAGCAGATATGGGGTACCAGATATGTACTGCTTTAGTTCCATCATCAGATTTTGGGGTTTTTATATCTCGGGCATTATCATGCAAAATCAGGAAATAGAGTTGTTAAAATTTCAAATAAAAAAATTGCACAAGGGACAGACAGTGGAGAGATTGCCCGAAATTTCCTGTAACAATATTTGCATTCCTTTCATATACATATAGATTTCCAAATATAATCGAAGAATGAAAACAATCATGACAATGCAGTGTCATACAGTAATATCCTGATCCCTAAATTTTGAGAAACTTACAGTGCAGAGGAGAGCAAGTGTTTCTTTCCAGGATTTCAGGGGCCTAATGTTGACAAGGCTTATAAGGTCATTGTTCAACATCGCAGAAACAACCTGGAGGTGGAAATGAAATGATAGAAATTCTCAAAACAAACAGTAGTCATCCCATAGTTAGTATAAGTAGAGGAGAAAAAATCTTAATTCATCATATGAAACCATATCATTACTTGAAATTAGAAAAAGAACAACACAGCTTCTTAAGGAGAATGGGTGAACTGCTTAAGAGGTAAACTGCTTCCAAAAAAAAACGGAATGAAATTTTTACTACCTTAAGATAAGGAGAATGGGTCATCTTGAGGTACTGATCACGCGTACTCTCCCACAAGAAAGAGCCACCAAGATGAGAAATAACTAAAGCATCGGCCATTTTCTTTGCAGAAATGCACTTTTCAACTGCCCCCTTGTAGTCCCCAACAACCAAAGTTCTTTGAATGGCGTCATCAAATGATGGGTCAGTAGACTCAACACTCTCCTTTTGTACATTCGTTTCTTGTTGCATTTCTTCCCCATCAGGAACAGAGGCTCCAACAACAAAGTTGTCCCCAGAAGTCGACAGAGGTGTATCAGCCTTAGGACTTGGAAGATTGTTAAAGAAATCCTCTCCATTATCAGAAGGGAAGAGAGTGGTTTCTTTGTTCCCCACATGTCCTTCTTGATCAGCTAGCATTTCTTTGGGGCCAAGACCACTTAATTCCTGAGATATGTCTTCTACAGTATCTTTTCCTTCAGTAGGTAGACTGAAACCAAGGTGGTTAAGCAGCTTTGTCCTTGCTGTTCCATCATCCTCAAACATAACCTTCAATAAATCCCATGTTTCTCGTTCATCCTCCAATCTGCTCAGGCAATTCAATGAAAACCACATATTTCAAGTAATGGATCAGTTCAGCACTTAAATTAAGGAGAAAAGAAATAAATTTATTCCTTTGCACAGAAACATACATGGACTCTTCAGATTTTTTATCACATAAAAGCTTCAGCGAAGATCTCTCTCCGTTTTGTATCGCTGCTTTAAATTCAGAGGAGCGACTCACTAAACTGTGTTCTGTAACTAAGTTATGCACAAAGACCTGGAACAAAGAGGAACAGAAAATGCCATGAAATGAGAACCAATTAAAAGAAAACGAGAACCAATTAAAACAGAACCCACTAAGCATACCTCTGAAGTTACAGCTGGAGCATTTGTGGAGCAAAATGAAACAAGCTTGCCTCCAAAACCAAAAGAGACTCCTGCTTTACGTTTGTACCATTTTGGGGCTCTCAAAGGTACTGCATAGAATGGATAGAATGTGAGAACAAAGATCGAAACAAGTAAATTAAAAGGGGGGAAAAGAACCACCACTGATTAAAAGTAAAAAAACATGCAAAAAATTAGCTGAAAACTTATAAAAGTTTATAAGAGGGCTGATTGGTAAGGAGTGACAAAATGAGTACTTTGATTAGGCAACTTTAAATTTGTGGAACTCAATACTGATAATCTTGACAACTTTTATAATCCTAAATACCAATTCTAATAGATGTGTGCAGACTAGTTCTTTTCGCACAACTTTTGACCTGAAATCTTCAATGTCCTTCAGAGATCTGACTTACGCACTCCTGACAGGCTCTTGCTTGTCCAGAATATTTCAATTGGATCTCCATCATTTTTTGACCTAAGGAAGACTAGGCTGTCTCTTATCAGGTCATGTGTAATTTGCCTTTCCTGGTTTCCAAATAAATAAAGTTTTCTTTTTTTTTTCGATATCCCGATGCTCATCTCCATAAGTTATTAAAGGAAATTCTCCTTCATATTTGAATAGGAGTCCAACATATCATATTTTTTTAGTAAAATACCAATTCAGAGACCAAGTCCTAATTCTAGTGGCAATAGTGTCCACAATTTCTCTCTCAATACACGAAACTATATAAATGAACTTGCCACCTACACTGAAAATAATTTGACCAACATTACATCTTCCATATGGTTCTTGTTAATATTGAACTGACTACTAAAAAGCTACATGGAACTATTACAATAAAAAGATAATCAGGGTGTAATATGTGAGCATATAAATATGACTTAATGCAATTTAAGGCTTTAAGCTCATTATATAAATAGATTTATCTAAAACTCATAAGTAGGCCCATCATAAACTCCTCTGATAATTGCAGATCGATAAATGTTTGAAACCCAAAAGCAAACAAATCGCACATAAAAAATTCATGTTGGATGGACAGATGTGGAATATCTGATCTTAAATCTTGCTGTTGGACAGTAACAAGTCATTTTGAAACAATACAACATTAGGATTATCTAGAAACTACATTACCTGAAACAAAATCACCTTCTCCAACACCATATTTGCTGCAACCCTACAGGAAAAAATCAAATGTAAATGATGCAGGACGGGTAGGGGCGCTTCGATATCAAAATTCAAGGAGAATAAGAGAGAGGAGAAGAAGAAGAATGAGGGGGAAGGAAAATCTGTAATCACTCAATATTGAATTCAATAATCATAAAAAGGTGCCTTAACAATGTTATCATCCCACATATAAATAGGCATCAAGGAAAACCCTGATCAAATAAATAAAACCCTAAAATACTAAGTTACCAAAACATCCCTAAAATCAAAACATACTAATATAGTTATAATATAAAATGAAAATCAACCCTAATTATCTATCTTTGCCAGGTCTCCAATTAGAGGCGACACATGCACTTCAAGCTTTCGGGCTATGTCCGATTCTCCATCAGTCCTTCCCGGTTGAGAAGAACTCTCCTCCAGAGAGTAAATGCATATGTACATTATCTTAATCTGGATAGCCTTTCCATCGCACAAGGTAATAATTAATGTCTCCAATATGAAAAGCATCACTCTGATAGTCAAAAATATCCTCAATCCATTCCATATAATGCAGCTGAGAAGGAAGAAGAACTAATGCTGGTGCTGAAGGAAATGTAACTCCACCTGTAGGAACACATGACAATAGAATAGGAAGCTAAAAGGTGCCTAGGTCAGATAGCAAACACATGACATCTATATCTGGGTGTTTGAGTAAGTTATTTGCACGTAAGACATTTATTCCAGAGAGATTGCGTGTTGAATTAATGTTGATGGATCTTGTCCCACTTTGCATAAAAGAAACTGTAACTCATCAAGTAGGTTAAGGAGTTCAGGATTAGTAGATGGAAGCATAAAGAGTCTATTTCCAATGTTTAGGAGTTGTTGGACCACTTCCCTTTCGACAATTCTCTTTCTCTCACTTTCATCTTCACACCAGTTAATACAATTTTCGTGTGATAGGAAGTTTGGTCTGCGCTAAACAATCTTAGTCTTGCCTGGCATAGAACACAACCATTTGGGACATAAAATGATGTTCTCTAGGTCAGTGGAGATAGTTCAAAGAAGGTTGGTGATGGTCATGGTGTCCTAATGGAATTGTATACACATAAGAATGTTTGGGGATAATGCTGATATAGGACTTAAATTGAAATAAGTAAAACCAAATTATAACTATCACAATGCACAACTAAGAAAACCAAATGCAATGAGATTGGTATGCCAAAATTAATGCGCCGGTTGCAAATATTTAGTTGCAAAAATTAAGTGAAAACAGTTATAACAAAATAAGAGTGGATGTAGTGAGATCAAAGGCAAATGGCAATAGAAAGAAATAAAATAGCGATTGATGTAAATAGTTTACTTCACTAATCAAATGGTTTCAGTTAGGACCTTTTTGCAAATTTCTAGACTAATCAAATAGATAAGGTACTAATCACAATTTTTCAGTTGAAGTATACGTACCTTTTTTCCAAAGTCCAATGCAGCTCCCAATTGTGGAAGATTACCCGAAAGTGGTTTGTGTGAACTGAAATAGAATTCTGTTATATTTTTATTTTATTTTTTTTAGTTGTTGTTGTTGCTGCTGAACTGGTTCAAGCTTGGACTGGTTTTCTACTAAAGTGATTAGCTGGAGAACGGTTCAGTTCTGGGTTAGTTCCATAACTAGGTTAGCCCTGTACTTGTAAACAAACAGTCCCAATGTGACTTCTTTTATATATATCTCTGCTCTTCCTTTTGCAAAACAACAGGCGGACCCACAACTTGCAATCGAACCTTGACCTCCCAGCAACAACCAGTGGAGGTTCTTACGAGGATGACGAGCTGACCAGATGATGGCGACGACTAGAGAAGTTCCCAATAACGACGGGATGGTGACAATCTGTCAACGATTGATGATGATGAGAAATTCCGATGACGGCAAGAGATGCTTCGATAACGAAGGTTTGGAGAGGTGAGGATCCCGGCGACGATGGCAAAAGAAGTTCTGGGAACGATGCTGTGGAGCAATAATAGACTATGAATTTGCAGCAAGGTTGCTTTGATGGCAAACCACAAATGGTTTCCAACAATGGCTGTTGGCTTTGGTTCCAAATATAAAAGAGAGATGGGTTGTGGGTTCGGGTTGCATTGGTGTTCGGGTTTTGGGTTTGGATTGCGATTGGACTTGCGGGCTTGCGGCTTGGATATGGTGAGATGGGTATTTGTTGATCGGGTTGGGGCTTTGATGTATGGTGAACGGTTCTGATGGCAGTGGTTAAGTAGGGCTTCGTTTGGCTTGGGCCTGTTGTAAATGGTGGCAGTGGCAGCTACGGTCATTGGGTGGTGGGTAACTGTGTTTGTGGTGGAGATGATGGGGTTGATCTAACGATGGAGGATTTTGGGTTGGAGTGTGGGCTGTTGCAGCGGGCAGAGAAAGATGACAACTAGTGTTTGTTGGGTTTTGGTAATGGTGGGGCAGCAGTGATGGGGTTCTGGGTTAGGTGGGTGATGATAAAGGCTACGGTTTGATTGGATATGGGTGATTGGTGTTCTTGATGAACAATACATATTGATTGCTGTTGAATACTATGGATCTTTGCTCTGATACCAAAACTGATGCAGGACGGGTAGGGGCATTTCAATATCAAAATTCAAGGAGTATAAGAGAGAAGAGAACTAGAGAAGAAGAAAAATGAGGGGGAATAAAAATCTGTAATCACTCAATATTCAATTCAATAATCATAAAAAGGTGCCTTAACAATGTTCTCATCCCACATATGAATAGGCATCAAGGAAAATCCTAATCAAATCCTACTACCATATATAAAACCTTAAAATACTAAGTGACCAAAACATCCCTAAAATAAAAAATACTAAAAGAATAATAACATTAAATGAAAATCAACCCTAATTATCTATCTTAGCCACGTCTCCAATGGTAGAGGCGACACACATGCACTTCAAGCTTTCGGTCCATGTACGGTTCTCCATCAGTAAATCTAAAACAAAATAACAAAAATATGACTCATAAAATCCACTTGACCAGTCAGACTAAAATGCATTCGCCATGTTAAAGTTGGAAAACTAATAATGTTGATAAAAAATGACAAAAACGATGATGACAATAATGAATAAATTGCAAGAAATATTAAATGATCACACATGTTTTTTGGGTAGTGTACATTTTCATTAAACAGTAACAAAAAGAGAGTGCATATCCCAGGTACAGGTGAAGTTTACGAGAGTGAGCCAAATAAGACCAAATAAGCAACCTCGAGTCAAAAGGAACAGAAAATTTTAAAAAGGGACTCAAAAGGACCCTATTCAACTTGTGAGACGATGATAGAATGTCCCCAAAGAAACTGTGATTCCTTTCTATCCAAGCACTCCATAGAAGACACCCAAAAATAAAATAAAATAAAAAATCATCTTCCACTACTCCAACATCTCCAATGTCCACTACTCCTACACCTAGGGGTTCTTGCAATAAAATCGGAGGAATATGAATCTGAGTGTGCATATTCTACATTGTCACAAAAATTATACAAATAAAATCTGTAATCTCTGTTTTACATTGTGATGCATCTATGTTATTCCATTAGTAATTAATAAATACTAAATCATGTTAAAAATAATAATTTCGATAAGGTGCTGACGGTTGAGGAGTTGAGACAAGTCAAGATTCAAGAGTACTCATGTCCTGATTTTTGCGCATATTCTACATTGTCACAAAAATCATACAAATAAAATCCGTAATCTCTGTTTTACATTGTGATGCATCCTGTTATTCCATTAGTAATTAATAAATACTAAATCATGTTAAAAATAATCATTTCAATAAGGTGCTGACGGTTGAGGAATTGAGATAAGTCAAGATTCAAGAGTACTCATGTCCTATTTATGTAAGAACTTTTCGTAGACCTGCTCAATTTGTTGACTCGGTATTGCATGTCAAATATATATATATAGGAGATTTAAAGAATTGAAAGAAAAGAAAGTGCGACAATGAACAACCCCCCAACTTAATTTTCCATTACTCATAAAAGAAATAAAACCATGCTACATGAACTTACCAAATAAACCATTCTACAAATACATATTAACATGCAACATGAACTTACCTCAATATTATAAATGCCAATTTTTCCATCAAATGAAGATGCTGATATAACCCCTGGTATCTTTGGGTACCAGTGCACATCAAAATTCCAGTTAGTTCCTGCAGGCAATTCAGAGACAATCTGCACAGAATCAAGCATCAAAAACAAAGTCAACATATCTGGAAGTAGAAGTAGGATAGATCATGGTTCCCCGACCCTCCAGACCCTAAAATAATAAAGAAAATGAAGGGGGGGAAAAAAATAATAAATAAATATATAAAAAACAAAGAAAGAGAGAAACATGCATGCGCACAGAAAAGAAAAAGTTTCAGAACAAAAATAACACAATCAAGGAAAGAAAACTGAAGCCTATTCACATGAATATCTACCTCTCCAGAAACTGTGTCCCAGCAGATGGTACGATTGTCTTTGGCACAGGTTAGCAAAAACGAGCTGTCATTGGGACACCATGACATTGCAATTACACCTGGTGCAAGATATGTGGGAAACCACAGATTAAAAAAAGAACATAATGAACATGTCCACATTAAAAAGACTAGAAATAGATTGTAAAGGATCTAAGAACTGAAAATCATTAACCAAATATAAGAAATTGTCCCTGTAGAAAACCTAACCTAGAAGATAAAGCTTCGGCATAAGATTGAAACATCTAGAGTACAGCATAAAAAAGAAACAAAAAAAAAATCTGCATTACATACAATCTAGGCTAGAAGCTAAGGCTTCTGCTTAAACTTACAAGCAAGCATCAGAAAGAGCATAAACCATTGAAAAATAATATGTTTCTATACTATATAATATGAATACCCATAACAATTGAAAAGCATAGCATAAAATAAAGAAATAATGGGAAATTTTAAATGTTTGATGGTTTTTAAAAACGCTATTATTTGTGGAAGATAATGGAAACTCAAATCAATCTAAAACACAAATTCAGATATAGTTATCACAAAGATAAAGCCACTGGGTTGAACTTCAGCCAATACAACATTATAATTGATTTGTGCAAGTTTTAGCAACGAAAAAATGAAAATTGTCTCAAAAAAAGTGAAAATGGAAGGCAACTCTAAATAGCAGCAATTTGTAAATATACAGAATATAAATTATTTATTTGCTCACTGGTGTACCTTTAGTGTGCCCCACAAACTCTTTGACTGGTGATATTGTATTCCTCATGTCCCAAAGCTGCATGCAAACATAAAAGGAAATTACGTGCATAAGACATTTCACATCTATAAGATTAAAAAGGAAAGGGAACCAAAATCCTTACTCTAAGTGAAGGTGAACTATCTTCATCAGAAGCAACTATAAGCTGAGTGGCAACATCAGGATTCCACTGCAAAACAGAGCACCTCCTCCTATGTGAATCTGAGAAACTGATAAGTTTGCAAGTTCAGGTTAGTAAATGAGGAAAACAGAGTGTTTTGACTTTTCGATTCAAAAACGACCAACACACTTCGCATTCAACTGCAGAAATTTTACCTTATCACTGGCTTTTGCTTCTTTAGGTCCCAAATCACTGAATATAGAGAAAATATTCTTTTAACAAGTGACAAAATTAAACATATATAAATCCAAGAATAAAAATTAGAGAAACAAACAAAAAAACTGGATATATTCCATACGCACCTATTGTCCCATTATACGAAGTGGACGCCAATATGTGTTGAACCTTGCTATTCCAAGATAAAAATGAAATTTCACCTTGAGTAGCAGATCCATTACCCTGCATAAAGATCTCGTGAACTATGTCGGATGCCACAAATAGATTTTGAACATTGAAATGGAAGAATGGAAACCACCAAGACAGCGAGAGAGAGGGAGGGAGAAAGAGAGGGAGAGACAGAGAGAGTTATAAATCCCATATAGACTTGAAGAATTCGATTAAATTTGGAGCACAACTTCAAAACATAAGATGCCTTTACAAAGTAGAAATATAACAAAAGTCTGACAATTAACTGAACTACTGTGTAAGAACGTAAAGCAGTGACAAGAAAAAAGCACACGAGCAGATGCCACTAAAGCTCATATAATGCTCAAATTTGGAGCAGATCAAGCCTCAAGGTATATTCGAACCTAATCCACTCGGACAATATTTTAATCCCATCCCATTTTAATAATCAGATCCCATCCAACTCTACTGGAATCATCAGATACTATATATTATACTACATTATATTATGCCCTGTTATAATGTATATATGTTCACATAATTGGATAGAATCACATGTATCTAAAATTACTTCATATCTAAATCCAACAGATAGTATTATTTCAAATTGATTGGACCGCCAAAAAGTAGTCACATCAAAAGATCATATCAAATCATATGTTGACTCATCTGTGAAGTTTGAAGACTTAACCCACATGTCCATCATTTTTTAATAAATGACATAAAAATAGAAAATTTTGTACAAATTTTAAGACAGCCAAATTATCTATATATTTTCGTTCAATAACTACAATGTTTTACGGCATTCTAGTTCAATAACTACAATGTTTAAGGCATTCTACACCACCTTGAGGCACATCTTGAAGCAAGACATTCCCAAATCGGACAAACACAACAGTTCAAATGCCTATTGTGCCTAGATCTCAGGCATTCAAAAGCAACAGTTCAAATGCCTATTTTGCCTAGATCTCAGGCATTCAAAAGCAACAGTTCAAATGCCTATTGTGCCTCCTATTTGTTTATACACTTCTCACGATTGGCCATGGAGTCCTTTAATGGAAATTTTAAATTATTATATTAAAAAAAGAGAGGAGGAAAATCCTTAACTTAAACGGATCGATATAGAACAACTAGGGGAATGGAAAAATTAGTTACTCTTTCCTTCAACAGGCTTCTGCTTTTGCAAATCCAAATAAATGGAACCCATTGATATAGATAAATTAACTACTGGTCAGATGCCTGAATGCTATACTGGAATTTTAAACCCTTAAGAGGACTCTTACGAAAACAAATAAGTTCTTCTATACAATTGTGAATCTTTCATCTTCCCTACTAGCATGCATGAGAATGGAGGAAGCTTCAAATTTTGTAGGTATATGATGGACTCATTGCATCCTCTTCAATCAAAGAAGGAAATAGGCGAAGGCCCAAGCATGTTGTGGTCATACCATGAATTAAAGATGTACCCTAATTATTCCAGATATAAAAAATTTCTAATTATTTTTTTTCCCCGAGGAATTTACCCCATTTCTGACCCTTTGTAAAATTGTAATAACCCACTGTTCTCAACATTTAAAATGTTAAAGTCTTGAAAAGCTCAAAGATTCAAGACTCACACCATACCTGGTGAGGGGTGTAGTTTTGCCTTACACTAATGTATTTTAAAACTATGATTCAATAATCATGTCTGCATACTACACACAGCTTATCCAAGTACCTAAGGCTTACTATACATATCTTACACACCATTAATAAAAAAAATTCAATAAAATACATAAGGTGCTATTTATAACCCTATTAAGTACTTAAAAGTGAATAAATTAAGTGATTCTTCAATTAAATGTGTTTGACAACGTAATTTATGTATAACAAAAGACCATCACCTAAAACCGGTCCCAGTTACGAGTGGTGCTTTGGAGGGGAAGACTGAAGAAAGACCTAAATTTTGACTTTTTTTAAAAACCATCTAAACTTGACTAATCATAGCAACCAACTGTCAAGATTTAATCCCTCACAAATTGTCCAAAAAAAACAACAAAAGAAGTACAACCACTGGAACATTAAGGAGCCTTACACCACCCTCCAACAAAATTGCTCCTCTTATGTGTTAACAAAGGGCACTGACCGACATACCTGTACAACTGACCTTCCAAACCAAAGCACTAAAGCCATTGCAAGTATGTTGTATACTTGTTGAGAAGGATACACACACATATGTATACATAGAGAGAGCCAGAGAAAGAGAGACTGTGTTGCCATGCTTTTTTACTTTGACCAATGTCTTTCACATTTCCATCATACTTGCACTTACATTAATTGAAATTTTCAGGGAGGGGGGCGAATGTTTTGGTTTTTGACTTTGACCAATATCTTTCACATATCATCCATAAGTTCTTATTTGCACTTATATTAATCAAAAATTTCAAGCAAAGAAAACAAAAGTTATTGGTGAAAGAAGGGGAAAAACCTAGAATCCCACCTTCTCTTTCTTATTACAGACTTGCATTAATACAGCTTGACTCATGACAAATATTAGTGATCAGACAAACTGATTTCCTACATGTTGGTTGTAAGAATTTTAAAGATGAGGAATGTGACTTTGTGTGTATTGAATGTCAGAACATGGATATATACCTTGAGAGGAGGAAAATGAGTAGGTTCTGTTGGTTTTGCCACATCCCATATACAAATTTCACCTTCATCGGCCCCGGAAGCAAGATGGTGAGACTGAGAGTTAAATTCTAGACCACGTACCTGAAAAGTAGATATGATGTTAGATCAACCTCATTGTACTATCTTCCTATGCCTGTATAAATGGAAGAACCATCAACAACCACAGGCACATAAAAAGGTAAAACATGAGGTCTTACAGGCCCACTATGCCTCGAAAGATGTCCAACAAGAGCGCTTTGAGTTTCCTCAGCACTGAAATAATAAAGATCAAAAGAAATCAATCAGGAGAAAATGAAAGTAAGAAAAAATTATATATTGTTTGCTCCTCAAGAAGATGATAAAGCATCCACTAGACAAGCTGGCATTGACAATTTATTCAGATTATTTTACACTCGAGAAATTTCCTTTTTTACAACCCACCAAAAAGTATTTACTGCAATATAAGAAAAACCATATATTATTTCCTCCTTGAGAAGATGATACAGCATCCATCAGAGAAGACAGCAGTGGCAGAATTCATTCTGATTAATTTTCACTAAAGAAATTTTCATTTTAACAACCTACCAAGAAGTCATTACCGAAATATTACCCCCGAGGGATATTTTCATCCCTATGATACCTGTTCTGACTCATATATCCAATGTTGCTAAATGTACAATGCATCACTCCTTGTCTCAAGAAAAGAATAGCCACAGGCCATTAAAAGTTTAAACATGGAATATATAACAAAATATAGCACAACAATAATAACCTAAGAACTACAAATACATTCAAAGAGAATCTGTATCAATGTTGAACACTGACACTTACTCCAAGATAAATTTCTAACATAATTTTAACATATATATAATTTAAAATGACTGATATTTCTCGACCTTTTGCTAACATATGACTTATAAACCTATGATTTTGGATTAAGACTTTCTTTTAGCATGGAAAAATGATTAAAAATAAAAGTAAAATTAAGGTTTATATAGAACTTATAGAAAGTTTGATGATGTGTTTAAAAAATAATAAAAGGAGTTATACAAAGTTTTTATTAAATGATAGGGTATTAAAGCAGACACGGACTCATCAAATTAACAAATGATACATAGTGCAATATAATCAGAACAAGGTATTATAGTAAAAAAAGAATCTCGGAGATAGGTAAACTTATCAACAGTTTCCTCATCCTCTCTTTTTTGTATGTATATATACATATTGTGCCCTTGTTATGAATTTCTTTATATGACCAGTTTGATTATGACTATATAATTTATTATTCAAAAGTTTCACATAATCATAGAATATTAGAGATAAATTTCATGAAGTAATGTTTGTTATAACATAAAAAATATATATATATTTTGTTACATGTTCTCATCATGTCAATGCCCTACATTTTTAAGATTTGTCATCTCGACATATCCATATCATATTATGTCCATACTCCTAATGGAATAGCCACTTTCAGTATAATATAGACACGTCTAACTACAGAAGAAGAATAAAAAAAACAAAGTGACAGCAGTTGTTGTCCAATAGCAAAGGTAAAGTTCCTAAGAGTAAAAGAAGGGAACAAGTTATTGTAGCAAATGGAATTAACAAAAAGAAACCACATAGCCATGATTCCTGTAGTAAAAATATAACCAATAATCAATAAGATAATATCAAGGTACCACATACTGCTTTCTTCTATCAAGTTACACACCGACCCATACTTGAGTAAAAATCAAATCCCCTACTTCTCTATACGCCAATTGAAAATACCCAAAACTAAAAGAAAAAAACTAAAAATGGAAGATTCATTTTACGAAAGTAAACAAGCACACAGAGAAATTGATAAATGACAACAAAAAGACATAGCAATGTTCAATCCGACATCCAGTTTTTGCTTCAGAAGAACTTGGGATTTCAACTGGTTTGGTGTCCTAGGCTGTGCAACAGAGTGATGTGACAGGTAAATGGTCTCTTAGTAAGAGGGTGGGAGATCTGCGATCTAATTGAATCAGTGCAAGGTCAAGAAATATATACTTCCTTCCAATCAAATAAATGTACAAACCCTCAAACTATGACACCACAAACAGCCCAAATTCAATTCACAATATGATAAATTTCCAAACAAATTAAAGAGTCGATATAGAAACACAGTGAGAACAAGATCAGTACTTGATCAGACTGAGAGGATTCCAAAGTCCAATATTGCCGTCAAGAAGCCCACCGGCGATTAGACCGAGTGAGAATTCCTCGGAGCCCGATGGATTCCTCCCCCAAGCTAACCGATTGAACCGCTCGGAACTCGGCGAGGCACCAACTAATGGGAGTTCACGATCGTCGGACTGGAAATCGAGCTTGAAGATTTCAAGATTCGCCGACGAACTGAAGGAAAGATCCACCGCCCCCGCCATCGTCCCCGCCGCCAGGTACGTCGCGTCCGGCGCGAAAACCACCGACGCCGATCTGTTCACGCCCTTTATGCACGCCATAGACACAAACAGAAAGACACAGCAACAATATATGTATATGTGTGGTATAGAATTGTATAGAGAGGAATTGAGATCTGACAATGTGGAATTGTGTGATTAGGGTTTGTGACCTTGAATTGGAGTGGTTTTGATGAGAAAGATAACAGATCGTGAAGAAAGGTAATGAATGTTTGTGTTTTCTCTCACCATTTCGCTTATTCTCTCTTTCTGTTACTTCAGTTCTTACAAAAAAAAATTTCGTTTATGGGTTTTTTTATTGGCGGGTTGAGCTACTCTGGGTATTACACACTTTGATTCATCATTCGACCAATCAGGTTCTGCCACGTTGTAGTTTAAATAATTTCTAAGGAGAAATTTTAACATTGTTGGGATTACATAGCACAACGAATCAAAACCCCACAATCACGAGTAAATATATCAATTTTATTTAAATTTTTATTTACGTGTTAAGTTATAATTATAATAAAAATAAAAAATGTCGAAACTTTCCAGATTTGGAAAAGAAAGAGTGTCTGTTATATGATATAACTAAAAAAAAAAAAAAAAACAACTCTCCAAGATTAGAAGGAGAGGACAAAAGAAAATAAACAGAAACACAGGAAATTCAGTAATGTTCTGTTATGTATTCAGATTTATAATTTGGGTAATGGAGAAAAGGGAGAGTTTTTAGTTTCCAAGTTGCGAGGGGAAAAAAGAAGCACCTTGTTTTTTATTTTCCTATTTCTTTTCTTTCTTTTTTTTTTTTGTCTTTTAATTATAACTTATACCATGTAAAAGGGCACTCTTCCTTTTCTTTTTTTCTTTTAGTGTTTTCTCTTTCGGGTTGTATGTCATTGCTCTTGTAATAAAATAAAATACACTCTTAAAACAGTCCTAATTAATGTTAATTAGAATAAAAACCGATCACAAAATTTGTTGTTTACTTGGGTCCTTGACTCGAGAAGGTCTCACCCTCTCTGGTTATTTATTTTTTTTATTATTATTATTATTTTTTTGGCCACCCTTTGTGGTTGGGACCTATGTAAATTTTGCCATCTTTTCATTGGAAATTGGCTGCAAAAAAATAAAAAAATAAATAATCCATTTGAAGCTATCATATGCATATAATGTACTGATCCATACCCATGAAATGGAAATCTGGATTTATATACTTCTGGGTATCAATGTTTCTACGTATATAATTGCGTGGTGTAATGGATGGACATGTCAATGTCTATCCTCATAATTGCAAAAAGTTGTTATACTACAATACAAAAATTGTTTATATCAGCACTATATTTCTTTACTCTTTTTTTTTTTTTCCTTGTATATAAATTGGTTTTTGAATGATGCCATGTTCTCTACAAATGGTGCATACATTAGTGATAAACTAAGATATTATATGGATTCTTGCTATTCTTGTCGAGTCGATTCCAGTGATCACGATATAATATATTTAGACGAATATCGGTGTAAATCGATTCAAAATAGTCGATTCATAAAGTTTGTAACAATATTGAACTCTTAAAAAATGGTTACGAATCGATCGATGTGTCGCGTATCAACCGATACGGCGAACCATGGTTACGAGGAACTGAGAAGAGAAAGTGCATGCTTCTTGTGGGTTCCACCACGACTTTGGATCTTGTCGATTTCAACCCAATTTTACAAGAATGACATTTTTCTACTATATTATTATCCTTTGAAGCAACGTAATAAAAATGTTGGAATAACCAACAGGCTTGTGGTCTAGCGGTACAAGGCTTCTACCTCTCAAAGGGAGGTCAGTAAGGATGGCAATTTGACCCAGCTCCGCGGTTATCCACCCCACCCCGCACCGTTTTTGGATGTTTTGGGGGATCGTTTTGCTTCTTTGGGCGGGAATGGTTTGATGTAATAAAAACCCGCACGAGTTTGGTGCAGGGGCGAGGGAGATTGCCTCGGCCCGTTTAGATAGGCAAATTACTTAAGTACTCTTATTTCATTAATGTATATATTTCCTACTATATATTAAGTACCCTATATAACAATATTAAAGTAACAGATGAATTTGATTAAAATGAAATTTGCAATGGTGAAGAATTGAAGATGAGGGGAAAAAAATAGAGCAAATCTATTTAAACAATAAATAAATTTTGGTATTAAACGGGGCGAAATGGGTAACCGTGGGGTAAAAATGTTAAACGGTTACGGGGATGGAGTGAAAAGTTTCCCCGTTTTTACGGTTTTGGGCGGGAACGGGGGCGGGTTTTTAAACGATTGGGGGGCGAGGGAGGGTATATCCACCCAAACCTGTCCCCGTTGCCATCCCTAGAGGTCAGGGGTTCAAACCTCAGTGGAGGCAGTGTGTGTGAGTCCCAACTAAGAAAAAAATAAAAATAAAAATAAAAAGGTTAGAATTATGTCATATTTGTTTAGATGTAAAATATTTTTTAATTTTTAATTTTTAATTTTTTTGGGTATTTGATTGTCAAGAAAAAATAAATAAAATTTAACAAAAATAACTTAACCATCAAATTTTGACTAGTTAATTTATCCGCCCCATTCTTGACTTGAACGGCACTTGTGTTATGTATTGATACAAGTACTCTAACAAATAATAATAATAATGAAAGCATTAAATATAGTAAAAACATTAAATAGTGCTGGTGAAAAAAGTTACTGTACGAGTAATTAATAGTTTAGGTTCAATTACAGAAATATTACGCCCAACAATGAGACTCGCAAAGGTTCACTTATGGTAACTTACGATTAAAAAAAAAGGTTCACTTATGGTCATTGGATCATAACAGCCATTCAAACGAGGGAGGATAAGGAGAAATAGGGAATAGGCTAGTTGTTAAATTGTCAAATAAGATAATATAATGGTACGTGTAATCATTTTGTTTATTAAAATAAAGAATTAGAGTACGAAAAGAAATTTATAGGACACAAATGTCTTCTGTTGGAGTGCGAAAAGAAATTTGTGGAAACAAACTTGATGAGGAGCGAAAACAAACTTATTTATATTTATATTCACACCGGCATTGAATATTTGTACTGAATTATCTAATTTAATAATTTTTAATTAATTATTAATTTATATTTAGATACAACGAAGTGAAAGACCCCAATTTCCAAAATTTCCAATTTCTTATTGAAAAATGATAAAAGATCAAACACATGTTGTTAATGGCATTTATTCATGTTCACAATTCTAATTGGCAAATATCATTGCCTCCAACTCGATTGGGGGAAGTTTTATGTTGCCGAAAGAAGCTGCAGGAACCAGCTTGAGATTTTCGCAGTTACAAATCTCTATCATGAATCCGTCTGGATCTTTGAAAAAGAGTTGGTCCAAAGCTGTCCCATTTTCATCTTCCACTGTCCTTTTCATGTACTTTATTTTCAGCTCCTTCAGTTTTTGCTCCACTGCTTCAATATCTTCACACTGAATGTACCAAAGGGATTGCTATTAAAAAAACTAGCTATATCCATGAATAGGGAGGAAGAATTTTTATTGTATTATTTACAAAAAAAAAAATTTGTATTGCTGATTTAGTTAAGCCTTGAATTGAATCTAGGTGAATTTAAAATCTTCACTCTAGTTAGTAAATAGGGTTGAAAAACACGTTTTTTTTTTTTTTTTTTTTTTCTAAAAATTCGATCACATGTACTATTTTCATCTATTATGCCTTATTACAACCATTTAAAATACTAAAAATAATAAGAAAGTACGGAGTATTGTAGAGATGAAGGATTTTAAAAGAACATTGATGGGTTTTGTAGAAATTGATAGATTGAAAAAATATTTAAGAAGGGTAGAGAATGTGTAAATACTATATATAAGAGGTCTACAAAATAAATGTAAATTCTTGTCTGAAAATACAATATTTATAGCTCATATAATAATACTCCACGTATGTTGACCTGCTCACGACATATATATAAAATTAAAGACGAAAAATAAAAAAACAATAAGAAAATAACTACTATACGAATTTACTTCTAATTTTGCAAAAATACGTGGTAGAGCTCCCTTAAAATTGTGTCGTTGTGTTTGGGCTGCAAGGGGCACTTGCATAGTTCAATGTGCTCATCAACGCCTAACTACAAGGTTGAATCCAGGAATTATTAATAGGGAGTTAATATTAAACAAGGGAGAATTGGGGATCCAAAGATTAAGGAATTGAAAATTTTTAGAAAAAATAGGGTTAGACTTTAGAGGGAGAGAAGGAGTGAGCTCTCTGATTTGTGCAAGATTAGGAATTTAGGAGTTCTCTGTCCTTTGACTTAGTGATTGTTTAGGTCTTGTTTGACTTGGGCCTTTATTTTAAAATTGTGACTTAAAGATTGAGCTTGTTTGGATGGGTTAAAATTAGGGGCTTATATTACTACTAATTTTTTTCTTTTTCAAAACATTGGGCTAAATATACCTATACTAAAATAATAATAAAATTTCTTGGGAGGCCCTTGGATCCACCATGGCCTGACTATGAGATGTGAATCATTCCAGACACATTAGCATGTGTATTCCCCAGTTCGAACTGGGTTTGAAACCAAACTTCTCCTCAGGAGTATAGATGGGGTGATTGAGGTAAGCTCCAATGTAGATCCAACTTTCAATTCACTCCTGCGAGTATTTTTTTTTGGGTACTTTGTATACAACTTTTTAATTTTTTTATTTTTCTGAGTAAACATTTGTTAAAGAACTAACTTGAAAATGGCATAAAAGCTAGTGATTTGATGAGTAGAAGAAACCTGAAATGAGATATGGTTATCCATGGGATCCAAGTCATCCGAATGGGCCAACCTCTCTTCATCCTCAGAATGCACCAAGTGAATCCCCACGCCATAATTGAACAACCACGCGCCGTCGAAGTGGAACGCTTTCGGCCGTTTGATCAACACAAACCCAAGAACTTTGGTGTAGAAATCAACAGACTCCTTCACACACCTGCACAGTCTTGAAATATGGTTGAGCGCCATTAGAGGAAGCTGCTGATCATTCTCTGCATGATTGCCTTTGTTTCTCTCGTCTTTCTTCTCCATTTTCGACCTCTAATTGTTTCAAGTGCAAGCATTTGTAGTGTCGGTTATGAATGTGTGGAGATGACACGTAATGAATTAAGTACTGCATGGAGGAACTTATACGTGTGGGGATATGCTGAAGACGCCTCTGATGGGAAATTTATACGTGTGAGAATATGCCGGAGACTTCTCTGATGAGCAGAGCGACAAGGTATGTTTTGAGGTCTGACATTGGCAGGGTCTCTGTTAGCACGGGGAAGCTCTCCCCTGACTTGAGCCCCACAATATATATATATATATATATATATATATATATATATATATACATATTTCTAAATATATATACATATTTCTAATTCTTTGTTTCTTCCTTTAATTTCTCTTTTACTTTTCCTTTTGTTTAGATTCCTTTAATTTAATTTAATTTAATTCTTCCTCTTCAATCAATCCTATAATTTGTATTATCTTCGTTAATGAATCCTAGTTTTTATCTTTTGGAATTCTATATGATGTATGTGTTTTAAAATTCTCTTTTTATTGTTTTCCTGTCACTACTTTTTTTCTACTTTTATATATATATATATATATATACATATTTCTAATTCTTTGTTTCTTTCTTTAATTTCTCTTTTACTTTTCCTTTTGTTTAGATTCCTTTAATTTAATTTAATTTAATTCTTCCTCTTCAATCAATCCTATAATTTGTATTATCTTCGTTAATGAATCCTAGTTTTTTCTCCTTTGAAATTCTATATGATGTATGTGTTTTAAAATTCTCTTTTTATTGTTTTCCTGTCACTACCTTTTTATATTAATTAATGTCTATATTTATGTTTTGAAATCTTATTTACTATTGGAAAAAAAAAAAATAGTCTTTTTATATAGTAATTTAATGTTCCAATTGGAGACTTGGAGCGTTTGTTTCTAATTAGTATAAAATATCTTCTAAACCTGTAAATAAATTTAAATCATCATCAATGTCAAAAAAAAAAAAAAAAAAAAAAAAAAAAAAAAAAAAAAAAAAAAAAAAACGCGTCATGTTTATATTTTAATGATAAAATATATTTAAAAAACAAAGTAATATGTATAATTGTTACACTACTCATTTTTATATTTTAAAAATAAAGTAATAAATATGCTTGGTAATATACTTTTTCACATTTTAAAGTGGAAGGTTGAGGGTTTAAGTTTGAAAAAAACATGTGAGTGAATCCCAGAGTTGGTATAGCGGGTGAGAACTTGGTCGTGATATCTCATGAAATATTATGGAAAAATAATTTATGTGGTTTATCAACTAAGAAAAAAAATGTGAGTGCGTTATTTCTTTGAATAAAAAACTAAATATATAAGAATAAAAGTAGTAAGTGTATATGTGGATTATTTTTTTTTAAATCTTCCTTTGGTAGGAAGGAAAATATTAAATGGATGGGGGAGAATATGAATCAATGAGATCTCTTTAGAGAAGAGATTGTGTTATTTTCTCTTTTTGTTCGATTGGATGAAAAAGAACATAATAACTATGTTTGTTTAGAGAGGAGAGTAGTTTAAAAATAGTTTAACCACCCATCATTATTTATGGTATTGTTATGCAAGATAGTATTAGTATTATAATTTAAAATTTGCATGCATAATAGTTTTACTTGTCTTTCTCTGCTCGTATTTGAAAGGATGAAAATTTGTAAATGATTAAATATGATTTGTCTATTTTATTATCCTTTCTCATTGTTTCCTCTTCACCTAACGAAGTAAATTTGTACATTCCTTCATATATATTTTTTTCACCATTCTTCATTCCTTCATTTTTTTTTTTTTTTTTTTTTTTTTCCCGGCCACCATTTTTCATTCCTTCATACCGAACAAAAGTATTAGTGCATATGCAAATAAGTTATTAAAAAAAAAAAAGACGAAGAAAAAAAGGAAGGAAAGAAAAAAAAGTGTTCCCTGGAGAAATTCTTTATTTCCTCTGTATTTTTAAAGTTAACGGATGAGAGTTCAATTTTCTATAACAAACATGTGTGAATTTCTTTCCAAGAAAAAAAAAATTGAAAAAGAAAGAAAAAACTCTATCTATCCCTTTGGAAATTAAAAGAAGGTTTCTAGATTTTTACAGTCTTTTACTTATTTGATTGGTTCATTTGGTTTCATCATATGATCGAGAATTCGAGATTAACTTGGAATTTTTTTTTTTCCCCTTCAACTTGCCAAATGAGGCAAAATGACTAACATGTACGGCACGGGTTCAAATTAGAGAAGGATGAGCTCTACAAAACTTGTTGGAAAGGGATAGAAGTGAACTCAATTTCAAATGAAATTTTATTCCGCACATATGCACAAATCCAATTCCTCTGTTCCGCATTAATTGTTAATTCCAAAAATTTTGACTTATAATTTTTATGAGTTAAAGTTATCGAAATAAATATCTAATATGGGCTAAATATATTAAAAGAATATGACTAAAAATAACATTAAATGATTCAAAAATAAAAGATGATAATAAGTCAAAAATTTTCAAATTGACAATTATTATAGAAAGGGGGTAGTATAAAAATAAATCTCTACAAATTAGAAAGTATGGACATTTTTTAAATTTTATTCCGTACATATGAGGACATTTTTTAAATTTTATTCCGTACATTTACACAAATCCAATCTATAAGAATAGTTCGCCTACAAATTCGGAAATAAGGACTTTTTTTATGTGATAACTTCAATTTAAAATTTATTCCGTACATATGCACAAATCCAATCTATAAGAATGCGTTGCCTACAAATTAGGAACGAAGGACATTTCTGTGATATCGTGGTAAACACGTTGCGAACACTTCAGAATACTATAGATAATTTTATAAATATAATTTTTATTTGGACATTTTCAAAATATAACGGTTAATTTTATAATTAATTTTTAAAGGATAAACACTTTTAGGATATGATAGATAATTTTATAAATATAGTTTTTATTTGGACACTTTCAGAATATGACGGAAAATTTTGTAATTAATTTTTAAAGAATGAACACTTTCAAAATACGACACATAGTTTTATAAATATAAATATGACTTTTATTTGGACAATTTTAGTGATATCCTGTAAACACATTGCTAACACTTTCAGAATATGACATAATTTTATATATATAATTTTTATTTAGACACTTTCAGAATATGACAGGTAATTTTATAATTAAATTTTAAAGGATGAACACTTTTAGAATACAACAAATAATTCTATAAATATAATTTTTATTTGGACACTTTCAGGGTTTGACGGGTAATTTTATAATTAATTTTTGAAGGATGAACACTTTCTAAATACGACACATAATTTTATAAATATAAATATAATTTTTATTCGAACACTTTTATTAGAATATGAGGTAATTTTATACGTATGTCCTATTGTACATTCTTAGCTTGTAAATTAAGCCAAGTAAACAATAATTGTAATTGAAAAAAAATATATAATAACTGTAATTCTTATTATGCTTAATAATTTAACTACTTCGGAAGACAACAATTAATGTATTATTGTGAAATCAATAAAAAAAGGGGCTCTTAATATTGACAAACCTCGAAGGGATAAGATAATTATAATTTGCCCAAAATAAGAAGATGAATTTAGCATAACAAAATGCCTTTTAAATCATTCTCCAACTATTATCACTAATGGGACTAACCTAAAAGAGGAAAAAGAAAGGAAAATAAAAGCAATGACCAAACCAGAAAACAAATAAATAAAGCAAATATGTAAATAGAAAAAAGGTAGTCAAATTAGCAATAATAGCAATATTACTGGTAAAATCGAAAAAGTAGAGAGAGAGAGTAGAGAGAGAAAAAGACGAGTCTTCTGGCTCCCTCCAAAAGGCCAAAACTGCTAAGTTTAAATTTACAGAAATAGCCACAGGTCAGAGCCTGTACCAAATATGGCAAACACTTTACCAAATGCAGAGAGATGCGAATACCCAAAATAGCCAAAAAAAGTGGGACCCACCCGTGAGCCCCATACTGAAAGAAGTCTAAATGTGGCGAAAGAGAAGAGTCGTGCGTTGTATAGAATAGCCATGCAAGCAAGCTTACCGTTTCAAGGCACTGCCATTTGGGGTAAGACTCTCTATATAGTCTCTTTATCTTCTGCTCTAAATATAGCACCCAAATTCCAACTATAGCAGAGCAACAGTAAAGAGGGTTTACATATATATATACATACAGACATATATAGGTTTATATATATATACATAGATATATAGAGAGAGATTGAGAATTGTTTAAGGGGTTTTTTATCAATTGGGTGTTCTGGGTCTGAATCAGATGGGTCGAGGGAGGATTGAAATAAAAAAGATCGAGAATGCGAATAGCAGGCAAGTCACATTCTCCAAACGCCGTGCTGGGTTGCTGAAGAAGGCGCGTGAACTAGCGGTTCTATGTGCTGCCGAAGTTGCAGTTATTATTTTCTCAAACACAGGGAGGCTTTTCGACTATTCGAGTTCTGGGTATGGTCTGGTTTTTTTATTTTATTTTTTGTTTTTGGGAATAAAAAAATTCACATACTTGCATGTGTTCTTCGTCATGTCAATTGATTCTTACTCTGTTTTGTATGATTTTTATTTTTTATTTTTTATTTATATATATTTGGATCTTTACTTTTGATCAGATTGCATTCAAGTTTTTCTTTAATTTACTGAAGTGATTCAATGCTTATGTTAATTTTTATGCTTTGCAGGCTTGTCTAGATGATGTTGGTACTCTGTTTTTTTTAGGGTTTTTGTGGCTTAGTTGTTGTTTCTGTAGATTAGTGCCTTGCATGTGTTTGATGATCATCCCCTCTCTGTTAGATACTGTGGTTTTTGAGAGTTTCCACTGTTTGAGTTATTTATTTCAATCTTATTCTTTTGAATTTAGTAAAAGTGATAAAACCCAATCATTTTCCTAATTTTTAAAGTAGCATGCTTGAATATGATTGTTAACTATTCATGGTACTTGATACTCTGTTGAGTAAGGTTTTATTATGCTTAAATTTATCCTATTGAGATTCGATTTAGCTTTTATTAAATCTGAAGGATGATGCGCCTGATTGATTTTGTTCTCTCCTTATTAAAACAGATAATAGAGGTATATCTCCAAAGATTTAATGGAACCAATCTTTGCCTAGTTGACAATTTTAATGTCTAGCTTAAAATTATATATATATATATTGATAAGTTTAAAATTATTTATATTTGAAATGTTTTATCTTTAAGCAACTTGGTTAGAATACTATAGATGGTTGATTGAATACTTTCTTTGACGCTATAATTGTGAGATATGGATTGTGACTGGATTTTCGGGAGGAGCCAAGTTCCCTCATTTGGATATTTCATTTCCAATGCCTGCCTTGCTTTTCTGAGATTGGATTGTGATTGGAACTTGTTTGGAGATACCAAAAGAAACCGAATCCCTTCATTATTGAGGAAGAGTGACTTGGTCTCCCTTAGTAAATTTAGTGTGCTGGCAATTAACTTAAATGGGCTAGCTGATTTGCGTTTTTGTTTTCCCAAAATATGTTTAGAAGTTTTTCTATGGTGCAAGACTATTTGATTGAAATTTAAAGGTCAAGTGTTGCTGATATGAGTTATGATCTGAGTAATGAATCACACCATATGTAGAGGAGTAAGATAGAAGGACATATTAAGACTCAATGCTGTTAATTGAGAGCTATGTCACCTTCAATCATTTTTTTCCTGCAGCGGTATGAGATCAGGCTATGAAGCATGTGCTCATGGGTCTGAGTCTTAGAGTAGCTACTCTATACAAAGCTAATGCAAGATCTAAGTCTGTGTTGAGTTTATCTCCTTGAACATGCTAAAACAAGATGAATTTTAGGCATCAACTAGAGAAAATTATAATGTCTTAATTGATTTGACATAGAGAGCAGGGTTAAACTTTAGCCCTTATTTCCTACGTAGCGGAGCACAAAACATGGCTACAGGAGCCCTTCTATCCTGCGCTGGTAGAAAAAACATTCCAAGCGAACTGATCCCGTCTAAGCCAGACCTGCTCTTTTAGCCTCTGTATTCATCTCGTTCCTTATGTACCTAGGGTGAGAGCCACAAATTCTGTCATGGTTCTTCTTTAATATCAAAAGAAATGATGCCATCTATTTTTGAAAGAAACCTACAAGGTAACCTCTACAATGAAGTGAAAAGATAAATGAATCTGTAGTGCAAGAATCAATGAAAGAGACCTACAACGAACCGACTTTTTATTATTTTTTAATCTTCAGACACGATGCCTGCTCTTTTTGGAAGAGACCTAAAATGAAACCTCTAATGTGAAGTAGAAAGGTAAATGAATCTGCAGTGGCTGATTAATAGTGATGGACAAAGAGATTAAAACAACATTGGAAATTTGAGACATGTCCAGTATGCATGTATGTGTGTGTGTAGATATATTGATATATGTATAAACACATACTAGGATGAAATTGCTGGCAACCATACTTGATTTCCACCAGCATCCAATTTGACAACCATATCACCGATTGTGTTGTGGCCATGGAAATGTATGCAGCAGCCACAGTTGTGGCAATCACAGTAAGCGTGCATTTTCTGCTGCTCAGTCACAGCATATTTGGGCTACGGTGATTGCAACCACAATGTGCTTGTTTGATAGCTCCTCGATCATGCGATGGTAGGGCTTTCCCCATTTTCTTTCTTTTTAAACAGATGGATGAGGCTTAAGGGAAAATGATAGATGAGGGGAGATTTATTTGATAGAGAGATATTTGGGGGCTGATAAATGAGAGAGATAATAGTTTGATGGGGCATGGGATACCTAAGATATTTTTGGGGTTTATGATTGGTACAGGTTGGTATTATGGATGGGTTTGGTCTTTGTGATGGGCTTACCAGATCATTCTCTTTAGCGTGCCTTATAGGATTCCAGATATAATCACGGCTCTGAATAAAGTTGTTGAATGTAGGATTATTGGGCATGTGTTTGATATATTTATGGATGTGTTCATGAGCCTATACAAGCCGAGTGAAACCCTACTTGAGTCAATTATTAAGTGAGCCTAGAAAATGAGCTCAAGCTTGGTTGAACAAGCACAAGCTAAGCCAAGCTGTTCATGAATAGTTTGTTTCCTTTTGCTGCCTGATTCATGCACAGCTATTATAACTTCAGATTTGCAGTTTATCTAAGGTATTCCTATTTAATTGTCTGTTTTCACAGCAGCATGAGGCAAACGCTTTTAAGATACAATGAATCTCAAAAATCTTCAGAGACTGCTCTAGTAGAAGTGAAGGCAGAGGTACTTTGTGTTTTATTTTTACTTAAAATACATGTGTATTTAGTTATAGAATTTATTCTCTTGTTCACATTAGTTACTACTACTATCTTTTGCCTTATTTCTGCTACGTCTGCAACAAACTCTCTCTCTCTCTCTTAATAATTATATGACATAAATTGATGGGATTCGTGGTAAAACGTGAATGTGATGTTCCTGGTTTTTGGACAATGAGTTACCATTGTTTGTGTTAATTGTTTCGTGGAATGGGTGCTGTAGAAATATGGATCCTTTCCTTAGAAATCTGAGTTGTATCTGAATGAAGGATTATGTTTTAAGTTGTGTTAGCACACTTGATCAGTTTTAACATCCATTAGTTAATCACAATGTCGGGAATCTATGGACTGCCCTTGCATGATAATCATCTTTTTTTTTGGTCATACAAAATGGTCTACCATACACAGTTTTTCTGAAAGAGAGAAACTGAAGAAGTGACAACTCAGATCTTTTGTAAAGTCAGTTATTGTCACAGACACGTATGCATGTTCGGGTCCCACATCGGATTATTGTCACAGACACGTATGCATGTTCGGGTCCCACATCGGATGGGTTTTATTGGGTAATCTCTTTCTTCTTAAGTGAGTGAGGGAAACATCATAAGTGACTCGTGTGGAACTGTCCCCTTCACAATGGTATCAGACACGACTTAGAGTATTACCGTGTGACAGTAGGGAAAACTGTTCCGTTGGTCCAGGTGGAGGTGTGGTCCTCCTTTCAAGGGTGCAAGGCCTGGTTAGGGGAGACTGTAACAGAGTGTAGACATGTTTTGAGTCCAACATTGGGTGTACTGCATCATCTTTGACTTCTAAAGTGGACAAAGGGAATCCAACAACTGACTAGTCTTTTTGTGTCAGGAACCAGACGGTGGTATCAGAGCTGGCACAAAGGTACTACCATGTGACTTGGGAGAACTATTACGTCAGTTCCACGCCCAGTGTGGGTCCCTTTGTGGTCATGGTTATTAAAATCACAATCTGGATCGTACGATTCTATGATCCCAAATTGCCGAATCCATCGATATCACACTAAAAAATGCTCGACATTAGGATTGTAGTGGGATCGGCAGGATAACAAATAGGATTGTGTAGGATCTTATGATCCCACTGATCCGAAATTTTGAGCCTACAGCACATTCTAGATCAGAATCGCAGGTTTCAAGTATAAAGCCCAAGTGCTCAACTCTTTAAAGCTCAATACCATTTAAAAAATATGATGAAAATCTTGTTAAAACTCAATAATCGGAGCTCAGGGCTCAGCACTCCTTATTTTCTTAGTGAAGCTATGTGACTTCCAATGATATTCGACGAGCTTTAACAAAGCTTCTAATCAGCTCCTCTAGATTTTTTGTTCACATCTTCAAGGGTAAGTTTCATAGCTGAAATTTCTTCTTCTACTTTACTTTGCATCTTAATTTCTTCTTCTTCTTTTTTTCCTACTATATTCTATAATTTTTCATTCTACCACCATGCTCTATTATTTTAATTTCTTCTTCTTGGTCTTATTTTCTTCATTCTATTTCTTTATACTTTTTTATTTTCTTCATTCCACTCCTTTATAATTTTTTCTTCTCCTTTTTATTTTATTCATTCTCTGTTTTCGGTTCTGCGTCTGTTTTTTTTCCTCCAATTGAAGTTAATAATGTTCATATTGCAGAGACAATACACTACTAAGAGAATGTTTTCTTTATTTTTTATTCTTTTTGTTTCAAATCTCTTTCTATTTAAAAATAAATTGACTCAGTTATGAATGTTATATATGTTTGGGGTAGTATTTCTATATTTTTCTTTGTGTTTTAGGCTTGATATCTATTTAGTTTAAATAATTTTTTATTTAGAACGATTGAGTTATTTTTTTACTAGTTTTATAGGATCTTATGATTCTTGACTCTACCATATGGACCCCTCTATCTCTCCAACTTAGAATCCCATCCCAACAACCTTGTCAAGGGCACAAGGGTCTGAGCAAGAGCCTCTGCCATGGACACATAAACGTGTTTCGAGTCCCACATGGGGCGTATACTGGGTAATCTTAGGCTTCTTAAGCGGGTGCCTGAAATTCTATGAACTAGTCCTTTAAAATGTGGAACCAGTCCTGTGCATATTATATTGGTCATCTTAAAAAAATTTATTATGTCCTTTAGAATTTTGTGTAACACCTCAAAATACCATGTGCCAATTCATTATGTGGTTTATTTCACATATATACTCAGAGTCTACCTCCTTGTCAGAGTATCTACCTCATTGTCAAAGTATCTTTTCCTAGGTAACTTTTATGATTGTTTGCCAACATCTTTTTTTTCTTATATAGATAATTTATAAATGGTTTCTACCTTCTTTTAATTAAATAGAAGCAGGAGTCTAAGGAGGTAGACACACTGAGAGAGGAAGTTGCGAAGCTCAGATGCAAACAGTCGTAAGTTTTTGTGAAACATGTGACCAATTTTTCATCAGATTTCTTGGATTCTGCAAATGATTCTCCTTTTATGACGTTGGTTTTGTAGGCAGCTGTTGGGCAAGGACCTTAGTGGCTTGGGTTTAAAAGAATTGCAGCAGCTAGAACAGCAACTTAATGAAGGGTTATTGTCTGTGAAGGGGAGAAAGGTGGCTTTTTCATCCTTTTTTTTTCCCCCTTTTCTTTTATTATTTCAAATGAAATGCGTAACTGTAGTAAAACTGTGATATTCAGTAGTCATATAAAGTGCAAGTGCTTTAAAAAATAAAAAATAAAAAAATCCAGGCCTTAATGGGAAGTTTTCTTTTTCAGGAGCAGTTACTAAAGGAACAACTGGAGCATTCAAGATTACAGGTATCAATGGGTCCATCATAAAATTTGCATCTTCTTTGATCTGAAACCTGTAATGTTGAGCTACTGATATCATAATTACATTAATTTCCAAGTAATGAAAGACAATAATTTTATGCATTTAATTGATATATATATCCTTCATTTATCTTCTCTAATTTTGGAAATGAAACTGAAGAGTTTAGGAAAAAAATAATGGAACTAAAGAAATAAGAATATGCTTGATTCAGCTAGCTTCCTGTAGACAATATCAGGCAAAGTTTGTGATAAACCTGTTCAAGATTAGATCAATCAGAACATGCAAATGAAAGTTGTTCCTACACTTATTACTTTACATACTGTTTGGCACTTCTGCTTCATGGTTATTGTATTTCCTTTGATTTCATTCTAGGAACAGCGGGCTATGCTCGAGAATGAGACTTTGCGAAGACAGGCAAGCCAAATTCTTGTTGAAATAATCATTAACTATCTTATGGGTTTGAGTGGATGTATCACGTCTAACATAAAACTTTTTTCTTTGTCTTTTCTTCTTCTCTTTTTTAACTTGATATGAATAATAGGTTGAGGAGCTTCGAGGTTTTTGCCAATCGACTGAACAGCCATTGCCACCTTATCATCAACGCTATCCTTTGCAATGGGATAATTCCCTTGTACAAAATGATGCCAGAAGTCCTCCCGACACGGTCTGCAACAGCTCAATTGAGAAAGGGGATACGACCACCATGTTGACGTTGGGGTGCTTTTCTTACCTTGTATTCATATGATAATCTTTCCCTGCCTTTGGATTTGAGACCGATCACTGCCCTCCTCATATGGGGTGCCCAGTAGGCATTGTTAACTGCAATGCCTCACTCTAATTTAGTCTATATTCGTACTTGCATCAATTTTTTTCCCCTGTTTTGCGAATTCCTCTGCCTATTGCTATGAGAAAGAAAGAGAGTTGTAGATGAAGTTTTCTTTTCCTTTTGATATGGCCTTCGTTTCCAATTAGTTGTCTTCCATGAATGAAGAACAAAGATTTATCTCCACACTACAAGGTGTCAACATTATAATTTTTTGTTCCTGCCACTTTTCATCTGTACAGCCAGTTTTCCTTATTAAATCTCCTTCAGTAATCGGAGACTGGCATTAGAGTACAGTTCCAGTAAGTTCGTGTTTGTGAAGATTTGCTCATGTCTTGCCATGTGGCCTTTGAAGGAAATGCCTTGATAGATTGTACCTTTATTAAATAATGATCATCCATTTGCTATTGTTTCAATTTGTCTCATATTATGATTATCTATCTGTTATCGTTTCAATTGAACTTATATTAACTGCTTGTTGCTCAGGTCAACATATGATCTTCTCCAATTGAAGAAGACACCCGAGAGAGAGACTCGTTCCAGCAACTCCGGGAGTCAAATTGGCCTGTTATGATCGATTTTCCCGCTGGTCTCTCCCCTCTTTTTGCAGTTGGAACAAGTGAACTTCAAGTTTAGCAGTTCTTGTTGAAGCATCATTTTGGCTAAGAAATTCATGATGTTTAGATGACTTCAACATCCCCAAAATGCTGGTACAAAAATGTTTCTTTTTCTAGAGGAAGTTTTCTACAGGATGCTGGTGAAAAAACAAAAATACAAAATGAAATAGTATAGATCTAGTTAGTGTTTTTACTCCTTTGAAGTAGTGAACCATGGACATCTGAAATTACAGGTTACTTTAATGTACAATGTCCATCTTCGTTATCTGAACACTCTTTATATACTTCTGTTTTTTGATGCTCTTTTTTAGTTGCCCGGAAGAAGAAACATTGGAACTTTGCAAGTATTACCATGGGAGTGGTGGTTACAGAATTCCAATTTTTTTTACAACATTTAGGCTTCCTATCTTGAGCAAGTACTGTGTGGCCACCGTTAAACAAATTTCCATGTACCAACCTATGTAGCACCGACACGTCAAATTTAAAAGTAAGACACGGGTACGGCATGGATACAATTATATATAAATATAAAATTTTATTTTTATACATCTATTCTGTAATAGTATTATAAAATTTTTATTCACATATAAATATAAATTTTTATTTTTATACATCTATTCAGTAATAGTATTATAAAATTTTAATTCATTTATAATTTCTATAGTGAGAGTGGCTCTGAAATGAATTAGATCGGTAATAAGTTTTATGTCATATATATCATTATTTCACTATTTTGTCATGATAGTATTCATATTATTTTCAAGATTAGTGAGTAGACTTGTGTTACAAATGTTGTTTAATTTTTATTTATGAAGACGTATATAAAGTGTCGGACACTGTCGATGTTCGACAAGGGTACGAAGTGTTTACTTGGGTACCAATTGTCTACTTAGAAAGCACTTTCAAAAGTTTTATGTTCAAATTAAAAATTAAATTAAACCTTCATTGTTGTTGCTTTTGTTTTTCCTTCTTTTTGGGTCAAGAAGAGATTTGAAAACCACCATAGTTGGAGACTTGGAGTTCACTCATAACTTAATCAAGGGCTGCTGGCAAACCTGACATTTCTTCAACCTTTCATTTGATGGTTCAAGTTTCGCCCAAAAAAAAAAAAAAAAAAAAAGAAAAAAAAAAAAATTTGAGTTGTGTTAGTTTCTTGCCATGGCTAATAATTAAATAAACACAAGAAAAATTATTGGTGTCTTAATTGAATTGAATATTTTAGATCTATGTAATAATTACAAAGAGATTGACCACTGAGAAAAGACTTGACTTGATGCAATAAAATTGAATTATTTATTTATTTATTTTTTAACAAGTTACGATCAAATTGAACTTTCATTTTTTTATTTTTTATTTTTTATTTTCTCTAGAAAGCTCTGTGCATGAAATCTTAATGTCTTCATACATAGAACATTTTTATTTCTCACTATCAATAACGAGATTGGTCATGAAGAAGAAACTAAAAAATAAATGAAATTGAATCTCTTCCCATGCATTGAGATAGTCCAATACATAACAGATGATGAAAATCATTGTATAGGAAACATCATATTAGTGATTTCTACCCTCTTTGTATATTTTGACCATCTAATATACTAAAATAATATTTGAGTTTAGAGATATACACATGGCACATTAAAATGGTGTAGTTTAAAAAATAAAATAAAATAGAAGTGTTTTGGTATTTCACAAAATACTATATTTGTAATTTAAAACTAATAAGGGGCAAATCAGTATTAACATTAACTTGATGACGTGGATTGATTTTGTTATGTGTGATTATCTCTGCAATTCTCCATAATTTAATTGTGCTTTAAGGGTGATAAAACATAAGCTCAATTATATTAAACTATATAGAATTAACAAATTCTTCCTTATCGAAAAATAAAAAAACACAAGTCCTTTATTTTGATTAATAGGTGTCATTTTCTTTGGAATTTATAATCATTTTACAAACAAAAAGTTCCTTTATATATATATATATATATTGTCATTGACAAAAAATTCATACACACCATACATTTTATGTATTATGTTCGTAAAATTCTATTTAAGCTCTTTTCAATAATTCTATGAGGTACTGATAAGAAAATACTCTTATTTACAAAGTATACTTTTAAATATCTTATACCAAGGAGACTTTATAATTACAATAAAATAAAAATAAAAATTTGAATCCTATAATTCTTTAGCTAAACAATCATATTTGAATCAAATTAGGTTTATCCGATCTATTTACATGTTATTTTTTTAAAAATACATTTTTAAAACTGTTGTTTTATTTTATTATGTAATTTTTTATATATTAATGGTAGAAAACTGAACCAAGCAACTCAAAGTTTTTTTTTTTTTTTTTTTTTCAATTGATTTTACCTTTTATTATTTAATTCAAAAATTGTCCAAAAACAAAATTTTGTATTATTTTTGGTTTTATTTTTTTTTTTTTTCTGTTCTTGGAAAATAAAAAATTGTTCTGAGAAAAAACCTCTACTTATGTATAGATTTGATGTGCTTTCCAAGTCCCAGTCAAAACCATAAAATGAAAAAAAGAAAAGAAAAGAAAAAGAAGCCCATAAAATGAAATCAGCTAAAGCTAAAACTTAAACACAGAAAAACATTGATAGATGAGAATAAAAGTAGTCCGTAACACACACTCTCTCTCAATATATATATATATATATATATAATCTATATACCATACCTCTGGCGAGGACAAGGATGAACACCACCACCTCCGGCGGTGTACCACCGTCGAAGAGGAGGAAAGGAATCCACGCCCTCAGTCACGACACTCTTTGTACGATTTTCACTCTTCTCGACCTCATCGAAGCCGTTCGCTGCACCACCGTTTGCAGATACTGGTATGCCTTACCTTCAATTCCTCTGTCTTTTTCTTCAATTTTGGACTTTCATTTGATTTGAATAAAATATAGGAAAACAAGGAAATGCTATAGGAAAATTTGCATCTTTTTCCCCCTTTGCTTACAATTTCTGAGCAGCCAAACGGAGCCAAAAAGTAAGCGCAAATTGAATTGAAATATTTGTATCGAATTATATTAGTTGGTAACTTTGGGTTTCATATATTTAGGTTATTTATTTATTTTTTATTTTATGTTACTCTTGATTATATAGCCAAAATTACGCAAATTTGAGGGAAAAAGCTAACTTGAGTGAATAATAGAAGTACTTCAAATTGATGCTGCTGCTTTTGATTTTACTGAATATTTGGAATGACGGTTTTTGTGTTATTTCTGAATAAGAAAATGGATTTTAAAAGTGTACACTAACATTATGTTCAGTGGAATTTGTTTAAAGCATTTAAATTTGTTCTGATCTTGCTGAGATTCTGTGATAAATGGGTATTGGGTAAAATTTGTTCTTGTTGTGGTACAACATTGTGCTAAGGTTATGCAGAATTCTCTATTAAACATGTATATGTATTAGTTCAAAGATTACTTAAAGCCTATGAAAGCGTTTTAAAGACTACCCTGAATAGTGCTTATTTGCATTGTTGGGACCTCCTTAAACCAACCTAAACTTCATTTTGTTCTAGATTATAAATAATAAAGCCAACTTACATCTTATGCTGATCCTAGTTTTTACTGGAAACTGCATGTGTATCATATTCTCATTCTAGTATATTATGGTTGTACTTCTTTTCCTTTTCCCTCCCTCTCTTTCTCTACTTTCTTTGTGGGCTGGGTGGACTGGATGAGAGGAAAAAGAAAAAAGAATCTAACTTTTAGTAGATCTTGTTATTCCTGGTGGGCACATTGAGTAATAATAATTCTTAATTAAGTCACTGTACTCTACTTGTGCACCCATTGTTGGAATATTAATTTGTAAACTGTTGGAATTTCAAGTTTAAGATAGTTCTCTCTCTGTTAAGTAAGTAATGTCAGTATCAAGTTTTATTATTTTTAAATGTAGTCTACAAAAGAATTTATGCAAGTCATTGTCATTAAATGAAGTATTTAAAAGTTAATATTTTTTTTGGTGATAGATACATAATATTATAATATGGATCATTGACAATTTTTTTTGGTAAGCGTGCTATTTTCAGCTCTATTAATAAATTCATACCAATTTATGTATCTCTTCCATATTACTGACCAAGGTAACTCCTCTATCTTCAAATTTTATTTTTTAACCCAATGAAGGAGAACAGTCATCAATAAGTATAAGTTGCTACAAGTACTATACTCCAAGCAAGAAAGGAGGAACTCTGCAGACCTCTTTGATGCGTCGATGTGTTCAGAGAGGTCATTGAAGATACATTTGGAGGAGGTAGCTATGGATTGGCATAGATTCTCCTTACGAGTAAGACCGATTGATATCTACCAGTGGAAAGGTCATTCAGTTGGGTAAATTTTATTTTTCTCTTTCATTTTTTCTTGTAAGCCATTCATTTTATTGTTATTTAAAGCACCAGATTTTATTATCAATTGTTTTACTTTGTATCTGCATTGATGTTTATACTTTTAATCACAACTTGTTGGATCTTGAGGATCTTAATTCAGTAGTCAGTAATACATACAAGGTAAAATATGTGTATCAGGTGTTATGGACTTTCGAAAGTGGTAGGCTGCTAGAATTTCCAAAATGGTGTTGCCAAAGTTTTAAGATAGCTACTGGTTAGATAACAATTAAAAAAAATTAATTACAAATTACAATTCCAACAATAAATCTACTTCCTAAGAACTTGAGGTGGAGCAGGTTGGTATTCTAGTAATCTCACGTTGGATCTCTTGGGTTTCAAATTTTCAATCATGCTTAATCTCTGAAGCTTCAGAACTTCTTGAAAAAATCTTCAAACTGATTTCAATTGAATTAGTATTTAATACATATATTATAAAAATGTGGCAAGCGAAGCTTACATTACACCTGTCAATATCTTGATGTTGAATTTATTTTTTTGTTAATCTCACTATTGAATTATATACATTTGTCATGTTTGTCATATAAATATATCAGCTCAATTGGATATAAGTAAGTATTTCATCTATGAACTTATATTAATAAAACATTTTAGTATTACTCTAATTTGATGTGGTTGATGGTGATGCTGAATCAATATGGAGGTCGATGATGGATATGGCGTTCTTTTCTGATGAATGTAGTGAGTCAATAATTGGGTTCAATTAGAAAGATAATGGAATGTTGCTGAGATGAAAGACATGCCTAAGTGGAATTTGGAGGGATGATAGACATGTTGATGAATGGAACTTTTATTAGATTTGCTAACACTCCATAAAAAAGCAATTTATTTCAGTTTTCTAAATGCAAGACATATACTTTTCTTCTTGGTGGGAGTCTGAATTTTACATTCTAAATGGGTACAATGATCAGTTTTAATTAAAGTTCCAAAATTTTATGAACAATTATGAAATTTCTCCAATTTGCAGCTATTAATTGTTAATGTCGAAAAAGAAAAGTTGGTACTTCTGGCAAAATGTTAAGTTTGTTATATATCTGGAGGTGTTAAGCAATTTGAGCATATATGTGACTTTTGTGAGTGAATTGTCCTTTTGACCTTGTTTTCTGTTAGGGTTGATAAGTGCCGAATGAAGATGGGATTGATTCTTACCGGTGTAGGTGATAAGGTATGATATCTTACACTAAGTACTAGCCAGTAACTTTGATAGCATCCTTGCGAGTTTCGTATGAACTGCAAGTAAAAATTTCCTCTTTTACCGGGATTGATTGAGTAAATGGTACTTAAGTCGTTGTTGGTCAAGTTTCTATTCCTTAACCTCCAGATCTGCAGCAATATAGAGTTGGGAAAGGAAATGATCAGGACTTTGTCCAATGAAAGTTGTGACAGTGATATATCAAAGAGAGAGTGATATCATGGTAATGACCTATGACATCTATTTGTTGGACCAGTACTGTTCTTTGCATCTAAATTGCCTGTTGAAGGATGTTGCCTTAACTTCAGCTTCCAATACGTTGATCTTAAATTTTACTTAATTTCTTCAAGTCTTAACCAATTTCTATGAACTGTCTATGACGCCATGGACTTGTAATGCATTCTGTGTTTGTCAAGATTTAAGAAAAACAAAGCGATATTTTTCTATTTTGTTAGGAGTAGTTATTTTATCTTGTGGCTCTTTTGAAGGAGTTCTTTCCATATGGTTAAGATTTTATTAGCATGTCACCAAGTAACACTGGGTTGTCTAGAATTGCTTTCAAACTGCGATGTTTTTTGTCCAGACTGACAATAGACATGCCCAACTTTTTGGTGTTGTCTGCTTAAATTCTTCTATGCTAAGCTGATGTTTTCTATAAAGTTATAAGACATGATATGTGTTCTCTTCTTAGTAGCCTAACTTGCATTATTGGACTTTCCTTGTTTCTTGAGTATCTTCAGCTTCAATGGTATTACTTTCTGTAAGATGCAATCTTTGTCATCAATGCACATGATTCTGATCTTTTGGCTTTCTCTCATGTGCCCTCAATTAGTGTGATGATTCTAATTCCTCTTAGTATCCAGTTTAATTTATTTCACATTATTTATATAGACATACAAACATGTGAATATAATATAATTCTAATATTCATCCATTCCCTCTGCTGCAGATTTTATTTATTTTTTCGGGTGGTTTATGCTGCATAGAAATTATGGAACTTTTTTACTAACAGTTTGGTTTACAATGATGCTAGGTGATGCGTCTCTGGTCAGCAGAAAGATACAAATGTTTGGATGAATATTCTCTTCCAGATAACACCCGTTTAGTTGATTTTGATTTTGATGAGAACAAGGTACAATGAAGAAACCAGTATCCATCTTACTTTGTGGTTTCTCTGCACTTGAAACCTGTTTCTAGTGCACCTTCTTTTGCAATTGCTTTACACATTGTTCAGCTTTTGCATGAAATATCCGACTAATTTTTCATGGGTGCATCTATATTTTACTATGTGCAATCATGCATGTCTTTATAATGTCTCTATGGGCGTTTGGTCTTGTTTATATGCCATATATATGGGATATAGTGCTTTCATTTTTCTCTATGATTGGAAGAGATGTTGTCAACCTTGTATTTGCACCAAATAATCTATTGTTGCAACTTCTTGTTGGGTACTTATTTTAACTCAGTTTTCTAGGTAATATCTTGACTGATTTAGCCTAGATGAATTCAGGTGGTGATATGAGAGTTTATGTGATGGAATTAAATGAAACTTTTGGGCATAGGAAAGTCGGATTGCCGATAGAACAGCCTATCATTTCTTTTGGGTTGACCGTTGCTTAGATTATAATTTCTGTTAATATTTAGTTGAAGTATCAGCTACTACAGAGTGTTGCTTTTTATAGTTCCTCTTTTAATTTTTCTCTCTCTCTCTATTTTTTTTTTTTTTTTTTTGGTTCTGGAAGCTGGTGATTGTAAATGTGGTAGACCAAAACACGATATTGATTAACATTCGAATTACTCTCAACTTGTTTCTTTTTATAGTTCCTCTTTTTATTTTTTTATTTTTTTGGAATTACTCTCAACTAGTTTAAATAGTAGACTTAAAAAAGGTTTAGTTCAAACCATCTCTTGGATTGTCATGTAAGCCAATTCTTTTGGAATTATTTTAATAAGAAATAGTTGCCGGTAGGGGATGTTCCTGATATTGAGATGTTTGCTCAGATCCTCGGATGTGGCACTGGCTCATTTCCTATTTCTTATTTAGGTTTGCCTCTGGGTGCTCCTTCGAGATGTGTGGGGAGTTGGGATCCGGTGGTGGATAGATTTGAGAAGAGACTGGCAGGTTGGAAGAAGCAGTACCTTTCCAAAGGGGGGCGGGTCACTCTAATCAAGAGCACTCTCTCTTGCCTTCCCACCTATTTTATCTCCCTTTTTTAGATTCCTTCTTCGGTGGCGGAGAGAATTGAGAGTTTGCAGCGGAATTTTCTTTGGGGAGGGAGAGGAGAGGAGTTCAAATATCATCTGGTTCGTTGGGAGTAAGTGTGTCGTCCCCTTCGGAGTGGAGGATTAGGGATTCGAAGGTTGTTGCCTTTCAATAGGGCTCTTCTTGGGAAATGGCTTTGGAGATTTGGGGTTGAGAGACTTTGGCTTTGGAGGAAAGTTATTGCCAGCAAATTTGGGGAAATCAGTGGTGGGTGGTGTTCTCTTGAGGGGCGTGGTCCTAGGGGTGTGGGGGTTTGGACTTGCATTCGAAAGGGATGGGACGTTTTTCGTAATCATGTTCGCTTTAGGATCAGGGATGGTAGGAGGATCAGATTTTGGGAGGACCTTTGGAGTGGGGATCTTCCCCTTGCTCTTTCTTTCCCTCGGCTTTACAGGATTGCTTCTGACAGGCAGGCCTTGGTGGTTGACTGTTATCACCTTGATAACGGAAGACTAATTTGGGACGTTCAGTTTAGGAGACATTTTCAGGATTGGGAAATTGAGGAGGTCACTCTTTTTTTGGAGTTACTGTATCGTTAGGTGATCTCTCATGAGGAGGCTGATTGTTGGCTTTGGAGTCCACACTCTCAGGGTCGTTTCGAGGTGAGATCCTTTTTCAGGTGTCTTTTTGATGGGGAGGGTGGCACTTTCCCTTGGAAGGCTATTTGGTGTTCCAAGGCTCCCCTTAAGGTGGCTTTTTTTGCTTGGACGTCTGTCTTGGGTAGGATTTTAACTCAGGATAATTTGAGGAGGAGAATGCAGGTGGTTTTCAATCGTTGTTACTTGTGTCGTTGTGATGAGGAGACAGTGGATCACCTTCTGTTGCATTGCAGTATGGCCAGAGATTGTTGGGATTTGATGATTAGGTTGTTTGGGGTTCCCTGGGTTATGCCCTGTTCCTCTAGAGGGTTGATTAAGGCTTGGAGAGGTGTCTCTGTTGGGGCGCTCATCCGGGATGCTTGGAGGGCTACCCCTCTCTGTGTTTGGTGGTGCATTTGGCTCGAGAGGAATCGAAGATACTTCGATGGCAAGGAAAAACCCATTTCTATGCTTAAGTTTTCTATTATTTCTACTCTCTTTTGTTGGGTCTTAGGGAGAGATTATCGTTCTGTTGAGGAGATTGTTATGTTTTTGGCCTCTTTGAAGGCTTAAGGCTCTTTTTGGTTTTTTCTTCTTGTATCCTTGGGTTTCGCTCCCCTTTGAGCGCTTTTTTATAAAATTCTTACTTATCAAAAAAAAAAAAAGAAATAGTTGCCTTTACTTACTAAAAATATTAAGTTTGATTTCTTTTTTTCAGCTGACTTTTTTTTTTTTTTTTTCCTGAAGAAAATAAAAAATAATAGTGATAGAGCTGTTAAGTGGATCAAGGCATTGCACATAAAAAATAACTAAACAAAGCTGTAGAAGTGCCTAAACTTTCTAGAAGTTTCGCTCAAAGCAATTCGAGTTGAGCGAAGCCTAAACATCTTGTGAGCACAGTGAGCGCAAATCTTTTGACGCTTCTTTTCGCTAAGTAGCCCCTTTCCACTTCTGGTTTGGGGAGCTCCAATAGGGGGACAAGAGTCTCAGGTGAATATTCCTTTTACTTCTCTTTCCTTTCTCTCAATCCTATGTCCTCAAATGAGAAGAAGAAGAGAGATGGGGAAAGAAAGAAATGATACTTTCATCCTTCCACCACATTCTATTTATACTAACAAGTTTCAGAAAATACACATAAGCACCAGACATTATATAAGTAATAACAAATAAACCCCTGACAACATTCTCTACTACTCTTTGACTCTTTGTGGTATCAGGGCTAGAACTGTACTAATTCCTGCCAAGCGGGGACTGAACTAAGATTCTCTAGTTCAATACATGCTCGAGCTATACCTCAACCGGTGTCATTTTGATCAAACTAATCTTAAGTGCACTACCTGGCTCATCTGTCGCTTTCCTTTCTTGTGGTTTTATGTGAAGTTTGGATCCATAGAGTGATGAGCTTTCTCTGACCTAATCATCTTCAGTGCCACTAGCTAATTTAATTATTCTTCTTCTTCGAGATTTGAACTGTTTAAGCATTATTGACAAGGTTTACTTATGAGTCAATTCTACAGCTTTGCTTGCTTTGTAACCTTTGGATATCTTTAACTATTTTTCTTTAGGTTGTTGGTTTGGTCGGGACTCGTATATGCATATGGAGGCGGCATAATGCGGAGAGAAATATATTTCCCTCACGTGAAAACCTGTTTACAAACGGTTTATGTATGCGGTGAGTTTTATTGGTATTCTCTTGATTGTAACATGTCACTGCTAAACATTTAAAGTTGTACATTAATATCTGTTGTGTTAACTTGGCTTAAACCTTTTATCCAGTCAACATCCTACATCTCACGCTAGATATGCAGGATTTCATTATGATTTGGAAACTTTAGCTAACTTAATATGATTAAGTTACCTTCTCCACATTTAATTAGCTCGCAAAGTTATATGTTACTATGTGTCTCTTTCACCATATGTGAGCTATAAATGAATCTCGCTTTTCTTGAACAACTTGGCTTGTCTCATTAAGTGAGTTAAAAATAAATGGGGAAAGTGGTGATGGTTTTGAGGTTGGTTGTGAGTTGATGACAGTGGTGGTCGTTGAGAAAAATATATAGAAAGAGAAATTGGAATATGTAGTGGGTCTTACATAGTTGTGATTTGAGGGTTCATTGGTCTGGTAGTGGTAGCTAACGTTAGTGGGTTTTGGGTGTACTGATTTGGGGGTTGTAGGTGTTGGTAATGTGGGCCTTGACCTGAATATAATGTGGGTGTTCAGTGTATTTATTGTATGGTTAGTCTTTATACATCAGCTAACTTCCAACTTATATTTACTTACTACTGACAGATATTCTGCTATTCCATTAGTTAACTGTGTTAAAGGTCTAAAATATAAAGTAGGAACATGTTCTTTGTAACTAGCATACGACCAAAGAGTGGATGTTGATGTCAGCAAAGAGTGGGAACTAACCTCAAGCTGCTGTAACTTGAAATCAAACAAACGTTTAGTACAAGAACCAATAACTCAGTTACCAACTTGCGTTAAAATAAGTTACTCAACTCTTAGTGCCTTGTTGCTTTCAAACATTTACTCTCACAATGTGTTAGGTCTTGTATTGGCTAAGTTCTTTTGATTATACTGAAATTTTCTCTTTGAAATCATGAGAGATAAGGAACCTGATAAGGGTTCACTACACAAAATTTGACTATATCCAGCATATTAATCAAGATTGGCATCTCGAAAGCATAAAGTAGAAAGTAGAACGAAGAAGATCCATTTTCCAAGACTTGGAGTCATGATCAATTAAATCAGCAACAGTCTCAATAGTCGTGGTTGATGGAGTGGAAATCACTGCAAAATTAACAGGATCAGTTATTGGACCAGCAATGAACCTTGGATCCGTTTGTAACCTTCCACTTCATACCCTGTTTGATGACTTCTTTTGCAGCACAAATACTTTTAGTGTTATAGACATCTTTTTGATATGATTTGTTTATAGAAATATTGATCATACAGAACAGCTCTTAACGCAGGCATAGAACAAAATATATCCTTTAAAATAGCTTAAAAAGGGAAAAATCGACCTATGGAAAATTTTAGGATTAGTTTATTAACCCCTTCAACAGTGATTTTCAAATATCTGTATGATCAAAATAAGAGCGAGACTCCAACTTTTTCTTTGAGTGGTAAAGGAAACTTGAGGAAGAATGGAAGACAACTGATCTTTGAATGAGAACTTATGGAAATAAAGTTAGCTAATATTTTGACTCCTGAAGCCAGTGGAGGTGACATATTTTATGGATTTGCTCAATTTGGTCGTGATAGTACTGATGAAAACAGAGGTCCACTCTCTCCCACTCCAAAGACCATCAGTGGTAGTCGCGGTAAAGAAGTGTGATTGTGCAGTGATTTTGGTGGTGGTGAATGGCCATTAAAAAACTTTTGCACTACCACCAAATCTATCAATGGATGTTAGTTGTAGAACTGCTTCGAAACTTTCTTGCCTCTTACACCTAACATCCTGAAGCAAACAGAGATGAACGGAAAAGTCTTCTTACAGAAGTAAGAAAGACTAGGGTTACTCATCACCATCCCTTACGTCTTGGTTACAGCAGATAAAGAGTGCTCTCCCTTTTATAATACTACTATTAACAACACTTGACTTCTCCTAGAATGACTTTTAGAATCCCCACACATCACTAATAACATTTGACCACTTTCCTAAGTAAATACTTGGTAATTCCAAAGCTTAATTACTTAGTACCGGAAAACAAGAATGACACTTTGACTTTTCCCAATGCACTTTCCAAAGCACCATTAATTATTTTCATCAAACCCCCCTCCTCGGAGAAAACTCGCCCTCGAGTTTGAAACAATTTACCATGATCAATGGAGAACCCGAGTAGAGCCTTTCATCCTTTCTTTCTTTTTTCCCATACTTGAGCAAAGCACAGTAAGCTTTTGTTACTGACAAAGAATAACTTTGAACGAACTTTCAGATCTCTCTTGTTAAATAGCCAAAACTTGTTTGAAGATAAATCATGAATTACTCTGATTTTTACATTGGAGCAACTTATTGATGATTCTTTTCAATTTTGTTCCTTAATATATCATTTATAGGACAATTCCACGTCTTTAATTACTACAAGGTAACTACTTCTAAAATTTCACCAGGGCTCTTTACACGAATTGTTCCCTTCATATAGTATCTAATATTTTCAGTTATGTTTGAACTGATTCAATTACATGATATTATTTAGGATGCATGCTTTTGTTGTTTATGGATAAACACCTCAATCTTTTATGTTTGCAGTTATGTAGATCCAGAGGCAGTGGTTGGATGTGAAGATGGTACTGCTCGCGTATTTGACATGTATAGCAGGAAATGTTCTCAAATTATTAAGTACGTATTGCAAGAAATTTTTTTGATCTTTTATTTTCTCACCTTTCCAGTGTTCTATCAATTTAGTAGCTAGTCTAGGTTGAGCTGAACTTTAGTCTATCTCACACACACACACACACGTGCACGCACGCACACACACACATACAGACATGTTCTTAAAGTTTGAATGGCTACAGTTCAATCACATTTCTTCAAAACTAACTGGTTACATAAATTGTGTCTAATTCGTTCTGTGAAGTAATTAGGAATTAGGGCAGCACAAATGATTATATTATTAAGCCCAATACTTCTCGTGGTCATTATAATTTTTGCTCGTGAACACACTCGCTCAAAGTGGAATTCATTGTATGTATACTTTTCCTGTGCATATGACGAGCTGAATTTTCTGAAGTGGGTAATCGAAGAACACCACAACTGAAGTTGGTTTACTCTTAAGCAGAAATACTATGTATTAGGCTCAACAAAATGCATTTAAATGTTCAGACGAGGCAAATTTCTACAACACACCCAACAACGGTTGCTTATAAGTGTTTCCCTGAAAAGTAAACTGTTGTGTAATCTGTTGCTTTATTCATGCCATTTTTAGCCTGTTTGGACACATCTTTCTTGTATGACAGTTTGGATTAGGAGAATTTGTTTTCTTTAATCTTGTTAAGAGGTAAGGTGGGAAGCAATTTGTTCCATGATTTTTAAATTACTTAATAAGTCTAATGTACTGCACATATTCCTTTTTGCAGAATGCATCTTGGGCCAGTGACATGCTTATCACTGAGTGATGATCAATTGATTATTAGTGGTTCCTCAACTGGTGGTATCACAGTATCAGGTCTTTCAACTGGTCAGCGGGTAGCTGCCCTAATGTCAAGTGATTCCTCAGGTTTTATGATATGCCTTCTCTGTAATGATTTTGATTATAATTGCATTTCTGCTGTGCTTATAATTTGCTTCACACACACACAGTGTGTGTGTGTGTGTGTATGTCACTCATCCTCTACCTCCATCTCATGTTGTATGCTATTTTTTTGAACTTGACCAGCAGTATGATTCACACACTGATGAAAACTGGAAGCTTTCAAAATTGAATTCAAATTCAGCTAAGAAAAGGCAATTAAAAAAATTTACAACAGTAGGTAGATTTATTTTTTGAAGTGAATATCTAGTGTGGGCATTTTAAAAAAATAAAAAAAGATGGATAAATGATAAGGATATGTGGAGTTTCGCATCTATAAATAAGAAAGAGAAGAATCATATATGTAGAAATGGATAACATGAAGCATGTAGATGAGGAACTTTTCCAAGGGACTTAAAGGAAAGGATATATAACTCAATGCACCAGCTATAACTTAAACTCTTCACACAATTAAAAGATTGTAGCGGGTAAAAGTGGCTCCTTGATGAACAATCAAAGAAGCACCAATTCTGGGCAATTTGCTTGCCTCTCCTTGGCCAATGAGGAAACCATCTAATATCCACCTCTAAGGTAGAGAGACATGACTTAGTTCTGGTCCCGCTAAAGCAAGGTCCTGGGGAGGTGAGATTCAGGACAGATCTAACCTTTGGTAGTTCACGAAGTGACTGCTTTTAGGCTTGACTTTGCACCAGTGGTGCTGATGCTCTAGGGTTTTACAGATAAACAAGGCAACGGTCAACTTCTCCAAGGAAGAGACATGATCCAAAATTTCTCTCTTATTCTTAGCATTCATATCTTCTTTCCACTGAAGTGGATAACATAAAATATGTCTCGCTGCTACAAATACCTGCAATTCCTAATTTCCTCTAATCACTCACGGAACATCCAGCATCTTTGATCTTAACTCTTCTTTAGTGCAGGTGTCCGACCAATCAAAACAACTTCCAAACTGCCTGTTTAGTGGGTTTGCGGCAATCAACTTGCTCAGGATCATGGCCACCAAAGCTCCTTTGACCTCTATAAACAAGAGCTCACAGAGAAACAAATAATTGAAGTCTAACCAGAATCTCTTTATTATGGAATTCTCTGCCTTCAAATATTTGCAAAGTCATTGGTGCCAACAACCCAAACAAATGCACTGATATCATAATAGCAACAACTTTTCCGTAAGTATGTCCCATTCTCACCCTCCAATGCATAATACCCTCCCCAAAAGACTTGAGATTCATCAACAATGAATCTAGTGTGAGGAGATAAATCTGATACCCCATGGAGCTTTCACCTCTCAAACCACCTCAATACAAATGGCTCACGTTTTGATTTCTCAGCTGCTTTGCATCTGGCTCAGAAAATAATAGCATTATCATGATGTCAGCAAGCACAAAGCTACCCAATAAGCCTCGCTTATGAGTTTGTCTCAACATCCTACTCGAAGCCTCCGTCATCAAACTAAACAAAGTGTGAGAAGGATGATCATTCCTCAGATCCCTCGAGCTCGAGAAGAATATCTTAAGATCCATTTACTAGGGCTGAGAATTTAACCTTGGAAATGCAAGCTTCTATCAACACCTCTACCTAGTACCAGAACCCAGTCATTCCAACACATAATGAGGAAAATCCCATTAGACCTCTACAACTCCAATCCAATTACCCACTAGAGCTGCAGTGGCTCCCCAGTCACTGCCACAAGAATTTGAGTCCGGATGAATTTTTTCTGGTTGACCATGTCTTTGTTGATACCTATAAACTGATCATAACAATTCCTTAGGGCCCTATACACTTCAGGCACAACAAATGTAAGGGATGAACTTTAAAACTTCTAAATATTTCCTTTTGTCCTGCTTCTGGCTCATGGCAACATCCCGCCAAAGCCCATCTCCAGGAAACAGAGGCTCTTCCTCAAAATCCCAATTTATCTCCTTGAGAACACAATGCAGTTGCTTATTATATGAACTGGTTAAACCACAACACTGTCTCCACCACTCCTCACAAAATCAATTCAAAACGATCTTCAAAGGAACTAATGGCCAGTCCTGAAACTGTGACAAGTACAGAAACTCCTATCGTTACTGTTGTTAAGCCCTCTGCAGAGCTATATACCACCTACATCCAGCCATTCCCTCCTTCAGACAACTATGGGATGAATTGACAGCTTATGGTTCAGCAATTGTGAACTTCCACATAAATTTACAGTTTGTATTATAATTATGATCCACTTTCAATTGGTGTTGATGACTACTGAAGAATCTAACACAGTTACAAAACCCTCTCACCTTCGAAGCCGAAGCAAGTGTTCCATAAATTTACCGTTTGTATTATAAGCTTTTTTAGATTATTGGTGTTTCTTGTAAATCTATATTGTGGGATGGATTTCTGGTTGTAGCTGGATCTTTTCTGAAACATATGAAGGCATTGTATGTTGTGATAACATGGTATGACTTGTTTTTCAACTCCTTGTTACAGGCATAAGAACCTTGTGTTTCAATCCTTCTTCTCATTTACTGTTTGCTGGATCAACGTCAGGATATGCTTCTTGTTGGGACCTTAGGTATGCTCAACTGATAAAGAGTTTGCATGCTGTTTCACGGAGTTGAGCTCTCTTAGAGTTCTTTCTTTTTCATTCGGGAAGCTTTAAATTTTCGGGCAAAACCATTAAGTATCTCAAACTAATGCCCGGGGAGGTATTTAAACATGCAATCAAGGTGTTAGCTTTAAGATTAATCTTCATGGCTCAGAGAAAGCGAAATTTAGTACTATCGAATATGCTTATCTGAACTTAGTAAATTCTAGCTAATTTTATCCAAGTCTTTGCTTTCTGATAGTTTCCCAAGTTTCTTGACAATTGTTATGCTGGAGGAGTTGTAAATTTGGCGAGTTGACCTTGTTCTGTAACATTTCAGGACAATGAAAAAACTTTGGGAGACACGAGTAAGTCCCAATGTTTTATATTCTATGCATCACCTGCAAATTGATAGATCAACATTAGTTACTGGTGGAATAGATGGTGTGCTACGTGTATTGGATCAGAACACGGGTGAAGTGTATTCAAGGTGCATTATGTATGAAAGTAACAGGGGATCGAATCGCACAGAAGACGTGTATGGAGTCATTAAAAGTAATCAAGCGGTAAGGCTCGCAGAAGATGACCGCATTGATCTCATTCCTAGAACTTCTCGACCTCCCATCAGGTGCTTGGCTGTTGGAATGCGGAAGGTTGTCACCACACACAATGACAAGTGCATCAGATTATGGAAATTCAAAGCATAATCAGTATTACCTCTTCTGGTGCGGATTTGTGATTATTAAGCTTCAATGTTAGTAACTTTTAGGGTTAATTACAATGACACCCCTTTGAGTTTGTCATAATAACAGTCATATATAAGTTGGGTTTTTTTTGAACAATGACATCCTCTCAAGTTTAATAAAGTTAACAAAAGCACCCCAACTATCACCTGTAACCTCCGACACTTAAGGAATTTACATTGTTGCCCTTTTGAATTATCAATTAATCAATTTAAATAATAAAATTACTCTTCTGACCTTATTTTAAAAAAATTTAAAAAAAAATCCCAAAAATTGTCCTTCTCCTCAATAACGTCCATTATCACACCACCTATATCATCTAAATCGATCTCTGTTGCAGTGAATGCCTCACCCATCATCATCACCACTTCATTATTTAAAACCTAAATCTTCAACACACAGACACACACATACACACACATACCATCAGTTTCAAACACCAGATCTTCAATATATATACGTATATATAAAGTCCTAAACTTTGACGGTGGCTGCGACAGAGGCGGAGTTGGCGTCGACACCACCACAACCTTCACCTTAAGCATGACGACGCCCAATTTGATGCGTCCAAGTTCCCCACTCGATTCAACAGCCAGATCCGAGGGTTCAACGACGAGGATTTTTGGTGGCGGCGGCGACTAGATCTGAGGGTTCAACAATGACAAATTTTTTTGGTGGCGGCAGCGGTGAGATCTGAGGGTTCAACGACGACAAATTTTTTGGTGGCGGCAGCGGCGGTATCCAAGGGTTCAACAACGACGGAATTTTTGTTGGCGGCGGGATTCGAGAGTTCAACGACGACGGAAGGGACCGTGGGTTGGGTTTGTTAGGGTTAGGATTTAAGAGATTATGGTTATTTGTTGCTCTGTTTTTTCTGTTGTGGTGGTGGTGGGTTTGTTAGGGTTAGGATTTGAGAGATCATTGCTTTGTTTTTTCTGTTGTGGTGGTGGATTTGTTAGGGTTAGGTTTTGAGAGGTATGGTTGGTGTCTAGGTTTCTGATGGAGAAGCTGAGAGGTTAAAGGGAGTGGTGACATATACTGATGACATACCAAGGGCAAAAACGTCATTTGGGAGTTTTGATTATTTTTTAATTTAAATTAATAAAATATTGAAGGGGTAATATTGACTTTTCATACCTTTTAAGGGCTTGTTTGGATTCAATTTCTGACCAACGATGTCATTGTTCAAAAAAACCCAACTTGTATATGGTTGTCATTATGACAAACCTTAAGGGGTGTCATTGTAATTAATCCTAACTTTTATAATTTTCTAGACCCATGTACATAGTCTCAGATTTGACCGTCCAAGATTACCACCAATGGGAAAAAAAAAACAGCAAGAAGTAATAAGATAGGATCAAATTCAAAGGTTTTAAGCCGAGATTGGATAGTGACCAAAAGTTTCCAAATGATTTGTGTTTGTTGGCTAGTTGTCACAAGGGGTTCTTTGTCCCACATTGGATCTGGATGGGGAAGTAGTTGGGTATATATGGTTGGGTGTTTGTATTACGTACTGATTTAAGTTTTTGGGTCGAATTGTGAAACACTCGGTCTATTACAATTGGTATCAGAGCTAAACCCGTCCCGACAACATAAGCACAAGAACAAACACCTCCTGTATGGCTCAGGGAAAAGAAGGAACTCAGCAGAATTAAATATTCTTGTTCATTCTGCTATTAACCTTACGGTATATCACCAGTACTGGTACATATGAATGGTACCTTGCATACCATTTGTGCAAAGCCACAATATACCTCAAAGCAACAATTAATGAATTAATTTAAATAATTGACCAAAATATCTGATGACTCCATTATTACACAACAGATTAATTTTCTAAAACCCACCCTTTCCAAAATTAAATTACTCTCTTCAGTTATTTCTCTCTTCTTATTTCTCTCTTCTTATTTCTCTCCTCGTCTCTCCTCTCTTTTTTTCTCTCTCCTCATCTCCCTCCCTCGTATTCTTGTTCCTACCCTTTCTCTCTCACAGGGTGGCAATTACGATTTATATATCTATATCTATCTATTTATATAAACAGCCAATAAAGAATATATCAATATAAGATCTATTAGTTGATGTATGTGGACTGGTTTTTGGTTACTTGAGGCCTGTTTCGTTAGGTTTTTTGTTTTGTTGGGCCTAATATTTTTGTAACTCCGTTTTAACTTTGCAACTCTGTGGTATTGTTTTTGTTGCCCTATCCATTAGGCTTGATTTTATTTTGTTTTGAGTACAATCTAAACAGGTGTTGCTTTCATGCTCCAAGCAGACTCCGCTCTCACGCTCTGCGTGCGCTCTGACTCAAATTCTCACTACTTATAACTTTCACGGTTAGAACAAGTTGACCGGTTTATTGGAACCCTTACCCATTTATGACCCGTCATTAATGGGTTGAGAATGGGCTACTGACCCATTCAAACCCAGCCCAAAACCCACCCCTTTAGGGTATGCATTGTAACAACCCTAATTTTCATGACAAACACAATCATATACCAATCCATTTTTAGTTCTGTACATGTACATGTGTGTTCTTCACACATTTGTCATTGTATATTGCTTCATATAATTTGGCTGACAATCATACAGCTCGCAATAAAGATATTCCCATGAAAAATGGTATGTTTTGTTTTTTTCACACGCACATATATATGTACACACCAAGATCTATACAATACACAAGTACATGTGAACTGTGGATTTTGAGTACATGTGAACTGTGGATTTTTAGAGTGATATATTGGAGGAAACCAATAAAACTCCTTGTTAAATATACAGCGCCACCTCTCCCAATAATTTTACCATTCCATTTCGCGTGATTTTCGAGCAAACAAATCCACCATAACGCAGACAAGAGACCATATACTTCATTCAACCCTAATTTAACATACTCATGAGATGTGTAAAGAGGAGTCGTCCAAAATTACCGAACACATCATCACCATCAGTTACATATGATCACCCTTCCCAGCATGTAGTTTCCAAAATTAGCTATCTCAACATAATTGTATATGTTTGGAATATGATGTGGCACTAATTAAACGATAAACATGTAGTTTCCAAAATTAGCTATCTCAACATAATTGTATATGTTTGGAATATGATGTGGCACTAATTAAACGATAAATATGCTCTCAATTTGATAAGATATTACCCTTTCTTTTTCATCTTATTGATATATTAACATATTTAAGTTATATTTAAATTAAGAAAGCAACTTACCAAAAAAAATAATTTAAGAAAGCAGACAAATTCAAAAAAGATGAGCGGATGATTTTGATTATATACATATATATATATATATGTATGTATGTATGTATGTATTTATCTAATTATTAACACATAAAATTTGGCTTTAGAAAATTAGGATTCTTATTGAAGATAAAGAGTTAACCCCTAAAACGTCCATCAAAGAGTTATGAATTTAAGATTTTATCATAAATAATTTTTCCTATTTTTTCTCTCAATTTTGCTACGTATTATACTATGGACAAAATCGCTTTCAGAATACACAAAGTTAAATTTTCATATCATTTACCACAAAGTTACCACATCACCTGCCAAGTTATTTTCATGACACAAAAGTATGTGATGTTTAGCATTTTCCTAGTTTAATTGAATGAATATTCAAATTATTACTTTGTTTGGTATGAAATTTAAAGTGGGAATGATTATTCCCTTATAATAAAAATTCATTTCAACAAATAAGAATTCATTCCACATCTAACTTATGGAATAATGGTCACTCCATTCCCAAATAATTTTTTCAGAAAAAATTTAAATTTCTAAAAAATCATCATGCAAAAAAGATAAAAGTGTCCTTTCAATATTTAGATCATCAACAGTTTCCTAATTAATTACTGGATAAATTCACTTAATTACCTTTCTTGTGTTCTCACAGTATCCTAATAGTTACGTGATCAACCCAACACCAAGAGGCTTGTAGTCCTTAGTAGTATCTCTTTTATATTCTAAAGTAGATGAATGGCGAGGGTTCAAGTCATTGTAGGAGCAAATGGATAGGTGTATGTGTTTCTTGCTAATGAAAAAAAAATAAATCTATTTTTCAGATCTCTCAAAGGGCACTAATGAATTCTCAAAGGTATTTGCGATTTAATCATCAATCGGGTAAGAGACTAAATATTTTATTTAATTAATGGTAATATTCTTAATTTCTACATGTGGATTATTTATTTAAAACTCAATAATTGGTATCAGAGCAGGTTAGGGTTTGTAGAAATCAAAAAAAAAAATAGTAAAAATTAATTTATAATGTTTTGAATCACGCTGATTTGAAAATCCTCGATTTTGTGCGTGATCAATTAGATGTAAAGCTAAAAAAAAATAAAAAAAAATAAAAAAAAATAAAAAACTGCATGTGTGTTTATACTGGTTCACACGGATATGTAACATAAAAGTTTTGTTTTAATTGCTATCATGTATATATATCATGGCTTAAGCACGCCGAACGAGGAAAACAATTCATCAGTTTGTCTGTCTTTGTTATACAATGAATCACGTGCTCTTATGTACCATAATCTGTTATGCAATGATTTAGAATTTGTTTCTTTATTAAGTCATGCACGCCGAACGAGATACATATATACAATTCTAATGTTTCATCCTCCTGTTTGAGTACGAGTTTCACAATCTCATTTGAAAAGTCAATGCTGATTCCATGTTAGAAAAGGAAACAAATGCTTTATTTATTTTAATCAGGTTTATTTTGGATCAATTTTGTATTCTCTAATTTCTTGCGCAATCAAATAATTTTGTATTCTCTAATTTCTTGCGCAATTAAATAATTTTGTATTCACAATATAGATATATATATATAAATAATTTTGTATTCTCTAATTTCTTGCGCAATTAAATAATTTTGTATTCACAATATAGATATATATATATATATATATATATATATATATATATATATTATTTTAAAATAAATAAATACAGTGGTGTGGAAGCAATGAGGCTATTGAACATGAGTTTTTAAATAATATTATATTATGCACAATTGAGTAGTGAATACTTTAAATGTAATGGTAAATATGTATGCATCTATACACTAATTTAGAATTTGATTTTG